TCAGTTTCAGTTTTTTTTTATTTTAGTATATACATCACTCAAATTCATATGCTCATTTGATTCACTAGAAAATTAATATTTTGAAATGAAATCTCGAAATTTTCATTTCTCCCAACTACCTACACAGTAGGACCTGCCGGAAAACAACTGCTTTCCCGGCTAATACCACGCTGGACAATTATATTCGACAGACATTTATGCAACATACCTCACCTTCCATAACGAGGGTTTGGAGTCCTGAATAGAATGAAATGAATTTTTTATAATTCAATGTTGATGTAAAAATAGTTAATTTAAATGGTTTGTGTCTGAAAGTTACTTTTTCGCATCATCTACACATCTTTGTGAAGAGTTTATTTTTCACTCGTTTGCTTTATTTTTTCCTTTGGAAGTTTTGTGGATGAGTGAAAGCCAAAAACTTTTTCCTCTAAAAACTCGTCTCTCTTAAAAAACACCCCTTTCAATTTATACATTGGATGTTATTATACGCTGAACAAAAAATACTTCTTGATTCAATTGAGAAATCAGTTCTGTCTTCCTCCTCTTTCTTGATATGTGGTAAAATAATATTAGTAATTATTAATGGAAACGAACTGAACTAGGCACAAAATCAATAGTTCAGTTAGCTTCTATTTTTTATTCTCAACATTGTTAGCTAATTTTAAAGAGAATTCTTTATTTATAGATATCTGTATAATCTACTTTAAATTAGTGCAGATAAACTTTTTTATAAATCTGTTCAATTGATATTAAATAACGACTTTCAAAATTTCATGAACAAAAAAAAATTAAAATGGTACAAATTGATAGTTAAGTACATATGTCATTACTGTGTCAAAGTTTTTTTTTTTTTTTGAAAAATCATACATTTCAAAATCGGCTGTGACAAGACACTTAATGATATTATCCCTTACAATACCAAAAAATCACCAATAGCTAATGAGCTCTTACAAATCTTGAAATATTAAGGTTGTCGCATCCACATTTAAAAATAAACGTAAATAAATATTTATCTGTTTCTATGTCGAATATATCCACCACAGTTTAATTGTTTTCCAATTTTGTGCTTCAATTATAGTTGAGAAACGATAATAATTAAAATTTGTTGTGAATATTGCTAACCAAACTCAATTTGATTACAAATCCATGCTTCGGTAAGGGTTTTTCGATATTCAGGAGGAAAAAATCAGTTTGAGCAACCCACCAGAAGATTTTCATTTGAATTTGGAATACGTTGAATTTGTTCCTTAAAACTTAAACAGTGCCACTCTTCTGTTTCTAATTTTTATAGAATCGGTTATTTTAGAATATGGAAATTAGCACATTTCAATGGAATCTCTAATAATTTTGTGAATATTTTCCACGTTAGATGGTGATTTGTCCCCTACACGTTTGAGAATCGCTAGATTTGCATATTGCTGTCATTGTTTAAAAAATAATAGCATTTCAATGAAGAATTTTATCACTTTAATTTTCATTCATTGTTGGATTCATAGAAATCCAACAGAGGAACAGCCAAAAATTAAAATTTCACTAATGTTATAATGTTGTTCATACAGTGCAGACCAATCTTTTTTTCTGTCACAAAATCTTACAATAGATTCTCACATGACCATGATTCTGAAGAGTCTTACAGATGGCTTAAATATATGAGATCTGTTGAAAAAATAAGGTGAATGTTTAAATTTCTCGGGTCACTTACATATTTATTAGCGATTTTTTCATGTTGGTACACTATTCGAATCACTATTAGAGAAGTTTCTGAGGATGTCGGAATATCGGTTGGCTCTTACACCAGATTTCGCATCCTGCGACTTTTTCCTGTTCCCAAGATTGAAGAGACCCTTGAAAAGACGGTGTTTTTTTTTTCGGCGATTGAGGAAATACAAGTCGAATTGCGGAGAGAGCTCAAAGATATACCAAAAGGTGTATATCAGAATTGGGAAAAACGAAAATTTACCTTATTTTTTGTACAGAAATCGTAACCTCACTCGATATAACAATATGCACAATTTTTTGTTCAATTTGATTATAAAATATACAGATCAAGTCACTTGATTTCCTTCCTTTTCGCAAAGACCATTGAACCAGAACTTATTCAAACATTCTACACTTTGAGGATGTTTTTGATTCCACTTTAAGTGGCTTTTCAACATTAATTCAGTACTCGTATATCTATCAGACGTACATAAATTATAGTTACGTGCATTTGTTGCATTTGAATCAAAGTAATATTGGTGTCTGGGATTGGTTTTTGATCTCTTGAGACTTTGGAGAGTTCTCAAGGAGCCACTTCCAGTTTGAATAAATCAAAAGAAGTAAATACCACAAAGTGATATAAGGAAAAATGAATTATAAAGAAAAAAAATTGTAGAATGTCACGTGAATGCTTTATTTATTTGCAGTAAAAGGGACACGAAATCGGAAATTAGGATGTAGGGTTCAGAAATATTTTCAATGTATTGTTTAACAACTAACTGAATCAACTTATTTTCTGCATACAATGTTGTAGCAATATTTCAATTCAAAACCTATTCTTGATATTTCCATTGAAATGTGCTGAAGCTTCGGGATTCTCAATTATTTGGCAAAACAAACTTGGATGTCTGCGACCTCTATAAACACAGCTGGAACTAAAGAAACCGCTGTATATTTTGAATTGTGGTATGGTTTTCGTGATTGAAGTGTTTTTTAAATTTCGAGGCGTTTTTTGCAAGTGTATTAGACTATTTCCCCCAAATTGTGTTCAGGATGTTGACTATCAGTATTCATAATGTTTTCGGAAAGATCTAAAATACTAAATATTATCGATAGAATGTACTCCTTGTTGTCTTGTTTATTATCATATTGTTATTGAAAACCTCTTGATTCTTTTTAAAACCGTCTCCCGCGTTCATTTTAATGAAATAGAAAGAAACGGAAAGAAAACATTTGTGGTGAAGAGATAGAAAACCCAGAAACGAAAATGCGTTGTAGCCAAATCACAGACTCGGTAGCCGTAGCTCCCGCCACAATACAACGAGAACAAACATCGCAGATTGACGGAATGACGTCACATATACTCTGACCAATGATATCGAGACCTTACACCCCACTGAAGGCGTGTACATAGTTAGGTTAGGTGAGCCACAATAAACTCGCAAGGGGCAGACACAAAGTATATGCTCTGATGTTTCATCGTTAATGAGGTAGTCGGATAGTCAAGGTGCAAGATTCCCACCTTGATACTCGCGACAACCTTCCCATATGAGAGTTTTTGCACGTCAGCTACACCTGACGATGCCTTAGATTCAACCGTTCAGGGCTTTGTTGTCGCTGGTTATGGCGAATCATCAACGTTTGCCAACCTGCTCATGGAGAATGTGTTCCTCCACCTGAGACAGATTCTGCGTACGCCGCTCAAGAATTGGGTGCAAGGCGGTTTCATAAGGTACCCCGCTCTTGAAAATACGAGTCAGGAGTTGGAGAGTTGAGAAGCTCTCGCTCCTGATCTAAATTTACAGGGAGGTCAGTTGGAGTCGTGAGCTTGACAACCATCTCCTCTTTTGACTCAGCGTCAGAAAGAATTTTCAAGTTTACTCTGTCCGTAAAAGTCCCACGAATAGCTAGGGAAAGAAGGTCAATCACGGCAGAGCCCCGCATTACCGTGACAGAGCGATGCTACGATGAGAGGGCGCCCTGTATATCTCGAAGGTTCCGTAGAGGTAGCTGATAGACTCTGTGTCATTCATCCGGAACCACAAGTGATTCTGCCATTCCCGTATCCAGCAGGGTTACGTGGAAGCAGGCATCCGATGTCCAGGTTTGCTCAACTTCCACATCCCAATGCATCTCTGTCTGAAGTAGAACCTACCAAATTTGGAAAATGATCAGATATAATTAATAAATATTGCTGATTATTTCATTCATATTCATTACTACACCAAATGTTCTGAACAGTGCATCACAAATATTGCTGCCTTAACCACCACTCAAGATTCCCGACCCCCCATGTCATTAAAAATAAACTAAGGAAAGATCTCCCTTTGGTGCTTACGTAATAGGGAATGTTCCTCCTGACGAAAATCAAGTAGTTTTCATAAAAGAGCTCTAAAAGAACGCATTTTAAACGTATCATTTCAACCTTCTTCTTTAAAAAAGTATTTAAATACTTGAAAAAGAGGAATGAAATAATGCATTCAACATTTAAAGGGATTCGTTTCTAGTTCACCATTTGGCAACATCGGTTATAGCTAATAAAGGACAATGAATCTCTTACCTGTATGAGACAAACAAAGATGACATATTTCAGAGGCGTGCTGTTTTGTTTACTTATGTTCCGAGTTCCGAGACATTCTGTGACATATGACATTTTGAGCACCTAACCTAAATTCCTCTATATAAATAAATAACAGAACAACTGTTGTTTATTATGTGGCTTGTGGAGGTGGTATTGAAGTATAATTTATAGTTTACCTTAATTTGACACTATTGATATGATTCTTCTTCTAGCATACTACTAACCTTAACTCCGATCTAGCATTCTAGGCGATGTTGCCAATATGTCAATTAGCAACAAATCCCTTTAAAAATTAAAACCCAACATTTGATAAATCAATTTGATTACTTTTCGAAGTGAATTTGAAAAACTCATGAATCAAACTGAACTTTATTTTGTTCAAACTTGCATTTACTGTAATAACACAAATTGAGGAACATTCCCTATTGTTGAATGACACCCACTAGCAAATTAAGGGAAACATTCTAGTAACACTAATGCACTATCAAAACAACTTGAACTTGCAAAAAACTCCAAACCGCCACGATCCGAAATGATCAGGGTTTCCTTTAGTTCTAAATTTCGCCGGCAGGTAGCGAGCACCAAGCTGGTTTCGCCGATAGTCCCGAAATCTAAAGGGGAGAGCGGCCGTTTTCGATTTGCCTTGCCATAATACATTGAAACTGACTTGAAACAGAGGTGGAATCGGCATTGTTTTCTTTTTTTCTTTGAAAAATTTCAGTGTGCGGTGCGCGTTACAAGACCAGGCCCGGGCTGACTTACCACTATCGCCATTCACACAAAGAGGGCGCTAGCGACGAGAACTCGGGCGACAGTAACGCCCCCACTCCCTCCGCTCAGATGGGCGGGCCGATCAGTTCTGCGTTCCCAGGTCTGCCCCAAGTCGGTCCGAATCAGGGCCTCCCTGGCGGACCGCCTGTCCCGATGGGCGGCATGTTGGGCCCGATGGCTCCGATGCCGCCCAATATGGGTTCGGGGACGGGGGAGGGCGGCGGTGCTAATCCCAACAGGGCCGATCAAGGACAAGTCTATCAAGATAGTTATGTTTCCTTTTTGAACCAGACACCCGGTACTGCCTTTTTGAACTTTTTTAATTTCTTTTTTGAGTGTTTTTGCATGCATGTGTAGCCGGAATGTGAAGCTCTTCAGTAGGTAGTTTTAATTTTATATCTTCTGTTCTCTTCCAATAATAATAGTAGCACTCTTAACTTGTTTGGTACTTATTAACGAACAACTTTCTTTGTGACTACTTTGAGAATTAGGAAGGCTCCTTTTATAATCGGGGATGAATTGGCGCGGGCAGGTTTTGTCGGAGGTTACAATTTTGTTATTTGATGCTTGAAGAAGACCGAAAATCAAAGTATCAAATATCCATATGTTTACAAAACCAATTTATTAATCCGTTTCATGTGTTTCGCTGTACAATAACGTAGAGTCGGGACTGTACTGATGTGTGATGTGCTCTCGTAACTAATATTTATACAATGCAAACGAACGTATCGTAAAATGATAATGCAAATGTTAATCTGACAATTAAGAAACCGGCAAAGATTTGATATATTCTTTGGAAGACATTTATTTGTGGAGGAGTCAATGTTTCCTACTGTTTTTTGGTTTCTCAACCTTTCACAATCTGAAAAGTAAGCAAATTCAAATCAGGAGAGGATTTGCTGAAGTGTGATAAAAGACAAATTGAAAAGTTCACCCAGAAAAGTTACTGCCTACGTCCCAGAAGTAGCCCTTCCAACAAAGAAAACACAAAAATTTTTGAAAAAGTGTATTTATTTTTCAAAACAATCTTGTAGCTCCATACACTTTTGCCAGCATGGGTCCAATTAGTTCGATAGTCAATGAAAATTATCCCACGCGCATCATAAAAAACCGCAGATTCAACGGTCTTCGCCTTCTTTGGAGCCGGTTCTCCCTTTTGAGTCCAATGTTTTGATTGTTGTAAAGTGATGGACTCATGTTTCATCAGTGGTTATGAAACGACGCAAGATTTCTGCTTTGTTGCTGTGGAAACATCTTCACGACACTGTTTTTGCTCAAGTGTGAGCAATCGCGGCACCCATCTCGCACACAGCTTTCTCATGTCCAAATTTTCAGATAGTATACAATATACCACACTTTTTGAAATGCCTACCGAGTCTGCTAGCTCGCACACTTCGCTTCGTGGATTTTATTCACCGTTTCTTGAGTCGTCACCTCATTTGGTCGACCTCTGCAATGCTCTTGGCAGATAGTAACGACCTCGTTTAAACTCTGCTACCAAATATTTTACTGCTGTAGACGAAGGAGCAGATTCACCCAAAGTAGAATCCAGTTCAGCTGGTTGAGCTGAGGCCTTTCAAATAAAAGTATTGTGACACATAACGATGACCAATTTTCCCCATTTTCACAAATTCACCGAAAAAGTTCGCTATTGATGGCTGCCAAACAAATACTAAACAATGCAGCGTCTTCAAACTTGAAACATATGCTTTTTAGATTGTGTACTTTCTAATAGTGATATTTTTCAAACAGCTACCGCCATCTCTAGGTCAGGCTGGGTACTTCTGGGACCATCTAAATATTTATAGATTTTGCGAAAAGAATTATTTTTCGAACCGTTGACATGTGAAGAAAGCTAAATATAGAGATTTCATTTTTTCCATTGATTGTTTTATTTGTAGGAAACATTTTTTAATATGGCGAGTTACTGACCAACTGGAATCTTCAGTGATTTGTTTATATTATTCAGTTTCTTTTCAGTTCGCCTTCATTCTCTATTGTGTAATTGTGTAAGCTTGGAAAACTCAAAGAACTGACAAACAAAGGTTTTCTAATTATTAACTGGTCAATATATCGAAAGCAATATTTGTTTTCGTGACTTCCACTAATGAATTCTACCACTAAAATTTTAGTGGAAACAAGTATTAGGGGCCAGAGAGAAATTCTTTAACACTAGGTATATTGCGTTTTCCCAATCAGATACTCTTTTTCCTTTTTTGAACTTTTACATTCCCGAACAGTAGCTTAATGAAAAGCCTGCATTTACTGTAGTAAATATATTTTTGGTGAACACTTGTTGAATGTTTGCTGTTACCAATAACTGTTTTGAGATTCATAAATATGATGAAAAAGTTCTGGAATGTTCCACATTTTTAAACAAAAAAAGACACTTTATAGAACTTCAAAAACTTATCCAACTCGCCAAGATCTCAATGCTAGTAGGAAATCGAATATAAAATCTCAACAAATAAAAAGAGGCCCAAGGATACTACCCTGCGGTACTCTAGAAGTAGTCTCCTTCATGTTGGAGCATATCCAGTCAACATCTAAGATTACTCTTTGTGACTGATCCAGGATGATGAATCCGTTATTTCTAAAACTTATAAGCCTAAAATGTTTGAATTATCGGATGTTTTCAATTTTTGAACCATGTTTCGGACTGAATTCGGATTGAATTTCTGGAAAAAAAATTGATCGGAGGAAAGAATAGTTTTCTATATTGTTCTGAGTAGTTGGATAATACACAAAAAGATCGTTGAAACTAAACGGTGGGAGGTTTTTGGAATCGAAATGACTTCAATTTTTCCCGAAACATTCAAAAAGTACTCCTCAATTCAATCTGGTTTATGAAGTTCTGAAGGCATCGATCATTAATAGTTTTAGCACAATGATAGAGTTAATTTAAGTACACATCATACTTACGTTGGTACTGCTTGAGGGATCTATTAAAATATTTCACACGTGTTACTGTTTAGTAAACTGGTTTTGTAAAATCATAGTAAATTTTTTTTTTTCCATACGACCAGTAATTGTCATTCTAGCCGAATTATAGGAAGGAGCCTTTTGATTATATTTTTTTTTGTTTTATGACCACTTGTTGAAGCCGGTGTTTGAATGGATGAAATCGTACCTACAGGTTTGATAAACATTATCTGGTTTTATCCTCTGATGTATCTATGTCAGTTTCATTTGCCAAATGGACTCGTGATGCAGAGAAGGTTTCGATGAAATAATTCAGTTAGAGCTAATTTTACAAAATTAACATACGGGGGCACTTTGAAAAGCAGTTTGTGTCTTTTTCGTTCTAGCTTAATGTCGCTGAAAAATTTAGGCTAGAATGTTGCTTTGAATGTTCTTACTTCGTGGAAATACGTATAGTAGTCGTTATTTAAATCGTTACATAGGTCTTCACTTGCCCCATTTTCATTAATGTCATTACTTTTTGAATTGCTCTCTTACTTGGAAATGGTTCTTGTTGTAAAACTATTTAACATGCTCCTTTCAAGTAACTAGTTAATAAAGAGAAGAGAAGTGTCATGTTATGAATTATGTCACATTTAAAATCCTGTGATTGAACTTATTGAAGTATAGTTGGGCTACTTGAAAGGGACTGTCTGAAGCAAAATCAACCAAAAAAATTGATTTCGGTTTATTTTATCATGAAGGATAAACTTTTTGGGCGTCACTATGATGTCAACTTCTAAAGAACCATTTTGACGGGGTGACAGAGTAAGCTTACAACTGCTTTTTGGAATGCGGAAACTTCTCCTGTCTTCTTTCTTCAACTATATAGTTACTGCGCTGTGTACTTTGTGTTCAAGGGTTTAATTTTTGCTTGAATTAAATTTGAAGTGTTGCCATATTTTTTGTAAATAACATTTATGTCTAAGATCACGTGAAATTTACTGCAAATTGATTTTTCAGTAGTATTTTGTATCGGAGTAGAACGTGATTCCGGAGTCACTATAAAGTCCTTTCAAACCGAAATTTGAAGTCTTCAAGTCGAGTATTTTTAAGGTTATGTTGTTTTATATTTCATGATGATGAACGGAATGTGTTCATTTACAATGATCTTGTTATTAAGTTGTTTTAAAAAGGTTTGTCCGTTTTTATGAGTCTACTGCAACCTGTAATATATCAGTTAATACCTATTCTATTTAATCAAAATTATGAAATTACTATGGATCTTCATCAAATAACGGCCCAATCAAACAGAAATAAATATAGTTTAAAAACACGCTTAAGTTCTAGTCACAAGTAGTATAAATCTTTAAAAAACGGCGCACGAATGTAAAATTCCTCTCAAACAACATAATAAAGTTTGAGGTCTCAAATCCTATAGTAATACTGAGATGCAGTAAGTCTCCAACAGAGGGCGGACAGTTGTAAAATTTGTTTCGAAGTAAAGAGAAAACTTGCAGTAATAATTTTAAAAAACAATTCAGTCTTGATGTTTTGATTTGAAGTTTCATTCAAAATATTAATGGAGTAAAAATATTTTTTCAGTGAACTTTTTGAAATATTTGAGTAACTGAATTATTTAGGTGTACAATTTACGATAAAGTTTTCATTGTTGAAATCCATATTTTAGTTTGCTTTCAAATAATCGAATTAGATTTTAAAATGTATCTTGCGTTTCGTTCAAAACTTTTTTCTGTACTGAATCACGGGTAATTGTAAACATTTAAATATTTCATCTGTAGTACAAAATGCCGCTAACACTTATAATTCTTAAAATATGTTTTTATTTTGATTTTCTTTTGAACAATCTATCAAGTAGGTTACGTATGGCGGCATCTATTCGCGAGTAGCTCAGCAATAATTGATAGTTACGTACAACGCAATCTGCCCGCAAACAGATCAATTGATAATTGATAGTTACGAACAGCGCCATCTGCCCGCGAATAGATCAAGCAATAATGCCGATAATTCTGTCAATACAGATCCAGAGCTTGAGAGTTACAAATAAACATACATACATACAGATGAAGCTAATATAAAGCGTGTAAAAACCGTTCATTTGAATCAGTACATTTTTGCCGACATTTGCCGATTTGAAGGCCGTTTTTGTGAAGCGCCAATCTCCACCAGGGTCCTCAAAACCTCGTTCTGGATTACTGTAGGTCGACCACATCGGGGCACATCTTCGAGGCTAAAATTTCCTGAACGAAATTTTGCAAACCAACGTTAAAAATTGCGTTCATGTTTAATTCCTGGTTGATTTTTAAGGCTGTTTCGGCAGCGCTTTGGGTCAATTTGAATTCGTAGAGAAAAATTGGCCAAAAATCACTTAACGACTTCATATTTGTAGTAATAACCTGAAAAGAGACAAACAAATAAATTAATTATTGAACGTGATTTAAATTCGATAAATAACGAAATAAAATAAGCGAGTAAAACTTTTTTTTTAGTTATATCTGACAGATACGCTAGGGATAAAACCTCACCCATCCTATCAGTCGGGTGTTTTGCAAAAACATACAGACGGAAACAAAACGACCTTTTTTCGGTTTTATGTAGAAGTTTCACCTACAATTGCGGTAGACTTCAAAGGGATGAGGCACCCAAAGCAGAGTTGCACTGTGAGGATCACTAGAACCCTTTGCTCGTTACCTCTTCGTTTTTTTTTTATGTCTGCTGCAGTTGTAGCTGAAAGCTCGGGCATAAAAATCTGCAAACAACCCGGAAAATTCACATTTGCAGAACAGAACAGGTACAGGGGCTGTAGGTACGCATTTCACGTGTGAGTGCTTAGTAGGTAGCTTCCAGTTGGATCGTAACTTACAATTGTATTCTTTTTAGAATAAAAAAGGTGGGGCTAACTCTATATCCGTACATGCTACAGGTACACCTCGTCGCAGCCGCCAACCCAACGGCGCCCCCGGCCCCAATCCCCAACTACCCATGCCTCCCATGGTGTCCCCCTCCCAGTCCCAAGCTCCCCCCACTCTGCCGCCGAATTTGCCGCCCCAGCAGCCTCAGTCGTTAGAGGAACCCCAGATGCCAGTTCTGATGCCGGAAAAGTCGCTGGAGTCCCTTCCGGCGGGGCCCCCTCTCGTTGGGGCTCCTCTGGATATTCCGGGGCCTTCGGTCGGCATGTCGGAAGGTGTGAAGAAGCCGTCGCCGAGCCCTTATTGCGATTTCTGCTTGGGGGATTCCAAGGTGAACAAGAAGACTGGCATCCAGGAGGAACTCGTGTCTTGTTCGGATTGCGGTAGATCAGGTAAGGGCGTTAGATCGGACGATAAAGTTAACAGTGCGAAGAAGGGTAGGAAAAAGAAAGTTTAGTTGTCTCGTTATCGGCGAAGGAGCTGCAGAGCCGTCTGTCGTACGGTTTGGATCTGAGTTTTTTATTTTGTTATGAATTTTTCATTATAGCAATGCATACGATTAAAAATATCAATTTGATTGAGACTATTCTAGAGAATCTCGTTAATTCATTTTTTTCTCAACCCATTAGTCGAATCAACTTCTGAGAGTTGTCGTTCGTATGGGGGCGACAGCTGATTAACGGAAAAACAGATTTTAAACAGATTTTTTTTTTATATTCGTCCATCACTAAAATATAATATCTGTGTATAGTTGTCTTCAAGAGGCGTACATTTATCAGGCTAGTTAGAAATTTAAGCTAAGTTGAAATCTTACTGAGGTAACATTCGCAAGGTGAAAATCCATAACGTATTCAAAAAGCACTTTGTGAGATTTTCACTAAACAGTTTTACAAAAACGCAACACGTGTTTCGCCACACAATGGATTCTTCCAGCGTGACTTTACTCTGTAAAGACATTACATTGCACTACACTTTACTACATTACAATACAATTCTACTGCATTATACTACACTTTAGTGCATTACACTACAATTCTACTACAGTACACCCTTTCATTACATTACACTACACTTCCATTGAATTACACTACACTTCTACTGCATTACACTAAACTTTAGTTCATTACACTACAATTCCTCTGCATTATCCTACACTTCTACTGCATTACACTACTCTTCCACTGCATTACACTGCACTTCTACTGCATAACACTACACTTCTACTGCAGTAAACCACACTTCTACTACATTACGCTATACTTCTGGATTATACCTCACTTCCACTGAGTTACCCCACATTTTAGTGCATAACACTTCAATTCTACTGCGTTACACTACACATTACATCATTACACTAGAAAATTCACATTACTGCACTAATAGAATCCTCATTCAGAACACTTCTACTGCATTACATTAAACTTCAACTCTATTTTATTACACTTTAGTGCATTACACTACAATTCTAATGCATTATTCTACACACTACAGTGTTACACTATCAAATTTACACAACATTGAACCAATGGGCTTTTCATTCATATCCAGTTACACTTCTACTGCATTACACTATACTTCTACTGGATTACACTACACTCCCACTAAGTTACACTACACTTTAGTGCATAACACTTCAATTCTACTGCATTACACTACACATTATATCATTGCACTAGCAAATTTACATTTCTACACTAATGGGATCCTCATTCAGATCCAATTATACTTATACTGCATTACACTAAACTTCTACTCTATTATATTATATTTTAGTGCCTTACACTACAATTCTAATGCATTATTCTACACACTAAAGCATTACCTATCAAATTTACACAACACTGCACCAATGGGCTTTTCATTCAGATCCAATTACACGTCTACTGCATTTCTCTATACATCTACTGAATTACACTAAACTGTACTGCATTAATCTACAATTCTACTGCATTACACTACACTTTTACTGCATTACACTACACTTTTACTGCATTACACTACAGGTCTGCTAAGGAAAAGGAATTCTGGAGTTGAAGCATATTTCATAATTTTAAAAAAACTTCTCGATTATATTAATTTATTTTATGAAAAAAACTGATCTCACTTCTTCGAATTAATTGTAGCACAAAAGGAACTTTCATTTCATAACATATTAAAGATGAAATTATCTAGAAAATTAGGTCATAGCTAGCTAATGGGTTCTCCAACTCAAAATCGGTTGAGATTTTATGAACAAATTGATGAAGGTATGCATTGTAATAATGAAGTGCTTTGTATATAAGTGCTAGTCATTTCATCTTAAAGTTTTTTTTTCGAGATTGAACAGTTAGAGATTTAAAGAGTATGGATCGATTGGATTCAAAATTTTACGGTATGAAAATAATGGATGAAAAAATGAATAACTGAGACAATCAAGAATTGAATGTCATTATAGTTGAAATTGCTTTTTTTTTCATTTCAACCACATCTGATGGCTCTGTTTCAACATGCGGAATGTATCAAAAATGCATTAAATGAAATATTTAGTTTAAGAAAACTAGCACTATAATAAAGTGAACGTTACGTAATCATAGAATTTTTTACGTAAGATGTTTGTAAGGACCAATACTGGGCGTTTTGTGTTTTAGTGCCTCGTAATTTTCAATGATTTCGAGACGTTTGGAACGATTACACGATAAACAAAGAGCTGCCAAAAATGTACAAAATTTGTTAATTAGAAAGTTAAGTCCACGTTAGTCGAACTCGAAATGACTTCAAATTTTCAGTTGATCTGTGATAATTTTTATGAACGCATATTTCAAGTCTCTTTGTTCACTTTAAAGTCCAGTTTTATTATTTATTTTTATTATTGTTGCGTTACGTTGGAGGTGTTGAATTTTTATTGTTTACTTTGTTAACCAACGTGTAAGCTGTAATCAAAAACTGCATTCGATTCATAACTGTCAACATCAAGTAAATATTTTTCATTTTTGTAGTAATGCGATTGAGATATTCTCTTTGTATGAGAACTGAGTTTCGCGGGTTCTCGCCCACCGAATTGACTGGAACAACCAAATAAATACGTTTCTAAGTTAAGTTTATTCGAAAAATATCCAAATTGGATTGTCTTCCAAAAATTCAAAGGACATTCGAGTTGTTTGTATTCAAATGACTTCGATATGATGCCAGTTTTCTGCTTTATGAAATATTTATTTTTAGTAGCTAGAGTTTAAATATATTAACTTGGCAATACTTCTTAGATCAATATTAACGAGGAGTAATGAGAATTTTAATTGAGTTTCGTACTCCTGCTAGTGATATGATATACGTATATAACGATATATATGCGCAGTAACAATGTCAGTATTGCCAACAAACTAGGGAATAATTTATATATATATATCAAAGTAAGTTGGGCAGAAAAATTCTTAGGCTAACATAGAAAAGACTTATTTTCTATAAAATTTGATTTTATTATTCAACATAGGGCAAAATAACGTTTACAGCGGTCATACAGTTTTCCATCACCTGAAAACAGTCGCTTTTTGCTCCTCAGTGCACCTCATTTAAACTCAACAAACCACTTCTCAACAGTTAATTTTCCTGAAGCTAAGCCTTAGCTTCAACAGTATTTTTTTTTGTCAAAAGCATTGCTATATCAACACAAGAAACTAATTTTCTATCCAACAAACTAATAGTCCGATAGCTGTTAAATTTGTACACGTGTCTTTTGAAGATTAGGGTTAACTAAAAATCATGTGGATTCAATACCAGTAACGCCATCTGTGTCTTAGTCTACGAACTTGTCAGCCCATCTAGTATATACCATAGATATAAGTAATGAAAAGGAATATGAGTTTGCATCTTGAGATGACCTCAGATCGACATTGTCTTCAGTCGGAGTGGATACTTCTCAACCTCAAATAATTACTTGAATTTAAATAGAGTTTAAAATAAAATGCGTTCCAAAACTGAGCATACGTTATATTGAAATCAATAACTAGAAAATTAGTCGTGGATAAATCATTTTATTCTGACATACCTACTTTCAGTTTAAAAAACAAAACATTTCTTCACAAATATTTAGCAATGTTTTGTTGTGAATTTAAGCAACGAAACTGGGAATTCATCCATTAAATGATATTGAATTTTCATCTGATGCAATGAGGTATGGTGTACAATTTCTATGCAGCTTGACTTATGCAAATTGCCTACGAGCAATAGTCTGTTTAAAAATAATAGAATATCGGGGGGGGGTAAGTAGATCCCTGTGGCATATCAAGGTTCATATCAAGCTAATCAAGTCTTCGATCTTCATTCGTGGCTTGGTTTCGATTCCATCTGATTTAACAATCAGTTTGATGGATTTGAAATTTTACTGCTCTTCAGATTTTGTGAGGGCAGTAAAAGGAATCCATGACTTGTCAATGTCAATCCATGTGCTTGTTGATGTACAGGTAATGAGTGGTTTCGATATTTATGGCTCGTCTGTCATCTGAACAAATAAATCTTCACTATTTTGGATGAGATGCTCAGTTATCCATATATGCAAGGCCCTAGTATGGCGAGGCCATACTGTGGCATTGCCATAGTAACCTAACAAAAAGTTTGGTTATGAGAATGGCATTGAATAATTCCCCAAAAAACTAAAATCCCCAGAAATATGACTTTTTCATTATTATTTCCTTAGTGGGACACAGTAATTAAATTTGAGGAGTGATTCGTTCTGGATATGTATATTTTACTATACAACCGAGTCAAAATAAACGCAATATGTCTACAATTGTGCAGCACTTCCCTAGTGGAGTACATATGACTTGAGCTGTTTTAATTTTAGATATGCGACGTAATTTTTAATTGAGAACTAGCAAAATAGAAGCTTTTATGTACCACCACTCTTTTGGTCTTTCATTTTTCTGAAGTGTGGAGAATGATTTTACTATTTTCATTCTGTAGGAATCAGAAACATATTCTGGAACTATATTTTCATTAGCTATGTTCTAAGGTATTTTTGTTTGAAAAAATCTATATAATAACCAGTTATTCCATGTTTTGAAATAGAATTCGTCCTTATTTCTTAAACTGTGAAATGGGGTGTTGAGAAGTATGCATTTCAAATCGTGTTTTTTAAAATATTTGACCGGTCCACTGGGTATTGTATATATTTGAACGGATATTGTCTTTGCTGTTATGTTCATGTGGTATATTTTCGTTGTTGTAAAAATCATTGAAGCGTTTGAATTGAGTTTTTGTCAAGAACAGTTATTTTCCAAGGTCTTTTTATTGCAAGTGTAGTAATATTACGCAATATATGATACCAGATGAAAAGAATCGTGTTTGATTTTTTCAGTGCCGAAGTACGGTGCACTTCAGTTTATGTGAATTTTTCTATAAAATTTTTCCACATATTTTAATGCATTGAAATACGTTTTGTCGAATAGCCAGCAGTTTTTGTTTTGATGCATTCAAAATGATGTCTCAAGAGAAAAATTACGTAACTTGGAAGATCACTGTTCTTCGGCACTCAATTTCCTTACCTCATTCCCATTACCCTGCAAAAAAAACTAGCGGAGATTCAAACCACATGGATAGGAGTCGAATAGGGGAGATTTTTCTCTTCAAAGAAATAACAGAGGTGTTTCTGAATAATGATAATAAATTTAGATAACAACAAAAAAATAGGAGAGAGAAAAATAAAAAAACACTCTGTATTTGATGTGCAAATGGCTTTTGGTTCAGATCGCGAATTTGCATCCGCATCTGCTCTTCCACCAATGCCGAAAATGAATAAAAATAAAATATTAGGGCTTGAAACGAAAAAAAGAAGAAAGAAAAAAGAAAAGTAAAAATTATGTCCGCAAAGTATGGAATAAATTCGATACTTCCAAAACCAAAGGTCGTTTTACAAAAACCTGAAACACGTCGATTTTTAATTTCAATATCCTACATTTTACAACAAAATTTCATTATACAGGGTGATCCGTATTAATGTGATGACGTCATCGGTAATTTTTTTGAATGGAACACCCTGTATTTGGTGTCAGTTTTAGATAATCCGTAACGAGCTGATTCCGAAAAGATATGATACTTGGTGTCTAACGGACAGAATTTGAAAGATTTGCGCTTAGAAAATAAATTTTATTGATATCTAATAAAAGTAGAAATTAATTAATTATTTTATATTTTTTCTAATGATTAATTTAACAATGGAAAAGTAATCCAGTAATAAATACATGACTTTATTTTAAATGTTCGAACTGTATAGTCTTTGCTGTTTTGTTATTGTGAAATGGCATTAGTTCGATTGACGTTCAGTAACTGTTAAATAGGACAGTAGTTGTTGTATTAATTCGTGAATTTTCTGTAGTAGTGCTTCGAATTAATTTGAAGTAGTAATGAATTTAAGTGTAAAGCAAAGAATTTGAATACTTATGATGACTGGCTATGGAGATCGCGAACTCAGATGGAAGTGTATAACTTATTCAATGAAAAATATCCAGAAAGACGCATAATGCAGTCAGCAGTAAGTAAGATTGAAAAGAAATTTCGAGAAACTGGTACAGTTGAAAATGCACGCAAATCAGGTCGTCCTTCTGTAAATGATGATTCAAAACTAGATGTTCTACTTGCTTTTGTAAAAGATGTGCACACTTCTGCCCGTGAGGTTAGTCGTGATTTCGATGTCAGTAAAACAACTACACAAAGTATTAAAATTGGACAAATGGCATTCCTTTGAAATCGAACTTCTACAGGAATTAAACGAGGATGATCCAGATAGAAGAATATAATTTTGTGAAGCTATGATGGATAACTGTCACCGATACCGTCTCCTCGTAAAAAATATAATTTTTTCTGATGAAGCCACTTTAACATTGAATGGTGGGGTCAACCGTCAGAATTGTAGGTACCGGGCCAAAAGAAAACCCACTGGATGCGTGAGCATCATACACAATACCCGCAAAAGGCAAATGTAAATGCTGGCATTGTGAGAAACAAGATCATCGGACCGGTACTTTAGACGGGATATATTGAATGGCCAGCGAGGTCGTCAGACTTAAATCCGTTGGATTACTTTGTGGGGCCTTCTGAAGAATGTTGTTTATAAAACGAAACCAGCAAATATTCAAGAATTAAAAGAGAGAATTCGAACAGAAATAAACATTATTTCTCAAGAAACCATAAACAAGGTTTAACAAGAATTTATTCAACGTTTAGGTTACTGTCAAATACAGCAAGGACTACAGTTCGAACAATTAAAATGAAGTCATGTATTTATTACTGGATTACTTTCCCATTGTTGAATTAATCATAAGAAAAAAATATGAAATAATTAAATAATTTCTACTTTCGATATCAATAAAATTTATTTTCTAAGCGCACATCTTTCAAATTATGTCCGTTAGACCCCAAGTACCATACCTTTTCGGAATCAGCTCGTTACGGATTATCTAAAACTGACACCAAATACAGGGTGTTGCATTTTAAAAAATTACTGATGTCGTCATCCTATTAATATAGATCACCCTGTATAATGAAATTTTATTGTAAAATGTAGAATATAAAAATTAAACCTACTTTTAAATACAGTTTCTGACATGTTGAAACAATTGTTTTTCCATTTATGGAGATAATTGATTGTGAAGGAGATATTATAGAAAAAAAATCGTTTGAATATTTCCTTTTCATGTACAGAAATGTTTAGCACTATCTTCTTACGCAAATTCAGGTTATGGATATCTGTTTTATTAGTAAAATGTTCATATAAGTAGGGAGGATTCCTATATTTGAATATTTTAAAGAATATGCATGTTGCATGAAGACGTCTACGTCAACCACTTGAAATCTGCTAATTTGTGTGAAATTCTGGACCTTCTTCTGATACCAAATATTGACCTGGCGCAAGAGTTTTGAACTTTTCGTATGCGACACCTGTCGTTATTGTCTAAACATGAATGATAAACAGCGTCACAGTGGTTGAAATGAGATAAAACTAATGAACCACATAGCATTTTCTTGACATCCACATCCAAATATTGTCTATGGGGATATATGAGTTTCAATGATGAACACACAATTTTAAGTTTGTAGGTTATATGTTGCGGTGGAGGGTCGAATAGATCCACTCACTTTGAACCTAACCTATATGTACATAAAATCTTAGTTTATGATCTAAAGTCAACCCCAAATTTTTTGAATACGGTCTAAATTGTTATCTCAGAGTCTGCCATTTTCAAGCTCTAGTTTTTTTACTTCTTCCCTGATGCTATCACTTCCAAAGATAATAGCTACTGATTTGTTTGGATCGTCTTTCAACATATAGTCAGTAGAAACTTTTAAAATCGTATTAAGATCAAAACTTATATCGGTTACTGCTTGACCTATATCTGAAGATTCGACGGCATTTGTCATGGACGAGATTATTAAACCAAGTTCTCACCACTTTGTTCTTTGGAGTGTTTTCTTTAATTTCGTCAGTGATCTTTTCTATAAGACAACTTCTATTCATTATATTTACATGAACTTGAATTATATTGAGCACAACCCTCCATTCAACCCAAGATAAAATGGTGTCAGGTACGGGATAAAGTACTGTCAAATGTAATCATGAATGCGGTATAGAAATTATAAGGTTGTTTCAAAAGTTTTGTCAGTTTTGATCAGTCTAATTTAAAGTGTAATATCTCAGTGAATTTAATCGAAATAGAGAAACTTGAAGGCTATTCTGGTCAAAAAGGCTTACTATATTTTGAATGATTTTTTTGAGGATAACCTCAACACATAATAATATTTGAAAGGGTTATAAAAAAAAAATCATGTGTATATATTCTCTCTAAGAGCAATTTGAAACAGCCAATAACCAAAATTCCAAATATGACAGCATATCAAACAGTTGAATTCATTTATTACTGAATGTTTTCCCAACTTGGGGGAACCGCGCTGCAGGGCCCTAAAATTTGCGGTATGCATATTAATAAATACTAGATGCTATGTGTGTCTGTCAATTTTCGGTGCAGTTTTCCGGAAATTACACTTGGGGCAGGTAAAATAACAAACATATCATATTATGGTCTTCAGGAAATACGGGTTTCACATGCAAGTTTAACTTTCAGGGCATCCTTCATGCCTTCAGTTTACCGACAACATGAAGATATCCGTCAAGAAATACCGCTGGCAGTGCATCGAATGTAAATGCTGCTCCGTTTGTGGAAACTCCGATAACGACGTGAGTATACTTATTCTACAAAATGTGAATTTGGTTTGGACTTTTCACTTCATAGACTGGATTTAAAAAAAACGATATTTCAGTGGGTATCCTTTGAGCTAGATGCACCTCTTTCGAATCCCCGTCTTACCTTTTTAGAGATTGAGCAATAAAAACTTTTAGGGATTCAAAGAGCCTGTGTGAAGTCAGAGTCCCTCTTCTATATTCAAAACTGAATAAATTTGTGGAATATGGAAAATATTGATTTTGCTCTTCATACGTGTTGGAGCAACGGCAGATGGTTGTTAGAGAAGGTTGTACATTTCTAGTTGTTTAGTTGTACTAAAACCTACATGAAATGACTGTACAACTCAGACATAGACTGAACCTAGAATATCTGCTGTTCCTTGCAAAGACTGATGAGGATTGGATGTGAAACAGGTGAAACTTCAACCATCCATTTCACCTGAATTGTGAATATTATTTCTAATATAAGAAAATAGGTTCTCAAGTGGCTCATATTTCTTGTTTCTATGACTGACTTTTTGTCAGTGGTTGCTGAAAAGTTGTAACCAAATGCGTGATTGTTCGTTAAATCGTATTTGGTCAGACGAGGCTTATGTGAGCAGTGCCAGTATTTTAAACCATAACAATTATTATACTTGGGCACAACAAAATCCTCATTCTATTGTGGAGCAGGGAAGTCAAGGAAGGTTTGGATTTAGTGTGTGGGCAGATGTTTCCAGAGGTAGAATTATCGGCCCGTTCATTTATAATGGCAGTCCTCACATATCAGAGGTATTTGGAAATTTTAAGGCAAAATATTGAACCCTTCGTTGATGAATTCCCACTAATGGAGCTCAGAAAAATATGTTTTCAACAAGACAAGGCTTCGCCCCACAACACTGCAATTGTCACCAATTTTTTGGCTGCAAATTTTGGTAATAATTTGATAGCCAACCAAGAACCCAACCGTTGGCCTGCCATGTCATCGGACCTAACGCCTATGGACTTTTACCTCTAGAATAAAAGTCCATAGGCTGTATTTTAAGCAAGGATAACTCTAGCAAAACGTCCAGTGTGCTACATTTTTTGAAAGGAATATACAGGGTGTCTCTTAAAAAAAATAGTTTTCTATCAATAACTATTGATGTCACATTTGAAAAAATGAGTTTTTTACACCATTGAATTCTACGTAAAAAAGTGCTTTGGAACTGTTTTCGTAGAAACAAGAAATTTTTGACAGGACAAAAGTTATAGCCAGTTCTCGAAAATGCACATTTTGGAAAAACAAGAACGACGGTAGATATCGATATACGGTTTTCACCATTAGATTTTTCATGAAATTTGATCTGAATTGAAAACAGGAGTTTCCCTTTAAAAGTGTCCAATTTGGACCACTCTGTACTAAATAATTCGAAACTTTTACACAACCCCCCATTTGCCGCCTGTTGATTCAGCCAAGTGCTTGTTGACTTGACGTAGAATTTATTATATTCTCTTTGAATAGATCTGATTTTTTTACTTAAATTTTGGTTTCCAGGATCAGCTCCTTTTCTGTGATGATTGCGATCGCGGATACCACATGTACTGTCTCAGTCCTCCTCTGGTAGATCCCCCTGAAGGGTCCTGGTCCTGTAAGCTGTGCATAGATCTTTTCCACAAATAAGGCAGCTCGACGGAAGAATATTTGATGTGCGCCCAGGCAGTTTCGTTTTCAATTCCGTGATTTTTTCCATGCTACTTAACGTTTGATGATAGTTTATTAGTTGAACTGATCTGGATTGTTATTGAAGTGTACCGAGCTACTTAATGCGGTGAATTATAGTACTTAATTGACATTTTACAAATGCTTCTTAGATTATTGTGTTCCAGCATAGTCATGAGTTTGACATTCCGTCCTGGTTGGAATTAGGTAGGGGCCCCCTTTTAGCTGTATCGATTTGATTTAGCTGATCCGCTGACTGAATTTTGGATAAGATAAGCGAGTTATTTTACGTTGAATCTTGCCATCAAGAATGTTAACAACGCTGAAGAAACTGTTGCCGTAATTCTAAATCCTGCAGGGTCTCAACCAAAAAGCGTTGTTATGACATAGATTCCGCATTGAAGTGTCTGAGAAAGGTAAAGCGACTGTTGAGTGTTCAGGCAGTTTGGAAATGCATCTCATTTTTCTCTGAAGTATTTTTGGTGGAGGATAAATAGTGTCGTGGCAAATTTTCCACTTACTTTATAAACATTCAAACAAAGTGAATCTAAATATTGATGTCTGATGAAAATTGGAAGCGTATTCGAGTGAGATTCTTTCTAAAAAACTGTGAAAACAAGCCATTCCAATGGTCTTTCACTTTTCGTGTGGCCATTTTCCAAAACGTGTTGGGCGACATCAGACTCCTCTGGTCTTCCAAAATTGATTTTGCTATATTTTTTTACCCATTTCAACAAGTATTGAATTCGGCTGTGGATCTTGCTGGGAAAATTGTGAAAAAATAATAAATTCACTTCATTAACTGACTAAATATTGAGAAATCTATGCCACTAACGATTGGATGTGGTAATTCTAGAGTCTCTCGGAGGATCATAAATATTTAGTCCGTATATCATTTCCTGTTGGTTATGAAAGGAGAAGGAAAAATGTGGTATTTGGGATGAGAAGAGCCTCTAAAAAATTTTTGAGGGTTACTTGTAGAGAGGGAACCGGTTGGTCTAATGTTTTTTCTCGTTTTGGGAGGTTAGGATTTGAGAAATTCACATAAATCACCTGCTTTTTTCTGTAATGAAGCATCTCTTCATTCGCTTCAATGACAAAATTAGCAAATGTCGACTAATGATTGTTTTTTTGTAAGGATAACATGTTTTTTGTGGATTCTTCAGAACAAGAGTTTCACTTCGATTTTAGTTATGTAACTTTTCATTGAAAAAAACATTGAAATGTCTACCTCCTTTGAATTATTGTTGAAGTGTTTGGTTTATATTTTTTAATGAAGTGTATTTTTATGTAAATTATAAAATTTCATTTGCGAGATAATATATTATGAAAATTTCTCAGTTTTTTATTTATTTCTAATGTCTTACCAGTGTAATTTTCCTCAATACTACTACTACTTGTTCATAATAATTGAATTCCAAAATTTTTTGGAAAACAGAAACTGATACCCAGGTTGACCACGTGCGGTAGATTTCTACTTTTTCTGCAGATTTTCAACACAAATTGAAAAATTGCAGTAGATTAATTTTCGCCGGTAAATTTGGATGAGACGCATTCGCTATAGAATTTTTATTTCAATGCGAGTAGCGACATCTACAGCAAATGACATTAATTCATTGTTTCTAGGTTTTGCCGCTGCGATACACAGAACACAAAATGGATACAGATCATAAAACATCCATTTCCCGATTGCTTGTTATTGTTTTCTGTTTATCTCCGACCTCCCAATAGAGGAAGGACATTTCAAACATGGAAACATTTCTGGATTTGAATCTTGAAATCTAATACTTGAAATTGTTCAAGGCCTTGTAGATTCAGTCATGCTATTCAAATGTCTTTACAAGCGCCACCTAATGACACTGTAGGTAGTTTCCTCAAATAAAACGGGTTCACGCTGCTGATACCCATTCTGTAACTATAATTGGTTAGGATGATGAAAAAATTGATTTCAATGCGTTGAAATAACTAAACAGCACTTTCCATCTGTGGAAAATTAAATTTTTTGCACTAGATATCATTCTAAGAATACTATCACAAGGAAATTAATCATCCATAGATTACAACTTCTTTTAGATAAGTACCTTGGCAGTTTCCCGCCTTTTAGTTCACTTCTACACAGACGTCTACAGACGCAGATCATATATCACAGTTACAATTCATAATAATTTGTTGTGGAATTGGCTGCGGTGGTAGTGCGCCCGATTCACGATCGGAAGACCGTGGGTTCGATTCTGCAACCGTGTTGGGAATCACACGTTGAAAGGTAAGACCTCGTTAGTTCTTAGCTCGCACAAGTTTCTCAACTTCTTAGAGTTGTCGTTCGTATGGGGACGACAGCTGATTAACGGAAAAACAGATTTTTTTAAACTATGATTTTACTTATAACTTCTAATACATTCTTTCTACAAAAATGGAGAAGTGGAAAACAAAAACTATCCTGAAATTTGTATCTATACTCATTTTGAAAATTATCCACCTGCAATAAACTTGAACAGTAAACAATTGACCCTAGTTATAGTGACTGTTCTGTAATTTACAGAACACTTGAACAGTGACTTCCCACAACGCAAATATGCAACACGTAAATCATCTTGACGTAAGGACCTTTGGTGTTTCTCTTCTCCATCTTTTTTTAATGGCTGCAATAAAATATCTCTCTCAAACGCCAGGTCCATATGAATATGTCTATGGGTTTTCCGAATATCGTTTTCCAGTTAATGGAGGTTTAGAAGTAAACATCATTTTGTTTACTGTTTGTGGTATATTAAATGTGATACCTCTAGTCACAAGAGAATGTCTATATCAAATCTGAAGCTTCAAGACGACACTAACAACATTCCTCTGGCCGATGACGACCCGCAAGGTAATTGAATTAACTAATCAATTAAAAATAAAATCGATGATGTTCTAGTTATTATAAACGACGATCCAGAACCCAACTCCACATCCGACGGCAATTCCTCGAGTATGTTGCGAGGTAGAAGCACGGACTCCATCCAGTCCTCTTTCACCAATGGAAGCTCCAGCCCTCAACACAACAGTTCGGAGCCGGATTACAGCCCCGACGAACGGGAAGAAAAAGCTCGTCTCATATCCCAAGTGCTCGAATTGCAAAATACCTTGGACGATCTTTCCCAGAGAGTCGACAGCGTCAAGGAAGAGAATTTGAAACTGCGATCTGAAAATCAAGTGCTTGGCCAGTATATCGAGAACCTAATGTCGGCGTCGAGCGTGTTCCAGTCCACTTCGCTGAAGATCAGAAAGAAGTAAGAAGTTACATGCTGAATTCTGAAAGCAGTTTTTGACTGGTGAATATTCGTTTTAACAGCTTACGAGAGTTTTAAATAATTTTTAGTTCGACTTTTGTCGGTTGGTCGCGAACTTGAAGTCAGAACTTGGTGCTCTACCATACTTTTGGAGATACACCTACACAAAAGTAGTTCCACATTTTCAGGGATTCACTTCTGGTAATAAAACCTCATAATATAACGCCTTGTTCAGGTCGCATGCTTTGGATCTTCATTCACTTACCACTCTATTTTTTTCCCCAGGGTTTCACTCTGAAATCATTTGAAAATAGCGAACAAATGCCTGCAACGTGCAACAGAAAAACAAAGTGTTATTCTATATTTTTCACTACCGGAAGTTAGTTCCTGAAAAAATAGATATTTCAACAGTTTTGACTCTTGAGTAGTCGTATCTCCAAAGGTAGACCGGAGCACCAGGAACGACTTGAGATTTGTGATTAATAGATAAAAATACGTAAATCTTATTGAAAACTTTCAAAAAAATTATCGCAAACCAAAATAACAAATATTCACCTTTCAATTCAATGACTGTATTGTAACAATTGTGCTGTAGCTTCTCTTCAATTTTCGATCTGAGAGCCTGCATCGTTGATGATTCTCTCGACCACTGCGGAGTCACCAGCCAGTAGTACTCTATAAGCCTGATTATTACAAAGAAAATACAATTATTTAAGTTATGAGTTATAAATGCCTGTGATTACTTTATTAAATTAATTTACTTATTGAGGTATTTGTATTATTTAATTTTTTTTTTATTTTTTCTGAAAAAGGTGTGATGATATATCTGATTAGAAAATGGGATATTATATTATTAGTTTAAGACAAATATCCAAACCGGTAGACAGGCAAACATGATCCCTTAGAATAGCCCACTAGATCACCTGATATGACTCCTATAGGTGTTTCAGGGGATGCATGATATATTAAGTGTATGGAACACAATAGCAGTCCATTTCAGAACTCGTGGATAGAAAAATAGAGGAATATTTCATTATGTAAGAAATAACATTCAGTATATAGGGTCTGACCCCTCTGGACCTGTACGTTAAGGAGGTTGCGTTAATGGCCATGTTACGATTGCGCACGGCTGGTGTAAACCTCAAAGTAGAAATGGGTCAATTGAGGCTGGGCCTATGAGAAGCGCTTACTGCGCAACCTCTGCTGCAGGCAACCAGTGACGCAATTGAACCCAGGTTTGTGTTTAATAATAGGACGATGACCTAGAGGACAACTCCTCGGGAGGATATAGAATGGGTCACATGTAGTCTAAGTGCTGTGGGCTTACACTCACCCTCCCTACTCTACATATACAGAACATTCAGTATAAACCAAATTGTTTTATAGGTTATAGGTTGTTTGAGGTTAAGTGGAAGAGCAATTAATAACGATTTATCGTTATAAAAATTGAACTTCGCCTTTTCTTTTCAACTCATTCATATTTTTGCCCATACTGTTCATTAACTTATTAGTTGTAAACAATAAAGACATTCATTATTATTATTATTCAATCCTCCTGACATCTAACAATTTATTTGATATCAAATTCAAAATACCCGTAGAATATAATCAGAATCATTATATAAAACCTATAAGTGGTTCTAGTCAAACAGTGGTAATGATTAAAAATACTTCGCAGTATTCTGTAAATTAATTATCATTTTTTAAATTTAAATAACAGGTGGCGCTTTTTTAGTAACGTTACGTTCAGCTAATTTGTTCTTAGTTGAAAGGCTTTTATACTCTGAGAACCAGCGGCAAAACTTAGTTACTGTGTCTCTCTGACAAACTTCAGTTGAAACGGTAAAAAAGCCAAGCTTCAACCTGAACGAAACGAGGACTATTTTCCAGAGACTGAATTTTGTGTTACTGCGTTTGCTGTTATTTATCATATCAATACAGACATTAGGAAAATATTGGAATAATGGCCAATGTCTGTTCAGTGACATTAGCTTTTTTAATGATAGCCCAATATTTTTATTACAAACATGTAAATAGAAATTCCTGGTGGCATCGTGATTGGCAAGGAGTTTTATGTTTTCGATGCATTGGATATCTGATCAGCGCATCAACTTTGTTGTATTTTTATGCAGCTCGCTAGAAATGATGGACCGATTGATATTTGAAGATGTCTGAATGCAATTGGAAAAATGACCATTTCAAGTGGGATCAGTATTCAACTTTTGGGACATTCAACAAATCTTTTGTGAATTACCCACGAAGATTGAGGGGGAGTACAGGATTCAAGACATGTACGAACAAGTTTGAGCTCAACTACTTTAATTTATTCTGAATAGGTATATTTATATGTTTTCAATAATTTCATATTCATTTGAGTAAATTTGAAAAGGTATTCGTGGTAAAATACATTAGTTTTAAGAGATTAAGGTTAAGGTGAATTTATATCTATATTTTTATATAAATTAAAATTAAATAGTTTTTTATGGTTTTTATTGGCGTAGGTATGACGAGAAATCAAACAATAATTTCTTTTAGATACATACACATTTTTATATATGTAATTTCCTTAGAATATGTTGTTAATATTATTATGTATTATATGTTATAACAAGTACTTAGTATTTCAATATTCATCACCCTCAAACATGATTGTAAACTTGTCAGAAGTTTAGTATTCTATGACATGACATTTGTCTACTTGTCATTAACCATAAAATTTTACTCATAGACATATTTACTAACTTCCCCATTTTAAATTAATAAAATGCATAAGTCAAATGATTACAATGTGTTAAAACAACAATAAAAATAAAATAAATACTACAATAAACATTAATTGGCGCTCCGGGGCTGTTTCATTGATTCCAGTGGCGCATTTGCTTTTTCAGCTGCAGAAAAACCCGGAAAAACCTGCAGCACCACATCATCTGAAAATCTTGATCTAACAATGTCCTAGTGAACAATGACTGCTTGAATATTATAACAGTGGTCTGCTAGGTTGAAATGTTCATCTATTTCGAACCTTCCAAAGAGTTTCTTGCTTCCGTTAGAGGTTGAGTCTTTTTTGAGTATCATCAGTGTTATTATTAGATTGACTGGTGCCTCAGCTATACTTGTTTCCTTATAACAGTCAGTTAGTTTGGCACATGTTTGACAATACAGTCGATCATCACCCATTTTAATATGGCATCAAACGGTAAACGGCATGGATCAGCTGTTTACCGTTTGATATCATCGTTTCTTAAACTTTATACCATTAATAATGTATACATCCTTTCCACTATCACCAAAAGACGGTACGCTCCGTCAGAACTGGGAAAATGACAATAGTTGTCCAAATCATCTAAATGGATAATTGTTGAACATACTAGCGCACTCATTGAGGGATGATACTACAGAGTGCTGCTTATTCTTCAATAGATAATGAATACGCATTTTTTTTCTCTTTCTCCAATTAGAATTCGAATATTAAATTCAACATATTTTCAAACACATAACGTCAACTAAATTTCTAAACTTTCAAATTCATACACGGTAAATGTGATGGCGCTATAGCGGACATTCACACAACTTTATTGGAAGTACATCGTCTAGAAACTGAGCCAGATGGTAAAACAAAGTCCAGTGCGGCACTTTCAATATATTGTTGTGGTTTCCTGTGCTTTCCATGGATGGAAGTGATCCATTCCATTCATTTATCCCACAAATTCATAAATGAATAACTCAAATCTATGTATAACATTCCGATCCTCTGTTGAGTAGCGCCACCATCGGTAGAAATTCGTAACTATATATATTGTCTATGATTGATATTAACATGCATAGACATGATAATGATAATATTATGACGTCACTGTTAACATGACATTTGTGTTATTTACCATAACAAAATTTTATTCGTAGACGTTACAATATTTACTAACTCCCTCAGAGCAATAAAGTCCCAAAACAATAATGGAACCAATTTCCAGCATAAATCCTACAAAAACAGAGTCGATAGTATCCTTTCTTAATTTCCCTTACATTTGTAGAGTCTGTTTGACTCGAGGGGACTTGGAATCTGTAGAGGAAGATAATTTGATAGATTTGTTTTTTCACATCACCAATATTGTGAGTGGCTCCTTGTGTTCCATACAAAGTATTAACTGCGTCTTTTAGGATCAGTCGAATTCAAATTTTCCTGGGAAAATGTGCAAGGAATGCTTAAATACCCTTATAGACATTTCGGTATTCATTGATATTTCCAAGCTTAATTATGCAACTCTGAAACAAGCCTTGAAAAATTCAGAAAGCACTGGAGACTCATTGGAAACTGACCTTTCCACTTGTAGAGTGTGCTTGACTAAAATTGGTTTGATACAAATGGAAGAAAATCTCAATCTATTGCTGTTATTGGAAAACATTACAGGTATCAAAGTAAGTGAAATGGTACCTATTTTCTTCTAATCCTTAACCTTCAGTGGTTATACCAAGTTCCTTTCTGTCAGACCAGGTTCTATCTACATCAGTTCTATCTTATTGAAGCGGTATTAGATTAATGCTCTTTTGGTAATATAATTGAAAGCACATTCATTTTCACTGTAAACATTAATTCACGAGCATTGAAATTATTGTGTATGTATTTACTCATAATCTCATTATGCACATTCACTACCAGAAAAATCACTATCACCTCTGTGCTAAATTTAACTTGCTTCTTCATGATCTGATTTCTCAACATCAGATTTATGGTAGACTTCTGATAACCTATTCTAAAACAATCTTCATCTCCTCTTGCTTTTTTTGGTGATAGATTCAATCGAAAATGAGTATTCAAAGCAAAAAAATGGTCTTGCTAAAGAAATTCTCTTCACGTAAACTACAAACATACCATTGCTAAAATTATTCTTGAAGTATCATAAGGACTAGTTGAAAAGAAATTATTCATTGGGGCTTACTAGTGACCCTTCAAGTTTCCATAAAAAACTAAAAACCATGCCAAAGCCAAAATTTTGTATTATTGTGTAAATAACAAGATAAAGCATGTATCCATCTACTTTCAGTTGAATACACATATACCTCTCCCCAATTATATTTGCACAAAGTGTGTTGAGAAGCTAGAACAAATCTCAGTTTTCATTGATTTATCGAAAAGAACTGATGCCAGTCTCCGTCAAGCAATTATCAACAAGGACATCAAAACGGAAAATTGTTGTGACATCAACCAAGATGAAACAACTTTGAAAGAACAAATTGCTACTAATAATTCTGAAGACAGTACAGTGCCCTTAAAGAAAGTCAAATTGGAAGTCACTGAAGAAGATTATCATTACGATGAACTGAATGAATTGCAAGAACTTAATGACAAAGTAAAAGTAGAAATTGCTGTCGAGGACGAAATTGCAGTTACCAATGATGGTCCATTCACTTGTGATTTCTGTAGCAAGGGTGAGTTGCACCTTTCTAGTGTTTTGGTGGATGTGTATATGTAACAAAATCAATACAATTTTATGTTGGTCAAACTGGGAGAATATTTGAAAAAAGGACGGAAAGATGGATGCAACATTTGCAAACCATTTTTGAACGGAGGGGCTTGGGTTGGAAAAGTTGAAAGAGAAATAGAAAGATAGAAATTACTTGCTGAAAAGCAATTTCATATTTGTGTATCAGTTCTATTTTTTTTCAGATTTGCCAGTGAAGTTCAGCAACGAGTACAATGGCAAATATCCAGTAACTTGCAATGTATGTGGAAAACAATCTGTTAAAAAGCAGGAAGCCGGTGAAGATAAAAAACAGTTAGGCATTGAACCAAAAGACTCTATCAACAATAAGAAAGCTCCTTTCCAGTGCAAAGTATGTTCCAAAACCCTCGTTTTCTACAGCAGTCTGAGAAATCATATGAAAAGACATTCAGGCGACAGGTCTTTCCAGTGTGAAATATGCGCTAAAACATTCTATCGGAAATGCGATTTGGAATTCCACATGAAGAAGCACACCAAGGAAAAACCCTTCCAGTGCGGACTATGTTCCAAATGCTTCTCCAACAAGACTTATCTGAGAATACACCTGGGAATTCACGCTGCAGAAAAAACATTTCAGTGCGAGATTTGTTCCAAACTGGTTTCCTCCGGTAGCAGTTTGAGATATCACATGAAAACTCACAGCGGGGCGAAACCGTTCACCTGCGAAGTCTGCTCAAAATCCTTCTCCGTGAAAGGTTCTCTGAAGGTTCACATGAGAATACATTCCGGGGAGAATTTGAGCCAGTGCGAGGTGTGTTCCAAACAATTCACCCAGAAATCGGAGCTGAAGGGCCACATGAGGCTCTACCACACAGGCGAAAGGCCTTACAAGTGCGGAGTGTGTTCGAAATGTTTCACCCTCCGGGGCACCTTGAACGTGCATATGAGAATACACGCCGAAGAAAAGCCTTTCGCGTGCGAAGTGTGTTTGAAGGGATTTTGTCAGAAGTCTGAGATGAAAACTCACATGAGAATACATACTGGCGAAAGACCCTACCAGTGTCAGGTGTGCTCCAAGAGTTATGCCCAGAATTCGCATCTGAGATCCCACATGCGAGTTCACGCTCGGTTGAAAACTGAAGACGAGTGTAATCTGGACGAAAAACTGAGTTGTTGACACAGCTGAATGAAAATTAGTTCTTTCGCAAATTGGATTTGCAAATCACAATTCATTAGGTGGCAATTCACTCGAATTAAATGAAGTAACCATTTTCGATAAGGACGAAGTGGTGGCCGGTTTTATATTTCACTGTTGGTACTACTTAATTTGTGTCAATTCTTTCGACTCCATTCTTCCCCAGTAGATGGCGCCACATGAAATTTTTGTAGGTCTATGAAATTGACCGTATTCAATATAAATTGAGCAATGGTCTGGTTTTATATTTTGATTAGAAGCTCTAATCTTTGAAATTGCTCAAATATATGCCAAATATCTGATTTATTTTGACTAATGACACTGACGGCAATGATTGCCAACAATGAAAAATAAAATCCAGCTACTACTAAATCCTTATCTTCAATTGTTAATTGAGGTCACGAGGTGGAATGAGAATTATTTTCTTCACACTAAACCAATTTCAGACAGGGAAACAACAGGGAATCCCATTGAAAGGGGGAAATAGTGAGGCTTGAATTGAAGTTGGATCAATATCTTTCTGTAATCTGTTCACCAAACAAATGGAGTCGACAAAGAGCTAGTTTATCAAGGGTCCAGTATTATTGGTTGACGGATTTTAGTTCTCGACCGACAGGCAAACAAATTCTATCTGCCTTTTTCTGATGGTTCAACTAACATTTTATTGTTGAGTTTGCTTCTATAAGTCACGCCCCTGTTCCCTCTACCATCTTCCCCCTCGCTTCCATTACCGGTCCACTCGTCCACGGACGGAAGCAGAACTTGTGTACCCACAGTCGACGCTTTGGAGTGGGGAAATTGAGACCCCGGCGTCAAGTCACAAAACCCTTGATGCATGTCACTATCAAAGAGTAGGCAGATGGAGACCCCAGCATCAAGTCACAAAACCCTTAAGGCGTGTCACTACCCGAGGAGTGGGGAAATTGAGACCCCGGCGTCAAGTCACAAAACCCTTAAAGCGTGTCACTACCAAAGAGTAGGCAGATGAGACCCCGGCGTCAAGTCACAAAACCCTTGATGCGTGTCACTATCAAAGAATAGGCAGATGAGACCCCGGCGTCAAGTCACAAAACCCTTAAAGCGTGTCACTACTTAGGTGAAGGCAGAGTGAGACCCTGGCGACAAGTCACAGAACCCTTAAAGCGTGTGACTACCAAAGAGTAGGCAGATGAGACCCCGGCATCAAGTCACAAAACCCTTAAAGCGTGTCCCTACCAGAGAGTAGGCAGATTGAGACCCCAGCATCAAGTCACAAAACTCTTGAAGCGTGTCACTATCTGAGGAATAGGCAGATTGCGACCCCGGCGTCAAGTCAGAAAACCCTTAAAACATTCCACTATCAAAGAGAAGGCAGATTGAGACTCCGGCGTCAAGTCACGAAACCCTTAAAGCATGTCACCACTTGAGGAGTAAGCAGATTGTGACCTCAGTGAAGTCATACTTTCTTTAAAATGACTTCAAAGTCGAAGCCGAAACGTTGAACACTTGTACTTGGCTATACCGTACTGATGACAGCTAAAGAGCCAGAAACACTTGAATGCGGTTTGTATATTTCCGTATTGCGTGTCTGTGAACCCTGGAAGGTATTAGGGAATCTCATGTTTACTCAAAACAATAATTATCTTAGGAAATGTTGAAATATCCAATAAATTCATAACAGCTTCAATGAACCATCTTAATGTGAAAATAATTGAAAACTTTATGTTTGTGACCAGTCATTTATATCAAGTGACATACTGCGTTTTTGAATGGTATTATCACTGTTCTTTTGTGATTTGTCATATACATATACCTACGCTTTGTATCGCCAATGTTGAATAAATATTTACTATTATTATTATTATTATTGTATGATACAGAAAGGTATTCTGGAAGTGTTAAGGGGGGGGGCAAATGAAAAGTTCCAATATTTTATGTACATTTCATGTACGTCAAGTTACAAATACATTTTTTGAAATTGACTTTTTCCAATTTTTATTTATTTTCTGGAGGAATAATTTGCCTCTCCCTATATACGTCCCTGGTAAAATTTATATGTGAGTTATATAATAATAATAATAACTGCTTTTATTGATGGTTTCATACAATTACAACACCCCTACGAACGACAACCCTCAGAAGTCGAAACTTGTGCGAGCTAAGGGTTAACGAGGTCTTGCCTTTTAACCTGTGATTCCTAACATTTAAAATAAATAAGAAGCTTAATTCCTTGAAACTGAAAGTATATTTTGCAGTAATTCATAAACCAGTTGAATTTCAATGTAGAGGATATTTTTTTATGTGTATATTATTTATGTGACGATGTGATTTTAAATTTATCAAGTTAACATTCAGGCACTCTCCGTTATTTGCTCGCCTCCTATAGTCTATTTCAAAAGAGTGTAGAGTAATAAATCATGAAGTGTCATAAAATTTGCCTGAATTTCGTTGTCGTCCATGGGCGTAGGCAAATCTTAGGATTATTAAACTTAATAATTAAAGTAAATTAAAAATTACAGACATAGATAATAATAAAAGGCCATTTTTGGGAAGTAATTTGGTCTAAAACTANGTCTCCAGAGGCTACAATAAATTCAAAACATCGCCTAGAACACTTCATGACGACTATCGTCAAACTTGCACCAGTCCGTTTCGTATTTGACCAATGCGTAATAATGACCTGCACAAAGTATAATTGGAGCTTAATATAATATATCAATTTGAATTATATGACCTTCTATCTGACTATTGACTGATGATTTTACCAGATGACCTCCTCAAAAATTCAAACATTATGCAAGAAATTCCACCAACTCATTAAATGGACATGTAATATACTAATTACCAATTTCCATTTTCAGAAACAGATTCAAAAAAGAAAAATGATTCAATTATATTTCATCATTCAGCATTGATTTCGAATGAATTAATTCACAAGCAATCCAAAAGTTTGAGTTTCAGAACTTTCCCTTTCAAATATAATATATCATAGTCATAGTTGAACTCATACCGTCTACCAAAAAATGGTTTGCAAATGTGTAATTGGTCTTCACATTCAAGAAACTACTTCTATGTTCTTTCATTCTTTGTGGAAAAGTTTTCTACGTTTAGCCAATATATAGTTTTGAGGAAGAACCACAATCAAATCAGGAGTATATACCTGATCTATCCGACATTGAGGTTTGGTTTCTATTATTTCTGATGAATTAGCCTGAATTATTATTTGTTCTGTAAAAAAAGTCCAAGTCTTTCTTAAAAAAAACTACGGATGTTATTGGTGAGTTCATCAAAGTATATCAGTTTTCTATTTGATTGATTTCTGGTTTCCCTTATGTGACTTGGACATATGAAGAGGTTATACCATCGTCAAATAGTATACATTTTCTTTTCTTTTTTTTTAGGAACATAAAACAATTATCAATGGAAACTTTTTTATAAAGTGAAGATTATCCACACACACAGATAATTCTTCGCATTTGACATTTGCTAAATTTTTACCATTTTTTGTAGGCTTGTCGTTGTCTAAGTAGGTGGATACTGTTTGAAAAGCCAAAATGTTATTTTTATGCTATCATTTATCACAAAAAAGTAGGCCTAACCTCAAAAAGTTCGGATTGATAAATATAGTTATTTTTTCGTAGATTTCAAATCCGTATCGAGAATATCTTGCTTCCATCGATGGATGTATAAAAAATATTTGATCATAACGACCCACAAAAGTGTTTCAAATATTTTTTTCTGTAATGCAGCTACAGCTACGGAATATTAGTACGTTTAAATAGTTATCAGCTTCATACTGAATCGTTTCTCAGAGAAAATACTACATCAAGAAAACTTAACCTTTTATTTTTCTATTAAATAAAACTGGAAACATGATATTCATTAAATATCACAGATATAATAGATTCTGTGTTCAGAAATCACCCAACTTACATGTAAACTGAAAACACCTAATACGTTACAAATATGAATGTTGCGTTTGATTTTTATAAAATGGGCCGATCCCGGCGGTACTGCAATACCGGGCCAACCCGCGACGGAGGTGGAGCAAGCCCCTTAACCCTCCATCAGTTTCCAAAAATCAGTTTAATATACTGGCCCCGCATGCGGGGCGTATCAGATATTAAGCTGATAAGAACAGATACTACACTTTGATCTTAGCCAAGGGCCGAGAAGCGATACCTTTGAAAATTATTTTCTCAGTATTTCTCGACTAGAAATGCGTAAAAACGAGCAGCGAGTTACCGTGAAAGCGCTTCGCCATCTATAGTTCACCTATAAAACTACGTTGAACGGTCACGTGTTTCGTCAAAATCTATCGACGCGAGAGGTGAGATTAACTCAACTTTGTACACATGTTTATAGATGGCACAAGAATCGTTTGCAGATGTAAACGTTGAGGTTTGCTTAGAGCCGCGCAGCTGTGAATCGAATGCCGAAGTATATTACATAAGGGGCGTTTGATGGGTACCATTACAAACGAAGTTTTCCGGTGTCTATATAACAAGAAATGAAGCATTCTCAACATTTCTTATGTTATATACTGCATGCATTATTTTCATCAGGAATATTGATTACTAACAGAAAGAAACCCCTAAAAAATTAAAAATACATAATTTCTGTTCTTCCATCGTCACAGTTGAATGTAATCGTCGTTTGAAGAGATTCTTAGTTCACACTCTTCGAAGAGGAAAGTCAAGTCAAAAATGTTTATTCAGTTTTGGGTTAGTATGTAGTTGGGTTATATTAGATGCAGGAGGGGGGCCCCGCTATAGGTTTATGCCTCTTCAGGGTTGGGTCGTATAAGTTTTGATTCTTGGTTATCTTGTATCTTAGTCTAGGTTTTTCCTTTGGGTTCAGGTGGTTAGGCCGGGGGTAGTAGATGTAAGATCTCAGATTCTTCTAGGCTATAGCTGTCTACTACCTGATTCTCTGTGGATACTACTCCAGGATCTGTTGCTTCGGGTTGTCTTCCATTGCTCTCCAAAGTCTGGTTGGGGGAACGGGAGGTTCTTCCTGGGTATCCTTCTGGGGCCTCCAGAGTGTGTTTTGATAGCTGGGGTGTTGTTGCTGCTCATCGTTCTGGTGACATATCGTCCTTGAGAGTTCCTGAAATCTTAGGTTGATTGAGTTACCTAGAATTTATCAAGTTATATAAATCTTGGGATGGGTAAGGCTAGTCTGTATGGAAGGTTGTGAATATTTCATCAGTCCGGACTTCCTTTGTCTAATACAATATAAATTGATTTGAAAACCCTGAAGGTTGTGAATGTTATGTAGGATTCTTCTCTCGGTTGTTCGGATGCGGTGGGATCGTCTCGGGGAGAGCGTAGAGTAGATCGTGGCTTTGTAATCCAGGATCGGTCTTATGAACATTTTGTAAGTCTGTAGAAGAGGCTTACTGTCGCATCTCCAGAGCAAACGAAGAGAAAAGAAACTACGGCATAATATATATAAACGTTACCAACGCCATCTAACAATCAGTGTCCGTATTAAGTATTCTCTCTCTATGATTATGGCTTTTGCTTTCATTGAGGCGCATTAAGCCATATTAAGTATTCTAATGACGGCTTTTGAGTAGTAAAAACAGAATCGTTGTTTGAAGAAACATCGGCACAAACAATGACAATAAACTAGTCTATATACAAAGGCAATAACAATAACATAGGAAAATGTCCAGCGCCATCTAACGATCGGTGTCCGTACTAGGTAAATATTCTAATGACGTCTTTCCAGTAGTTCAAATAGAATCGTTGTTTAAAGAAACATCGTTGTTTGAAGATCTTATTTGTCTTCAAACAACGATGCTACTTATCGAATGTGGAGGTTTACTGTGCACTCTCTATATTGAAACTCTTCAACGTCAAATATTTACGAAATGACGAAGTGTATAATATAACTTTGATTCATCTATCGAGCAACGTATTAGAAAACTCGTGAATTTTAAAAAATTTCGAAATTGGTAATCTCGAGTATGTACTCTAAAAACAAAAATGATTATGTAAACATCTGCCTGTGAGGAACTGCTGAAGATGGCGCTTCTTTTCAACAAACGCATTTATTCTTACTAGATTTTTGTAAATACACTTCTACAACAAGGTCAGTTTAATAAATAATGATGAGTTCAATATTACTCGCCTGCGCAATGATATTTCAATATATCTATTACAAATTTACGAATATGGGACCTTGTTACCACCCAAAAAATCGTGGAATAATTTGTAAGTCTTGCCTTTATTATTTGGCAGGTGCATTAACCACGTATTATTTATACGGGACTATGAGAGGAGTGGACTTCTAATTCTCTTAACCTTTGTGAATTAGAAAGAATTGAAGTTATATATTTACAAATTTGTTTAGAAGTTGTAAATTTGCGTTTCAATTCTTTTTGGAAAAAAGCACAAATATACCAATTTCTTTAATCATGAGAGTAATGATTATTAACTGATATAATTCATTTTAACGCCTACAAATACCAACGTCTCTGAAAACTATCGGTATTTTCCTTAAAACATACTAGCTTGTAATTTTCCTGAACATCATCATCATCAGAGATGTGAAAATTAATGAACTTTATAAATATATTCCTTTAACGTGGTGGACTGTAGCAAAACGCTTTTCTACCACTTAACTACGTTTAAAAAAAGTATTACGAAAAATTACACAACATTCGATTATTTTTAGAACTAAAAGTAGTGAATTAGACCCCTGTCGATTACAAATTCCAGAAAGTCTGGCTCCGAGTACAAAATGTATTCATTCAATAAGTATTCTCTATCGTAAATAGAATATAAAACAACTTTGGAGTTAGCACTTTTTTACAGAGAGAAAATGACAGCTGACAGTGAACAACAAACTATTCGCATGAAAATGTGCCGTTCAAGTATGAAAGCTCAATGCGATATCAATTTGTTATTTACTAATCGTAAAAAAATGCGAAAATTCGGATAAGTATGAATGAGTCTGAAGTCACGGGCAACAACTAATTGGAATTGGAAATAAGGAACTATAACTTAGTTCTGTGATGTCTCCCCAATGTTGCAACCATTCTTATAAATTAACCATGGGAAGCACAAAACTCATAGAATGGCGGGCAGGTAATGAAAAGGGTGCTTTAGCCACTGACATGGGCGCGTCAAGGTCACTGTCAAATGTCAGAATTTGTCATTGTCAGATGTTTTTATTTTCCATATACGGTTAGATGAGATGTCATAATTAAAAATATATTATAGTCTGGCAACTCACTAGAAGTTTTGAAATACATGCCACCCGTGACGAAAACTTCAAAATCGGCGAAAAACAAAACAAACGAAAGTATAATTACAATGAGTGATGTGAAGAAAGAGGCCAAATCCCTGTTGGACAGAATTCTGGGTGACATTAAAAAGAGTTCTGCCACCAAACAAATTGTTTTGGGAACATCTTCGGGATGGGCGACGGGATTCTTGGCCATGAGAGTGGGAAAAACTGCAGCCCTGGCAATGGGCGGAGGTATCCTTTTACTGCAGATAGCGAATGAACAAGGCTACATCAATATTAATTGGAATAAAGTTAACAGAAACTTGGATAAAGTCGCGGATAAGATCGAGGAGAAGATTACAGGTGAAGGACCATCTTGGATGGATAAGACTGAGAGGTTCATCGATAGGAAAGTGGACCAAGCTGAAGATCAGATTAAGAAAGGTCGAAAAAAAGCTAAGAGCTGGTATTCGGGAATATCGGGAAATGGCTGGCAACTCAGGGAAGTTCACATTTTTGTGGTATCTTTCGTGGCAGGTGTAGCTATTGGAATAGGGACCTCTTAGATGGGAGTACAATTAGCACAACTCAGATATATACCTAGATTATTAGGCATGAAAGTAGTTTTTGGATCTGCGAATTGTAAATATAACTGCCTGACTGATATAATATTCGAATGCAATTGACTATTTTACCAGTGATAACAAAATGTCTTTGAAAACAAGGGGCTATAAGTTAAAGTTACTGTGTCATAAAGGTGTGTAGCAACAATTCCTTTCTAGTTTTCATTTAGTAACAATTACGAATATTCAAATAAATAATCTGAGTATTTGGGACTTGAACTGAATAATTTTTCTAGTCTTCACTATTTTATTTGGGAATTTGAATAAATTATACCTTAAAAGGCTTTTCATTTTACTCATTTTAGACTGGTGGTAGAATAGTCTCCTGTTTTCCTAATGGTATTTGAATATAATGTATTCTTTTTGCATTACTCTTATAATGTATTTTTGTAGAATATTAACTCCTTAGTTTAATAAATGATATGATAATATTAGGTTTTCTTTTAAATTCCAGATCCTGGCTTGATATTGAAATCTAGTTTTGTTGTTCTGTTGTTTTAACTATACAAACAAATTGAAAATTGTTACATACCTTTTCTTGCTGGCATCTTTTTCTAATTTTTATTTAGATAGATGGTACTGGGAGTATTTTTAGGCTTTTCTTAGAAACCATGGAAATTTGAAATACCCAGACTTTAAAGTTTTCCTTGACACAATATTTGAAAACACTTCCTCAAAAACACATCAACAGACAGATAAAGGTGCTTTGAAACGTGTGAAAAAGAAATATATTAGTAATAATTTTTCGACTACCGGCTTTCTTTTCACAATGGTTCTTACTATTTCCGATAGATGTCGATTCACGATACGTTCTCCAGTTGCTTCGCAATAGGCAGATGGCGCTTATTTCCTATTTGTAATCGGGAACTGTAGAATGGTCGACATCTACATTGTACAATTCGAACATCAAACTGAGGGAACGTGAATGATTGACGTAAAAAATATATACTTCATTGTAATATATTTTGAATGAAAGTAAAAAATCAGCTCTCCATATTGTCTGGTAGTTTTCAAAAGAAAGTCAGTATATTTGATATATATATGTAATATGTTGAAGTTGTTGATTCCAACTGATTTATTATTAGCAAACATGTAACTTGGTTCCTTGTTTTTACTAAACGTTTTACTGAACTTTACCATAGTATAAAGATAAAATACTATGCCTATACTGTATGATTAAGATCATCAAATATGGCCCCAGAAGTGTATTTTGGATCTAGTGATTATACAATGGAACTTAAATTTCAAGTTGTTTACGTTGCATTTTCTGCAACTACTGCTTCTATTTAGCATATTCCGTTTGTATTTTGAAACATAAATGTTGAGTTATTGAAAATATGTTTTAGTAAAGAAGTTTTAATTTGATAACAAATACCACCTCTTCTGTGATTTGTTTTTGTGCTGGGCAACTTAGGAAACAAACTGTTCACAAATATTGATTGTTTTATATAATTATTGTTGTAAGGATCAATCCATATAACACTTCAACTGATATTATTATACTGGTGAGAAAGTTTGAAAATGTTTTTTTCCTGTTAACCAGCTGTTGCCTCCATGCGAAAGACATACCTCATGAGTCAAAACTTGTACGAATTAAACATTGACGAGGTCTGCAAACCTACGATTCCGCCTGAGAGTGGGAATTAATTTCGTATTCATAATAGTTGTTGATTCAATGACAACTCATGCTAACTAAACAATTACCGACTGTTTTTTGTTTTTCCTTAGTTTTGCGTTGATACCAGTGACACCTTGCGGCTATAAAATTCATTCAGTATCTGAGAGATGAACTTGAGGAGGTGAATATCATTTCGTTTTACTGCCAATTTTGAACATCTAAGAGAAAATAATCATGTTAAATTTTAAGTATGTGAGGAAACGCGAAAAAAATCCAATTTTGTCATGGCAAATTTTGGATATGTTTCAAAACTCCCCTGAAAGGTGATTCGATGAAGAGAAAATACCACTAATGTAGTTTTACACGGTTCACTGAGGAATCAAACTCAAAATATCATTGTGTAGTGTCATTTTTTTCAATAGACTGTATCAATGACCAACATTAAAATCTTATTTTCAGATATTTTCCAAAAACTAAATCTTCAGTCGATTTGGATAGAATTCACTCACCACAACATAAATGCTGTCTTTCGACGAGCGTTTCGTTTACTAAGTTGACTCGAACTACTTCTTACAACTATGTTATGTAAGTTCTGTGCAGGGATTAGATGTTTCCTTTCAAGTTACTTTGATTCAGCATCTATGAGTGACACATGACATATGTGACATTTGCTGAGATGACTGTCAGTCAATATTGTACTTGGAAAATATAAAGAATACCTTTGTCATCAATTGTATCACTTAATATTACAGCAGTTTTCTAAGTAAGTTGTGTGCGGATTTTTCATTAATCTGCGAAGAAAATACAATAATTTTGACCCAAATTTTGAGTATTTTTGTATAATTTTCATTGGCAGCACTGCTCATCACTAAAGTTCGGTCCATGTAAACAGTAATGAATTTATGAAATTAGGAGATTATAAGTTTGTACTTTGTAGTAGTATTGAACAACAGTGTGCAAACAAGATTTGGATGTAAATAATTATCATTTGATACAAGTGAACCAGAAACAACAATGGATGACATTGAAAAAGAGGCTAAATCTGTAATACAAAGAATCATCAGCAATGTTACCAAAACATCGGCCCCAAAGCAAATCTTGATGGGAGCTTCGTCGGGCTGGGTTGCAGGATTCCTAGCATTACGAGTAGCTAAGACAGCTGCTCTGGCCTTAGGAGGAGGCATCATCCTACTCCAAGTAGCCAACGAGAAGGGATATATCAACATCAACTGGGATAAATTCAACAAAAACTTGGATAAAATCAGAGACAAGGCTGAAGGAGAAGTCGCAGGTGAAGAGCCGACTTGGATACACAGGACAGAAAAAATCGTTGACAAGCAACTGAACAATACCAAAAACCAAATCAAAAAAGGCAAGGACAAAGCTAAAAAGTGGTATGCGGGTTTGACAGGGGATGACTGTCAATTCAAAGATATGCACATATTTATGGTCTCCTTTTTGGCAGGAGTGGCCCTTGGAGTCGGAACTTCATGAATAGGATATAAAAAATATATGTTCGAATATTTATCAACTAAGGACAGTATAAGTTAGTTTTATAACGATTGTTTTTATTCCAGACCCAATTTAATTGCCCCATTGAGTATCTTCATAGAGAAATACATCTGTGGTATATGAATACTAGATAACTTAAATCCAACAATAGATTCATTATCTGAACAATTCGATATAATACATAAGTCAAAAATATTACTTGAAAGAATGGGACCCATTGCCATTTCAATGTTTCATCAAGAAAAGAAAATATGTTGTTGACTAAGTAATAAATCAAATATTTGACAATATATTGTAGTACAGGCCAACTAAAATGAGTTAGTGAAGAAACGTAAAATCATTCTGTGTTGAAAGACTCCGCCCACGTAAGTCAAGTTTTGCCAATGTATTATTGACATCAGTTTGCGTTACCAATAGCAATCTTCTTGGGCGGGGGCGGGTACATTTTAGTTTTAAATGCCCATCAAAATCAAATCTTAGTTGGAGCGTACTATACATCAAGCTTAGCTTGGTGAAACCTCAAGATTTAGAAAAAGGTAATGGGCTTATTGAATACAGACAAATGACATAAATTCACTTTTTTCCAGAACAAAAATCCTTTAAATAGCCCATATAAAATCAAGCAATCGGAGCTGGAAACAACAAATACAGTCAAAAGATTTAGGAATCACTCTTAACCCAAAAATGTCATTAAAACCGCACGTTGCAAATGTTACTTCCAGAGCTCTAAAATGTTGGGTTTCACTCTTAGATCTGCAGAGGAATTATCTCTGTTCCTCAAAAATCATATATTGTTCAATCAATCAATAATCAAACACAACTCCACAATTTGGTGTCCCTTCATATAATGTGGATATTGATATGCTTGAAAGTGTTCAAAATAAGTATTTAAGGTACTCTGCATACAATCTATTTTGCAAAGGCTTTTGGGGAGTTTTAGTTTCCCTCACCCTACTTATTTCTGCCACTGACCAGGAGTCCGGCGACCCCGTTCGTAAGGCCACATTGGCTTCCCGGACAGGGCTCCCCCACATCCAACTGATAGTTATAGATTATTGTTACAGTACATATGTCTGAATTAGTTGATTATTTGGTAAAAATGGGGGGTAAATAATTAACTTTGCCATGATAATCCAATGGTTGAATTATCTGGTTCTTCGAGTTGTCCAAAATTTGTTGTGAATTAGTTTCGAAAGGCTCCTTCATGATCATTATTATACAGGGGTGCGTATAAGTCCGGAATAAAATTAATATCTTTTTAACCAGTATTTTAGGAAAAAAACGCTGAAACACGTCTGTTGATTTCACGTTGTACGCATTTTTTTGTCAATAAAATGAAATATTTTTTTCAACTCCTTAGCTGCAACCCTCTCCAACTTTTTTTTTTCAAATGCAAACCTATGTCGTATATGGGCTCATTGAAAAGCTCGTAAAAAATGGATTCTGACCATACCCTTTTTTTTGTGGTTACAACGAAATGAGAAAAAACCCTTTTGAAAACTTACAAATACCTAACTTAGTGCTGTCTACGGGTAAATTAACGTAACAGATGCTGAAATTGGCCTCCACCCTTCACTTGGCAGGCTCCTAGGCGATGGTAAAACCCGTCTACGGAATTCCGAATGGCCTCAGCCGGTATGTTATGTGATTCCTCTAATTCTGCTTTTTAGATCTTCAATATTAGCCGGTCTATTTTGATAAACCTTGTCTTTCATATATTCCCAATAAAAATAATTTAATGGCGTTAAGTCTGGGGATCTTGGCGGCCATTGAATTGTACCACGTCTTCCAATCCAGCATCCTGCTAATATGTCATCGAGATATTCTCTGACATTAATACCAAAATGTGGGGGAGCGCCGTCCTGTTGAATGGTAACTGTTAGCGAACAATACTATAAGTATAATTAATTCATCAATAATAATAATAATAATAACCGTCTATATTGAAGTGAAATTAAATACTATTGCTGAATAATGTTTTGAGCTAGAGAAACATTTGCTTGAAGACATTGTTAACGTGACTTCTGAATCTGAGATCATTATCAAATTTTATACCAAAATTTTTTTTTCAGGGGCCCTAAAATACTACCCTAAGGTAGACCTGCTAAGAAGTTAACATAATCTGAATATACTCTATCTTCTGCTTTCTGTTATGGGGGTAAGAACCGCTAATAGTCAGAAAAGCTACAAGATCTATATTTTGCAAGTAGTAGTCTATGGTTGATAGTATCTGAACATAAATGGTTTTTCTATTCATCCAACCAATTTCAAGTTATAAAATCATTAGCTTATTGACTGATGATATGCAAATTTAGAAATAATATTTGTTATTGTTTAAAAAGTTGAAATTGCAATATTTTCATTTGTATGGGAACAAAGATAGGATATGTTATGGGATACAAATAGACATACATTTTATGAAAGTATTATTCAAAAACTAGATTTGGCACCACTTTCACGGAATCTGATCTGCACCCAAGATCATCTCCTGATGATGCCACTCTGTTGGTTGAACAAAATAATGATGTGCGTCAAAAGAACAAAATTTTCTCAACTTGTATTCCTTGAATGTAAAATCAGTGTTCTATTGTTCATATTGTAACGTTCCCTCTGCAGATCAAGAAGGTTTTCAACATTTTCTTCCCACACTGAATTTTTGCATATTTCGCATGATCCTCTACTGATGTTTTCTAGAAGCGGGTGTGTTTTCAACTCGGAACCATTTTGTTTAGCTTCACCCCTGAAATGAGTCCATATTTTTCTTAATGTCGTTTCTGATTCCTAAATCAAAGTCACTGCGAAGATGTAGAAGAGCCAACAAGAATTAATTATATATAACATTTATAAGCATGCATTATAAAAAACGGAAAAGTAAGTTAATCAATTCACTATTATAATAGTAAATTTTCAGGAGTAATTGTTTATATTTCTACTGCTTCATAGATCATTTCATTAAAATTACTTACATCAATTTTCCCTTGAATTTGCCCAGAAGAAATCCATTTTTGAAGCCTTCTTCAAAGCCAATGTCGAAACTTTTTTGAAAATTTTGGTCTCTTCCATCGGAAATGCCTTCTCTCATGCCTGTCTGTGGCAAAAAATTTAAATGATTGAATTATAGTTGTTCTTCATTGATCTGAAGTTTAACACCACTGCTTATGGTGGTACACAATATTTTTTTTCTCTTATACAATGCATATAGAATTGAAAAAAACTGATGAAAATATATTCACCTTTTTAGCAACACTTTCAAGTTTTTTCCAGGTAAGATGTATATCATCGTTTTCCATTGCGTACTTCTATTTATCTACTTCCGCTTTTCTCTACTTCATTATCAATTTTTCTCGTTGCGAAAACAACACAAATATAAACATTTTCCGAAAATAAAGGTTATGCCATGCCACAGAGTAGTATACCACAGAATATTTACTGTTCTGTGGTTATGCTCAGGACTAAAAGGTAAACAAGAGAAGTACTAGATCCAGAAAAACTAGAAAAGATACTCTGTGAATGAATAATATATTCGATATATATGCTCTCTTTCCCTTACTATACTTGAAGTTTTTGGTCAATTTCAAATTCCAATTCGGCATTAATAATAAATATGTGATGAAAATGTCCGTCACTTATGAAAATCCACAATGTATTTAGGTGTCACTTTATTGTGAGAACCCTTTGTATTATTGATCTATATTATTTTTCAAATTGATACAGGAAGATTATTAAGTCGATATATTTGAAATGTTGCCAGTCTACCATTACCATCATCATTACAGAACCTCACAACCAACATTTGTTTCCCTTTTGAATACTGAACCGTTTTGTACTGAGAACGTGAGGAAAAACGCAACTCAGACGAAAGACTCACGTTATCATCAAGTAAAAAAAGATACGATATCGAGAAAAATATCATTAGTTAATTAAGAAACATTTACATTTGAAGGCTTTTCATAAATTCTCGAATTGTCAAAGAAACGATGAGAGAGCAGGAATTGAAGCATTTTTTATTAGGTAGATACTCGAGTGGTCTATGATTTTGGTTCAGTTTTCAAATGACTACTACATGGCAGCGCGTTGGGCAGCAAAATGCCCATATTAAAGATGCAAATATTACTGCACTCCTGTGGCTACACAAGGATAAGGCGATGAAAGGGGTTTTTTTAACAAGACTGAGACATTGGCTTATCAGAGCATCTGACTTTGCTTTTCCCAGTTTATCTTAGCCGACCAAGTATACGCGTTCGACAGCTTTCCATATAAATACAATTCCCGCGCATTTGAGATCATGGATTCCTCACCAGCAACAATCTTTGGGGAGTACCAGCTTCATCTCAAGGCCTCCTTAACAATCCTACAAGAATATTCAATAAACGAGAATAAAATATCCGTCAGAATAAAAAGGAAATGAAATGGTGCGAATTTTGTTATTTAGTCAATAATTGCCTATATATATAGGTACAAAAAGAACTAATGGAATATTTTCTATACGAGACATGAATTGCAGTTACAATTTGAAAAAGCAATATGAAAAATAGCTTCGGCTTTGGGGTATAGTGGCGAGAAAAACGCTAAAAATATATTTTTTCACAAATACAAGTTCATATGCAAAAAGATCAATTCCAGTAACCACACTCATGAAATAAAGAACACATACTTCTTATCTTCAGAAATATAATAAACAAATGACTACTATGTATGTACCATACATTATACTTTAAAGAGTCAATTAAAGTTTTAACCAAGAACCAATTATTTGTTTTATTTCTTTTCTGGCTTTCTTTAGTTCTGGTGGATCTTTCTCTGAAGTCCGATACAGGACTGCACCGTGAGAAACACCTGGAAATAAAAAAAAATCAGGGTAATTGATAAGAAATACGAGAACTGCATAAAATATTGGGTTATATATTTTCACATCAAACAAAATTGTCATGTTAATAGTTCATTTTAAACTTGAAAAAGACACCCAATTCATCAGCAATTGTTATGAAGTGTTCATAAGCAACTGTCTTATCCACAATCAGATTTCTCACGTATGTGACTTTTCAAAATTTCTATAGAATACCAGACAAAACTGAATTTATTCCACGACCTCAACAAATATTACAAATAACATAGTCATCTTCCAGAAATTAAAAAAGTGAATAATTTCATTAATGTCAAACTACAATAATTTACAGTAGTTGCTTATATTTTGGAGCATTTCTGGAGTTTCTTGGTGACATTGTTTTTCCTACAAGAGGGCGTCAAGATGAAAAGTTACATAATGAACAGCAGAACGGAAGTGTACAACACAAGTTACTCCAATATTTAGATAGGTATTGGTTATTACCGTCGCCAATAAAAAGCTAACATAATTGTTATGAAAAAAAAGCTCAAATATTTTAAAAACACAAGGCAAAACTCAGTTTAAGTGAGGTTGGCTGTTGCAGAACATGTGCTCAAATAATGAGACTGAGAAGTGACATAAAATATGGCACAGAACGAAGAATTTTGTTTCTGTCAAAAACCAGAATAACCATAGAAAAAATATGTTGCCAATTATAGTGCAAACGCAAGACACCTATCTTGGATATATGCTTACAAATGAGAAAACTGTTACTACCAACTGCTATATTTGAAAAAATTGATTGTCACTAACTTTGGAAAAGAGTTGTTTTCTGTAACAATTGGTTATTTATTTTATTTATGTATTATGAATTCAAAGATATGAAGTTTATTTAATTATAATACGTGCTGATGTCACCACTGTTGAATATTATTACATCTTTAATCTTAAAAAAGATTAGTATATACCTTTAATAAGAAAAGCTGGTGAGGCTACATTCCTTGTTTTCGTGATTCCCAGAACATGATATGGATCTGATACGCCATGTGCGAAAACCACATTTGTCACATTGATGTTCAAACCCCCATATAAATTATTCGTTTTTTCGACAGCCTTTTGAACGAAATCCCTATTATATTTTGGGCCGAATAAATCCATGCATTGTTGAATATAGTAATCCAAATGAACCTCGTTTCCAAAAGTCTCTATTGAAGTACGATAATATCCAAATTCAGTACAAGTTTGGTAAGTCCATTGCGTCTCTGAAACAACAAAAAAGTTGAATCCCCATCCACAAAACACATTTCACACAAAATATATTAGGAAATACTGATTTTGCAGTATCTATGAAGACATATGATATGAAAAATAAAATTTAAGCAATGTGATCCGACCGGAATTCGAACTCGGTTCTTCTGTTCTGCAATACCGTAGTTACTTACTACAATGTTTTGTTAACCTGTTGCAAAAATACGTTGTTTTACTGGATGGAATTAAATAAATATTTTTTCTCGAAATGTCGATAGTTGAATTTTGATGACACAGTATGAGTGATGAATTTCCATTTGTAAACTTACCTCCATCTGATATGCCATATTCTCGAATATATTCTACGAGAGTGTCATATCTGAAATCCAAACAATCTTCGCCAATAACTTGCTTATTGACAGCGGCCAAACGAGCCATTTCAGATCCAATTTTTTCATCATTCATGATCTCACACACTGACCGAATAGTCATATCTGCATTGAGCATGGCTTGGTTATTGTCGTTTAGGGCTACGTAGGATAGTGATGACGTAATACTGAAAAACAAGTTTTCCATATCTAGTGGGTTTTTGACAATATTCTTCACAGGATCACATGTCTTAAACAATTCATCGAATTCTTCCTGACTAGTTGAATTGAAAAGGACAACTTTCAGCTGCTCGAATGCCCGTTGAACTGCTTCCAAGCAAGATGCATTCTCTCTTTTTAGGTCATCTGCGACCACTTGTAGGTATTCTGGAAAAATATACCATATTTTGAAAGTATGTTCGAAAAAGAAGCATTATACATAGTGTGTTCAAGTAGAGCTTGTTTCACGAAATATGCAGTGGACGAGATGACACAGAAACGAAATAGTATTATCCTTTGTTTGCCTTTGGTTTAGTGTTACATATGTCATGTATTTGATTATGATCTAGTACGTTACATTCTAGTACAGTATATTATTAGAGTGTTCCAGGGTGAGCTGACAGGTGATTGACGGAAACTAACCAACATATGAAAAGATTGCCAATAAAAATTAATAATCGAAGGATGTACTTTTATTAGGGTTATTAAAATAATAAAAACTTAGAAAAATAACATTTAATTACAAGGAGAAATATGGCATTTGAACTGAAAGATGTCAAAATACTCCTTAAGATGATTTTCGAGATTACAGTCTGGAATTTACTCATGACATTTTTATTTACTTCAATATTTGGTAGAAAATCATGGGATAACTCGACTGATTGGATAGGAGACAGTGATGTTGAAAAGACATAGTGATGGAAATATTCAAAAACTAAAGTTTACCTGGAACTTCTAACTTAGCCAATAATGGCCCACTCACAGACAAAGCACCCGTGATCAAGTGCGGATACTTTAGCCTTAGCCAAGCTGCCAAGTTGCCAGCATAAGAACCTCCGACTGCTACCCATTTGACATCTTGCGAAAGATTGTACTTCACTTTCATCGCATCCACAAAAAATGCCAAATCTGCCAAAGCTTGTCGACTTGTTAGAAATCGCAGATCTTTCGTCGTGATATTCCTATAAATAATGAATTTGTTGAATTTGTGTGATACAGTTTAATTGTTAATTTTTCAGAACTATGATGAAACTTGGTAGGTGTGCTAATATTGCAACACAGTTGTTCAATAACCAAATCCGGATAAGCATTTCAACCGAACATTTATGAATAATCTCGTAGCCAAATCTCGTAAACAAAATGGTGGTAAATCGAAGAAGTTACCAGTTAGATAAAATAATTGGAAACTAATTCGTACGAGTATTCGAAGAATCCTGAAATCTTAAAAATTACACCTCTGTAAAATTCATCTTGTGTATGAATTAAGTGAAGATGACTTTTGAAAGATATTCAGAATTTTGCTGGAATTCAGCGTGACCACATTTCATTTGAGAAATCTACCTACAGTATCACTGAAAATATACTGCAACATAGTGAAAATTTGAGTTTACGACCACTAGGTGGCGCTTTTGAAGACATTTGAATAGTATGTAGCGGCCTTGCCCTTCTCACGGGTATGTCCAATGGGTGTGATCTAATACTTGAAATAGCAAGTTGCTTTGTAGTTGGTTCTTTGTTGTTGGTTATTTTGAACACTTGAACTATTTTAAGTATTAGATTTCACGATTCAAAAACAGAAATGTTTCTATGTTTGAAATGAAACTTTGAATTCTTTCAAAGTTTGAAAACGAAGAGTGAAATGAGGTTATGTATTATTATCTTCTTCTTCCTCTATTCGGAGGCAAGCAATTGGGAAATGGATGTTTTATGTTCTGTACCATTTTGTGTTCTGTGTGTTGAAGCGGGCAGAACTTAGAAACAATGAATTCATGTAATTTGTTGTAGATGTCGCCACTCACAATGAAATAAAAATTCTACATCGAGGCGTCTAATCCAAATCTACCGGCGAAAATTTATCGACTGCAATTTTTCAATTTGTGCTGAAAATCTACCGAAAAAGTAGAAATCTACCGCATGTGGTCACCCTGCTGAGATTGATATAGCTGGAAGCGACCAAAATGACTAGAAATACATTTTACGGAATTTCATGAATATTCCGCAAAAAATTTTATTCCACCATCTGTGATGAGTTTTATCATTTCATTTTATTTTCTGCTTTGTTTATGGACAATAGCCACAGTCATCTTCAGCCATAAAAAAATCGTGTGAAAAAAATTCTGAGATCTTTTTTGGTCAACGATTATAATAAAAATATTGATTATCACTGGAAAACTTACTCGGTAGGAAGACTTTTTCCATAATATCTGTGTTCCAATGAGAAACAAAGGGCCTTTATTTCTGCTGCATATTCTGCCATGAATCCCACGCGCGTGAAATACCCGTTCTCTTCTCCTTCACCCTCAATGAACAGGAAAACAGTTTTTATCGACGTTCCATTCACGAAGTTTTTGTTCACATAATAACGCTAAAAATCACGAAACTAGAATGATCTATTGAAATGATGGTATATAATTTGTTATTGAAAGTTGAAATGTATTCATTAGTTGGACAATTATAAATGATAAGAATAACATAGCATACTATAGAAAGTATACTATTTGAGGTCAATGTCTGACAATTTTCGCAAAGAAATTCATTCAGTAGATTAGATACAAGTTTCCGATATATCTCTCACAAAATAGACTTGGTAGAGAGAAAGAGAGGTACAAGTTAAAGAGTTGTTACATATATGGTATTACATGAAACTATTGAATATGGAAAAAGAATACTTCGTTCTCCACAAAATTTTCAGGCCAGACAACTTCAAGCAATAGAATAATATCAGAGAACAATATTACATCAAATTTATCGAAAACTGCCAGAAACAACTTCAACATAGTTCATATTCTTAATAATAATAACAGCGTTATTATAAGTCGGCATATCGCTTGGCTCGTGCCATGCACTTTTTTCGTAAATTTCGGGCATGAACCGTTTGGAGCAAAGTGCGTTCCAAAATTGCAGAGTTTTGACCAAAAAAACACGCCAAATTCGATTAAATGTCAAATCTTTGGTCACTGTTCCTTCGATTACCGTGGTATACTGCATCAGGAGTTCTTGCCATGTGGTCGTACAGTCAATAAGGAGTATTATCTTGAAGATATAAATGATAAAATGAAAATAAAAATATTAAATAAATAGAAAATACTCAACTACTGCAACTACAGAATTAACTTTCGAATTACTTGCTATAATTGCATCACTCAACCACAATTTGATTATTGCAGCTCATTATTATACCTACTTACTCAATTTGAATGAAAAAATCGCAATTATAAAAAATGCAAAATACAGGATGGGGGTATTTCTGGGATTTTTTAAATTAACACCTATAGTTTTAATACTGGACGCACTGAAATGGTTACCAGTTGTAAGTAGATTGTTTTATATAATCATGGCATTCATATTCAAGATAAGACAGGTCAACCTGAGTATTTTAATGAATTTGTTATTTTGAATCATAACATCCACAATTATTTCACTAGAAATAGAGCAAATTTCCATATAGATAGGACAAATCTGAAAATGGTCATGAATTCTCTGTTTATATTCCTATAATAGACTTCCACAAATGATAAAAAGTTGAAGGACAGTATCAATGTTTAAACACGAATTAATTAAATATCTACCTTGAAATTAATTTGTTTCATAATTGTAATCATTGATTTGTATGAAAATATCAGCGATGCAGAATTTCTCCTGTGGTGAAAATTAAAATGATTTGAATGTCCATATAGTTCATTTCTAAAACCCCTCTCAGAATAAGTACTTTCTGTTTAGAAAATGAAAAATTTTGAAAATTTACTTTGTACTTTTTCAATATTCAACTTATGAGTCTTCTTCTCCAGTTTAATTTTGGTCCCAGCTTCCAGATGGCGCTATTATGACCAGTACTCTTTTTATTATAGTAAAAACTATGATGGAAACTTTGTCCGGGGAGTGCAAAGTCTTGCTTTACGCAAAATTGCACTCCATTTATATTCTTCCCAAATTTTTATTTTTTAATAGGAACGTTTTCCTGCGGCGGACATACACACACATATAAAATTATCACCTTCTTCATAAAAGATTATTGATTACAATCCTATTCCCACGTGGACATCCGGTCCACCCGGCCTAAAACCGGCGTGAATCAGACCACAATTTATTTAAATACACTTAAACTGTATTTATTAACACAATTTTGTGTTAATATGGGTACGGTGTGATGGGTACGGTCGCCCATTACTATGTCAGAAATGAAATTGAACTTATGAGTCATATAATACAAGAGTCTGCTGGCTTCATTACTTTGGAAATTCCTGCAACAATAAAACTTCAGGGATTCATTAACTTTTTGTGAAATGTGTTTACCAAATGTCAACTTGTGGTCTATAACTACCCCTATGTTCGAATATGAACTACTCGAAATTGCCTCTCCATTAGATTTTGGCAATAAACTTCATTTCATCTCTGTCTTAACATTACACGAGGAATTATAATAATATCTGATCAGAAGAAACCTTTGTTCTTTTTCAAGTATCGAACTTTGAAATGCTCATTATATTTTTCGAATATGAACTACTCGAAATTGCCTCTCCATTAGATTGTGACAATAAACTTCATTTCATGACTACAGACTAAAAAAAAGTCCGTGATGGTTTATGTCTAGCTCTTAGGGATAACTGACAATAATTTTTTAATCCTCGAGAAATAATGGCTCATATACGAAGCGATTTTGAGCAATATTGTATTGATTCTTATCCAAATAAGTACCTGTCCGTATCTGTATCTGTAGAGCAGATGATGAGCATAAGCCACGTATGCTCTTTTTGCTCTACTCTGCAGATGAGAGTTTCATGTTAGCTTCCTGTCGAGGATAGTACCAAAGTATTTTACCTCTTCAGAGAAGTTTAGATTAGTTTTGAAGATTTCGGGAGGTTTTGAGCCCGTTAAACTTCTTTTCTTGGTGAAAAGGACCATCTCAGTCTTCTTGGGATTGATCGACAGTGAGTGTTCCTTACACCATGTTTCTATTTCAGCCCATCCTGCGCTCTATCGCATAGTGTGTTTACAAATTTGCCGGTCTGCAAGATAACTATGTCATCTGCGTATGCAATTGTGTAGAATCCATTTTTGTTAAGGTGATTAATCAGGGTATCCAGAACTATGTTCCAGAGAAGGGGCGATATAATACCCCTACCTACGGACATCCCCTCATGACCTTTCACTGTGATGTCTTCTACATTTATACTTGTTGCTCTACTAGAGAGCATCTTGAGTATCCATTCTCCTACTACCAGGGGTACATTCCTGGAGTGTAGTTGCTAGGCAATTGTTGGAAAGGTTGTTTTATCAAACGCTCCCTTGATACCTATGAATATACCCAGGGTGGATTCTTTGTTGTCAAATGATCTCTCGATTCTGCCGACCACATGATGAAGGAGCCGAATCAGTAGACCTTCCCGGAGTATATGCATGCTGGTTTGGATGATGTGGGTTGTGAAATAGTACTTCATCTCTTATATACCGCTCACATAGCCTCTCCATGATTTATAAGAAAAACGATGTGAGACTAATTGGTCGGAATGCTTTTGGAAGGGGGGTAGTTCATCCTACCTGGTTTGGGTATAAATACTACTCTTACTTCTCTCCACTTACTGGGAATATACCTTAGAGCCAGAGAGGCTCTGAATATTCCAACCAGCTGCGGCATAAGAGTGTCCAGTCCCCACTGAAGCAGGGCTGGTCTTATACCGTCGGGTCCTGGTGACTTGAAGGGGGAAAAGCCCGATATAGCCCATCTTATTTTGTCCTCACCAATTACTGCACTAGCAGATTGCCAGTCGTATTGTGAGGGTGTTGTTGGTACATCCGTCCAGTTCGTCGTTCCAGGAAAGACAGAACCTGGGAAGTGAGTTTCCATAAGAATCTCAGCACTCTCCTGGAAGTTGGCGGCTTTGTCGTCATTTTCCTTCGTTAGGATGCCGATACTCTCATGGTGGGTATTTGAGAGTGCCTTCTGTAGCCTAGAAGCTTGTGGGAAGTCTTCGACTGCCTCACAATAGGCTCTCCAGGCTTCTCTTTGCTTTCGTCTGCAGCCTTTTTTGAACTCTCTGAGGTTGGCTTCATATATACCCCAGTCCTCTTCGAGTCTTGTACGTTTTGCCTTGTTGACGGTCGTTCTCGCTGTCTTCCTGAGGTGTTCCAATTCAGGGCACCACCATGTGTTTGTTGTGCCATCTGTTTGAACCATCCTCATCGGACAGGATTCCTTGCAGGCACGGTCTATTTTGTTGTGGATAGATACAAATAAGTACCTTAAATACATTGTATATTTAATATACAATATCACCCGTTTACAGTATGTAATTTAAGATATTATTTTCGAAGATATTACAGATCAAAAATGCAGACAAAGCGGTTACGATGGTACCAGCCGGGGGGTTCGGAGGCGTGAATATAGCGGTACGGAGAAACACTGATGAAAAGGTGATTTTCATATGTAAACGCTTCTCTATCATTCCCATGGGTGGGGGTCCCAGTTGGGCTATTCAAAAATCCTTCCTTATTGCACATCTACAACATAAAACAACCCTACATACAAAATTTCAACCTCCGAAAATATAGCGCTTCGGAGAAACAATGATGAAAAGGTAATTTTCATATGAAAACGCTCCCCTATTATCCCCAGGGGGGTGTCCCAATTGGAATATTAAAAAATCCTTTCTTATTGCACATCTACAACACAAAACGACCCTACATACAAAATTTCAGCCTCCGAAAATATAACGGTACGGAGAAATAATGATGAAAAGTCAATTTTCACAGGTAAACGCTCTCCCCAGCTGGAATATTCAAAAATCCTTTCTTATTGCAAATCTAAGACCTAAAAAGCACCTATATGCCAGCTTTCTAGGACTTACCAGTACGAAGAAACAAAGATGAATGAGTGTTAACTGTATGAGCATGAGTAAGTATAAGTCTATATTTTTCGAATTCAAAATGAAAGGAGTATATTGTTTGGAGAAAATATTTTTTTTGGAAAGGTTCGACTACAAGTTTTTCATTGGTTTACTCCCATAACGAAAATAACTATTATGAAATTGAAATATTGAATTCCCCGAATTTTTCGTTGTTAATATTTTGTTGTTTGAGTGATTCTGATAAACGTGATGCGAAAAACTTATTTTCTTATTAATGGAGCCACTTTTAATAAAAAAATCAATCAAAATTAATCTGATAGTATGACGATTTTCTATGCTATGTTATGATAATTCGCAATTTCTCAACTTTTGGATATACCAGCAAGTTTACGTTTATAGGTTCATTGTGAAATTCTAGTCAAAAAGTATATTCTTACCTGCTTAAAAGTTCTTTTATCGGTTTGATTGAAGTGATCTAAAACCTGCGTGATATTATATTGTTGAATATCCTTCAAATTTTCTTTCGGTAACCTCAGCGAATTGAATTTATTTCTGTTGGACATCCCCCAACCACTTGCTTCATGGCTCAGGAGGAAAATACTTAAAAATATTAAAGTTCTCATCATTTTTTTATACGAAACAAGTCTCCGGATTCTTGCCTCCCAATGAATTGAGAACGAATGAGTTGATTCAATTGAAAATTGAGTTATATAGAAATATGGGTCTGTAGCGGTATCATCCGTATCGATTGAAGTGGTTTCGTATCTAGAGTATAGAATTTGCGTTATATAATATTGTAGGTATCAAGGTTTTTAAAAAAGTGTTTCGGTAAAGTTCACACCACTACGATTTTAAAATAAATAGTTTAAAAAACTAAAAAAACACTCTTCAATAGCAACACAAACTGAAAAATTAAAAATAATTCGAAACTAATGTATGATTGTGTTCAACATCGATAAGTACTATGGATTGATGTTACTAATGACTTTCAGTAAGTCTGAATTCAGAATAAATCTATTTACAAAAGGCCTGGGACGTTTTAAATTATACATGAAAATGAGCTGAAAAAAAAACAATTGCCACCACCAATATGGCACTAGAAACGCATTTGAAGAATCGCCAACTCAAGCTGGGGTTGAAATATATAATAAACTCCCTAATCTAATAAAGGTAAATTTACCTGTATTTGGATTACATCAGGTAATTGTGTTGAATCTTCTCTAGGTTTATTGTTTCTAGGAGTGTGTATTGATTTGTTTGATACATTGAATGTTAGTTCTTGTTGTGTTTTGATTTGTATTTGTTCCTCGATAAGTGATTTTTGACTGTTACATTTATGGGTGTTTAAGTCTTCCCAAATGTCCATGCGGTTTTCCTTATTGACTTGTTTTATGAGTTTTATGTTCTCTGGTGGGGGGAAGTTATGTTTATTTTGTATGGCGTGTGTTGCGAGGTTCGATTTATATACTATTGGGTTTATGTATGTCTTTTTGTGCTCATCGTACCTTTGGATCAGTTTTTTCTTGGTTTGGCCGATATAGAATTTGTTGCAGTCGGAGCATTGTATACTGAATATCCCGTTTTGGATTTTGTCTTCTTCTTTTCCATAGCTGTTTATTTTTTGTGTTATTTTTGTGTTTGGCTTGTATGTGATGTTGATGTGTAATGGCTTGAAGATGTTTGTTAGTTTTTTGGTTTGGTGTCCTACGTATGTGAATGCTGTCCATCGTTGTGTTGTTTTGTCTGTTGGGTTGGCTTGATCCGTGTTCTGTATTTTTTGTTTGATTCTGTTTTCTAATTCATCTAATGTCTTTTGGGTGTATCCGTTTTCGTTCGCTATATGGTATATGATTTTCCGTTCTTTGTTTCAGGCTTCCTTGCTGAGTGGTATTCTTAACATTCTATATATGAATGCGTTATAGGCAGCCATTTTTTGTGATGGTGGATGACACGTTCAGATAGAGTAGTGCCTAGCGCATGGCAGCACGACCAGATGTCGAAAGCGCTCGTAGATAATCAAATAGAAGTTATAGAGCTTCAAATCCTTTTTGTAACTTACATTATTAGTAAAATACTGAAAATAAAGGAAAATATATATACAGTGTGTCTCACTTCTCATGGAAACACCCCCGTATCTTCCGTAATATTCGAGGTAGAACGGTGAAACTCTCAGGACTGATAGAAATGCGCAAATGCACCTACCACCTGAATGGGGTTGGCCAAAGTGATATACACTATCCGCCACTCGCGATGGAACACCCCATTTTTACGATAAAACATATTAGGGGACAAAATAGGCTCAAAATTCCTTCTGATTCGTGATCAGGACTACCAACTAACTACGAATACACGTTTTTCCTGACAAAATTTCAGTCCTGAAAAATCCGAATTTGTCTCACTTCTTATGGAAGCACCCCCGTATCTTCCGTAATATTCGAGATGGAACGATGAAACTCTCAGGACTGATGGAAATGCTCAAAATGCACCTACCACCTGAATGGGGTTGGTCAAAGTGATATACACTGTCCGCCACTCGCCATGGAACACCCCATTTTTACTGTGGACGGACAGTCCACAGTCCACAGAGTCTAGAGAGTTTCATCGTTCTACCACGAGTATTACGGAAGATATGGGGACCTATGTTTATGTGTATTGAATGTATATTAACATGTTTCTTTGTTTACATATTCAAATTGTATATCAACTTTTGTTTTTTTTTGTTATGTCCACTTTGGAAAATCATTTTATTGATTTTATTGACATGGTCGATACCATGTAGTTGGTCTATGAATGGATACATTTCATTCTTTCTATTATGGCTCCAATCTGGCAAACAGCTTCTAAACAAATATTTATAGCAATGGATATTTTTTGTAAATATATTCATTCTGATTTCAGACTTATTAAAAGTAATTAGTTAAGCCATACGACTTCTTATTATCTTGAATTAGTTTCGAATTATTTTTTTTAGTTTGTGTTGCTATTCAAGCGTGCTTTTTTTAGTTGTTTGAAATTATTTATTTTCCACTCTTTAGTTTGGCTTGCTATTTCAATCCCATTTGTTTTAATATAAAATATATACGCATGCGCAGACAGTGTGGTTGTCTCACTTGCTCTCATACAGAGACTGTGTGAGGAAATTATTTAGTCAATGAGATTTAGACAATGAGATAAATTTATGAAATTATTGTATTGTTACCGATTCTTGATAAGTGTAAAGAGTTTAAAATAAATCTGTCAGGTTAAAGTTAGTCAAAATCGAGTCCAAAGGAGTCGGTTACAAACAAACATACAAGTGAGGTTAATAAAAGCGTGTTAATCAACTATAAGCTGAAGTGATGATATATTCATTTTATCATGAGATATTATTTGTTTTGAATTCATAATTGTTACTGTCAAATATATTTTTTTCCTAGTGTTGTGACAATTTGTTCCGGGAGTGTACATGCTAGTTTTATTTTTATGAATTAAGCATATTGTTTTCATTATGTATAAACAGGTGACAGTTAATATTTTGTGGCTGATGAATAAATGCTTGCAGTGATCTCACGGCTTAGACTTTGTAAGGTATCTCAAAGACCTCTTCTGTAGCTTAAGTATCGTATTCTGTAATTGTAAACTACAATGGCCCCAGAAAGCTATTCCATAGCGAATATGAGATTCGATCAGTGCGAAGTAAGCCATTCTAGCTGTAGTGTACCCTAGTTCATTTGTTATCACTCCAATAGCATAACATCCACTAGATACTTTTTTACTCAGATGGGATACATGTTCTTTGAAATTTAATTTATTGTCTATGTGAATGCCTAGGAAATTAGTGTGCTGTTTGTTTTCTATGTAGTGGTTATCCAAATCTAAATCGTCTAGTATACATTTGAAAGTAACTAGTTTTGTTTAGGTTGAAGCACAAGGAGTTCGCTTGAATTTTTGAATATCTATCTTTATCACATTTGATAGCTGATTAATTTCTTCATTACTCCATATAATAGTGGTATCGTCGGCAAATACAGTAAATTGTCCTGCGATGTTAATAATTATTAGGTCATTTAGGTATATTGAAAACAACACTGGTCCTAAAACAGACCTCTGAGGTAGTCCATGTTTTATGTTACTGAGATCAGACTGTCCACTTGATGTTTTCACCACCTGTTGACGTCCTATCAAATATAAACCAAACCAGTTCAAATTCGTTCCTCTTATCCCATAATGGCTGAGCTTCCGCAGCAGTGTCTTATATATCAACGCAATCGAAAACTTTCGCAAAATCACAAAACACTGCTGCAACAGCCTTGGTATCATTTATGCTAGAGTATGCATTTTCTAGAATGGAAAAAATGGCATCTGGGGTCTCTTTCGAACTTCGAAAACCGAACTGAAGGCTAGATAGCACATTGTTCATCGATAAGAAGGACATTAGTCTTTTTAAACTTTATTTATTTTGAATTGTTGATAATTCTGTCAAATACATCAATTACCCTAACACCAAACTGATATTTTTTGCACTCAACGCGAGTTTCGCTAAGAAGGTTAGCATCTTCAGGAGAAGAAAATTGATACTGTATCAATTTTCTTCAATGGTTGAGCTGTTGCGTTTAAGTTTCCCGATTTTTTATTCAGTTTCGATTCTGAGTTATAGAGGGAGCTGAAAATCGTAGCCAGCTGACAGCATTGGCGTCAACTACGCATGCTCATAATTTGACAAATTATTGCTGCGACCTCTACAGGTGGTCATAACGAACTACAAAAGCATCTATGACCATTACCACTTTCGTGAAGCATCTATACAGAAAGTGGTTTGTGGTGAGAACAACAAATAACACCGATAGTGTTATCATAGAATAGTTACAATTCTGTGATGTTATTCCCAGTAAGCTGTGTTGCCGCAACCATTGGGAAGAACATACTAAAAGGGGAACTAAAGAAGTACTAGATTTAATATAGAATAACCCGAAAAGCCACTGTGTGAATAATTTTATATATTCGATATATATGTCCCCTTTTCATTAGTATAGTTGAAGTTTTTTGTTTATTTTAAATTTGAACTTAGCAATGATAACAAATATGTTGTCTGAGGACATGGCCGATCCATAACGTATTTAGAACTGTCTGTAATATTACTCTGTCATTTTCAAATTGATACAGGAAGATTAATTAGTTGATATATTCGAAATGTTGCCATTCTACTATTACCATCATTATTATAGAACCTTACAACCATTTGTTTCCCATTTTGAATTTTGTACCCTTTCGTACTGAAAACGTAAGGAAAAATGAGTTAATTAGGAAACGTTTACATTTGAATATTTTCCATAAATTCTCGAATTGTCAATGAAAGGACAAGGTATTGGAGCAATTCTTCTTGAGGTAGATACTCGAGTGGTCTATGATTTTGGTTCAGTTTTCAGATGACTGCTACATGCTACCGCGTTGGAACCCATTCAGCAAAATGCTCACATCAAAGCTGCAGATATTACTTCACTCCTGCGGTTACACGAGGATAAGGCGATGAAAGGGGGTTTCTTCAACAAGACTGAGACCAGGGCTTATCAGAACATCTGAATCTGCTTTTCTCTGTTCATCTCAGCCGGCCAAGTATACACGTTTCCGAGCTTTCCATCGAAATATTATTTCCCGCCCATTTAAGACCATCGGTTCCTCACCAGCGACCATCTTTGGAAAGTGCCAGCTTTATCTCAAGGTCTGTAACTCCTGAACAATCCTACGAGAATATTCATTGAACGCGAATGAAGTACCCGCTAGGTACATACAAGAACAAATTAAATTCCAGTATAATACACTCATAAAATGAAGAACACATACTTTTAATCTTCAGAAATATAATAAGTAAATAACTATTATGTATGAACAAGTCATTAAGACTTTAAGAAGTCAATTAGAGTTTTAATCTTTCAACCAAGAACCAATTATTTGACGTGTTTCGCTGCACAGTAGCTTTTTTAAGCGTGTTCACTAATAAACTGAATTCTACATACATTGTGATTTATATATACTTTTTGAAATATTACTATCTACCTTGAAACTAATAATATTCTAGGAACTAATTAATGACAGTTATACCTGAGTTTAACGAACATTATACCTGAGTTTAATGACTCGGTCAACTAATTATCTCACAATAAAGTGTGAATGTGATGAAAATCTATGATAATGTAATTTGAAAAACAAGTATCGGCCAACTCTATCTTATATTTTAAAGTTAATAAATATAACAGTCTATTCAATAAATATAATAAAATATATTTAATAAATATAAAACAAAGTCACCTTCACAAGAAACAGAACACACTACGCCTATGCAGATAAGGACGCTTGATAATGAAGAAACCGAATGACTAGTTATGGCATTTTAAGGACGCAAATCTAATAGACCTGCGAAGTGTTGATCAATTTACCGATGTTTTAAAGTATTTAACGAACTGGTTCACCTATTCGCTCGTACATCCTATCGATATGCAGACGCTATTTTGTTACGGGGAGCAAATTTTATGGAATCATCTTACTTTTCAATTATTTACAATGGCGATGCAAAGACAATAAAAATGACCCCGGTAAGAATTTAGTTCTAACATTTAACAGTTAAATTGGCATATGAGTTACCTTCAATTGAAAATTGTTATACTATAGTATTAGGCACTCTACTGTCATTTTCAAATTGATACAGGAAGATTAACTAGTTGATATATTTGAAATGTTGACAGTCTACCATTATCATCACTATTACAGAACCTTCCAACCAACATTCGTTTCCCTTTTTGAATTTTGTACCCTTTTGAACTGAGAACGTAGGTATAGACGCAAATCTGGCGTTGTCATCAAGTAAAATACGACATTGAGAAAAATATTATAAGTTAATCAAGAAACTACTACATACAAAAGACTACTACATGCTACCGCCTTGGAACCTAATCAGCAAAATGCCCACATCAAAGTTTGCGGCTATACAAGGATAAGGCGATGTAGGTATGGGGGTTTCTTCAACGAGACTGAGACTTTGGCTTATCAGAGCATCTGACTTTGCTTTTCTCAGTTCATCTTAGCCGGCCAAGAATACACGTTTCTCACCTTTACATAGAAATATTATTCCCCGTGCATTTGAGACCATCGGTTTCTCCCCGGCGACAGGTGTCACCTTTACCTCAAGGCATAGAACTCCTCAACAATCCTACGAGATCAGAGAATATCTAATAAACGCGAATAAAATGCCTGCCAGGGCTAACCTCACCAGGCTAAAAAGGGAATTTTGTTCAAATTCAGTCAATAATTACAAATATTTTTTTATGAGAAATGAATTGCAATTGCAATTTGAAAAAGCAGTAGAAAGAAATAGCTTCGTTTCTGGGGAAGAGTGGCGAAGAAAAGACTAAAAACATATTTCTTTACAAATACACATACAAAAAAATCTATTCCAGTATTATAAAACACTCGTGAAATAAATAACATATACTTTTTATTTTCAGAAATATAACAACCAAATAACTACTATGTATAAACAATCCATTTAGACTTCAAAGAGTCAATTAAAGTTTCAACCAAGAACCAATTATTTGTTTTATTTGTCTTCTGGCTTCCGTTAATTGTGGCGGATCTTTCTCTGAACTGGTATACATGACTGCACAGTGAGCAACACCTGGAAATTAAAAAAAAATACAAGGGATAAGGAATACGATAATTGCACAAAATATTGGGTGAAACATTATTTACAACAAACAAAATTTAATTTTTTCACATTCCAAACTGGAAACATACACCAAATTTATTAGCAATTGTTATGGAGTTTTCATAAGCAACCAGCATACACAACCAGATTTCTCACGTATGTGACTTTTTCAACGTTTCTAGAATAATCAGACAAAACTGAATTATTCAAGGACTTCAACATAAATAAAAAGAGAAATGAAACTTTCTATGTTTTTTCCCACTTTTATTTGTAACTAACGTTACTGCAGTTTCGTCATGTACGGACATTTTTAAACTTATACAATAAACAAACTTATTGTATGAGTTTGAAAATGTTCGTATAGGACGAAACTGCAGTAACGTTAGTTACAAACAAAAGTAGTAAAAACCTTAGAAAAACTTAGAAAGTTTCATTTCTCTTTTCATTATGATTTCCTACCACGTAGTAACGTGGTAAATAAATATTATCAATCAGAATATATGACACAGAAATGGAAAACCGTGCCTAATTTCAGTAATGCCAATCTACAATAATTTACAGTAGCTGCTGATATTTTGGAGAATTTCTGGAGTTACTCGGTGACATTGCTTTTCTCGCAAGAGGGCGCCAAAATGAAAAGTGACATGTGAACAGCCGAACAGAAGTGTACAACACAAGTTATTCCAATATTTAGTCAGGTTATGTTTATTATCGTCTCCAAATAATTGTTATGTAAAATTTCAAGAAGAAAATACATAACTTACTTTTAGTGAGGTTGGCCTTTCAGTAAAAGATATTCAAGTTATACAGATAACAAGTATCAATGTAGATGAAGGTGTAGCCTTGAGATCAAATTGTTCAAATGAAACTTCATAAACAAAATCTTTATGAAGTAAAATAAATCATATAAAAATCGTTCAAGAACAATCAACAGGTGAGAAGCACATGTGCTCCAATAATAAGACTGAGATGTGACATGAAATATGGCATAGAACTAAGAATTTTGTTTCCGTCAAAAACCAGAATAACCATGGAACAAATAATGTTGCCAATAATTATTTATTCATTTCATTTATGTATTATGTAAGTACTGAAAGATGAAAAGATTATTTATTGATAATAAGTGCTGATGATGAATATTATTATATCTTTAATTCTATGAAACACTAGTATATACCTTCAATGAGGAAAGCTGGTGAGGCTATATTCTTTGTTTTCGTGATTCCCAGAACATGCCATGGATCTGATACGCCATGTACGAAAACCACATTTGTCACATCGATGTCCAAACCCCCATAAAAATTATTAGTTCTATCTACAGCCTTCTGTACGAAATCTCTATTATATTGTGGTCCGAATAAATCGGTGCATAGTTGAATATATAAATCCAACTGAACCTCGTCTCCAAAAGTCTTTGGTGAAGTCAAATAGAATCCAAATTCAGTACAAGTTTGGTAAATCCATTGCTTCTCTGAAACAACAAAAACGTTGAATACTCATACAAAACACATTTCACACACAATTTATTACGTATGATCAAATTTGCAGTATCTATGCAGACATATAAATTAAAAAATAAATTGAAAAAATGTGACCCAACCGGAATTCGATCCCTGCTCTCCTGTTCTCCGATAGCGTAGTTACGCACTATAATGTTCGATCAACCGGTCGCGATACTTTGATTTACTGGACAGAATGGAATGAATGTTTTTCCCGGAATGACGTTCGTTGAGTTTTGACATCACACTCGTATGAGTGGTCATTTTTCATTTGTAAACTTACCTCCAATTAATGTGCCATATTCTTGAAATGTCTTTAATAGAGTGTCATATCTAAAATCGAAACAATTTTGCACTGAGGCTTGCTCGTTGACGGCGGCCAGACGAGCCATTTCAGATCCAATTTTTTCATCATTCATGATCTCACACACTGACCGAATAGTCATCCCGTACCGTGCATTGAGCATTGCTTGGTTATTGTCGTATTGGGCTACGTAGGCTAAAGATTCCAAAATCATAGAAAACAAGTTTTCCATATCGAGTGGGTTTTCAACACTATCCTTCACAGGCACACATGACTGGAACAATTCATCGAAATCTTCGTGACTGGTTGAATTGAAAAGGACAACTTTCAGCTGCTCGAATGCCTGTTGAACTGCTTCCAAGCAAGATTCACTCTCTCTTTTTAAGTCATCTGCGACCACTTCTAGGTATTCTGCAAAAATATACGATTTGAAGAAAGTATGTTTGAAAAAGAACTATTATCCATAGTATGTTCGAATAGAGATTGTTTCACGAAATATATAGTGGAGGAGATGACACAGAAACGAAATATTATTATTCTTTGTTCGCTCTTATATCACTGTGAACTTGTTAAGGGGTTTAGTGTTACATGTGTCATTTATTTAATTATGATCTAGTACGTTACATTCTGGTGCAGTGTATTATAAGTGTGTTCCAAGGTGAACTGACAGGTAACTGACGGGAACAAACCAACATATAAAATGATTGCTAATAAAAATTTATAATCGAATGATGAATTTTTATTTGAGTCATTTAAATAATAAAAACTAAAAAAAACATTCAGTTACAAGGATAAATATGGCATTTGAATTGGAAGATGTCAAAATACTCTTTGTTCTTTCCGAAAAATGGCGAAAATGTATTGAACATATTATAAAAGAAGGGAACAACATGAGGAAATCAGACCATTTAGTTGAGGAAATTGTAAAACCTCCAATCATAACGTTCGATGAAGATTCTTGAGATTCTATAGTTTTTAATTTACTCATGACATTTTTATTTACTTCAATATTTCGTACAAAATGATCGAAAAACTTGATTGATTGGATATGAGACAGTGATGGTGAAAAGAGATAGTGATGAAAATATTCATGAAGTGAAGTTTACCTGGAAAGTCTAGCTTAGCCAATAACGGCCCACTTGCAGACATAGCACCCGTGATCAAGTGCGGATACTTTAGCCTTAGCCAAGCTGCCAAGTTTCCAGCATAAGAACCTCCGATTGCTATCCATTTGACATCGTGCGAAAGATTGTACTTCACGTTCATTGCTTCTACAAAAAATGCCAAATCCGCCAAAGCTTGTTGACTGGTTAGAAATTGCATATCTTTCGTCGTGATATTCCTATAAATAATGAATTTGTTAAATTTGTGATATACAGGGTAATATTTCCACTTCAATTGTAATTTTTCGTTGACGAATTATGATGCATTTTGGTAGGTGCGCTAGTACTGCAGCACAGTTGTTCAATAACCAAATCCGGATAAGCATCTTAACCGAACGTATGTGAATAAATTCGTAGCCAAATTCAGACAAACAAAATGGTAGCAAATCGAAGAAGTTGCCAGTTAGATAAAATAATTAGAAACTAAGTTGTACGAGTTTTCGAAGAATTCTGAAATCCTATAGATTCCACCCCTGTGAAATTCATCAGTAGGTAGACTAACTTTGTCTGGGGACCGGGAAGACATTCAATGTGTAGTGAGAGGACGGTCTGACGTACGAGGGTGAGAGAGAGGGAGATCATATCGAGCTAATCCGTTGTAAAGATAACGGACAGTATGTGTGTGTTGCTGCGTTGCCGGCTTTAAAATTAGGCATGAAGGATTAGAAATACAGCACAACAGCGAATTGAATGGTAATGAGATGACGACGACGACGATGACTAGAAGGGCCTAACGATTTAACGTGCGATCAAACATACCAAAAAGACACTAAGCCGTGTCTTCGTTAAACAAGTTAGCATCATCAGGAGAAGATGACCAAGAAGACCAGATGCCGATAAACATAACAGAAAAATGTATATAGGGTGTCGTTCGGAAAAAATGCATTATCGAGGATCTAGCGTTTCAACATGCGATCCCCTCCTATGAAAGAAAAAAGGATGCTGAATGTATTGATTGAAAAACAAAGATGGTATGCAACGTACATGTCAGAAGGACATCAAGTTGCATATTTGTTAATAATAGTTAGATTGACGGGTTTAGCACAACTAATGAAACGAGGAGAGGTGTAGAATTCATTGGAAAATAAAAAACAAAGATGATGCCAAGGGGGCACTGAGTTGTATCATCGCTAATACTAGTCGTATGGTCACGTGTAGCACCTCAAATAGAAAGGAAAGGAATGCAGAACTCATCGACAAAGACCATACGAAGATGGCGCAACATGTCAGAAGGGCACTAAGTTGTATATTCGCTAAGAATAATCGCATCGTCACATGTAGTATATTGGCATCATCTTTGTTTTTTTTTTCAATGAATTCTACACCCCTTCTCTTTTCATTTGATGTGCTGCACGTATCGGTCCGACTATTGTTAACGAAGTAGCGATTTAGTGTCCTTCTGACATGTTGACGATTCACGATATTTGAGAAATATTCAGGAAAAAATTCTGTTTCACCAGCATTTGTGATGACTTCATTATTTCGTTTTATTTTCTACTTTATTTATAGACAATACCCACAGTTATCTCCGGGCGTATAAAAATAGTATTAGGACATTTTTCTGAGACCTTTTTTTGGTCAACGATTATAATGAAAAATATTGATTATCACTGAAAAACTTACTTGGTAGGACAACTTATGCCATAATATCTGTGTTCCAACGAGAAACAAATGGCCTTTATTTCTTCTGCGTATTCTGCCATGAATCCATCCCTCGCGAAATACCCACTCTCTGCTCCTTCCCCCCCAATGAACAGGAAAACAGTGTGTATCGACGTTCCATTCACGAAGTTGTCGTTCACAAAATAACGCTAAAAATCACGAAACTCGAATGACCTATTGAAATGATGGTAAATAGCTTGTTATTGAAGGTTCCTTTTTATCGTATCGAATGTATTCATTTGTTGGACAATTATGAATGTTATTTTCATTACATTTAAAAAAAATAATATAACATAGGTACTACAGGAAGTATACTATTTGATGTCAAGGTCTAGCAGCTAATAAATTCATTCATTCAGGTTTCGAAATATCTCTCACAAAATAAAATTGTTTTACCTCCATTTGCGGGTCCCAAATAAGGGTTTACTGTAATGAAATATTGAACTCTCTAAACAAGGTAGATGGAGGTACAGGGACGTGAGAGTTCAGTACAATAAAAGTTTGTTTACGAAATAATTGAACTACCCCTTAATGAATATTACTGGAGTTTTTTCCCCAACACCAAATCGTAATTTTTAACACCTCGACACGTGTTTCGACCACCAAGTGATCATCTTCAAGAGGAATATTAAACTCCAGTAATATTCATTACTACACCAAAGGTTCCAAACAGTGCATTACAATTACCTTTTAACATTCAAACAATGCTGTCTAGAGACCCTAGCAGATTTTGGTCATATGTTCACTCTAAGAATAACAGCACAAGAATACCAGGATCAGTAACCTACTTAGGAAAAAAACTCGAGAATCCTCAAAATATTGTTGATGCCTTCAGTAATTTTTTCAGTGAGGTGTATTCAAAATCTGGCGCACTTTTGAACAAAGTTGGTACAGTGAATAATAATGTTCATATTCATTTTTATCCCATTCAAGAAAATGGGGTTAAATCTGCAACTAAAAAACTAAAGGACAAACTGACATCAGGCCCAGATATGATCCCATCATTTTTGTAAAAGGATTCTGCAGGAAGGAGCATTAGCAAAACCTTCAACGAGAATTTTTAATTCATGTTTGATATCTGGAACATTCCCAGATGTTTGGAAATTACCTAAAGTATGTCTTGTATACTAAAGTGGTGAAAAATCATATGAAGAGAATTGCAGACCCATATCTATTTTATGTATGTTTTCAAAAAAATTTGATATTGTTTTATATAATCGCATATATGAATGATTCTGTTCAACGGCAACTATCTCAACATCAACATGGATTTGTTACTAATCGTTCTACTGTTACAAATCTAGTCATTAATACTCAATTTATTTTTGAGGCATTAGATAACAATGTCCAAGTTGATGTTATATACCCGGATTTCTCTAAAGCATTTGATAAAATTGATCATGGTATCTTGCTCAATAAACTAATGAGTTTCGGTTCTTCGAATACTGCCTGTCAGCTGATGCAATCTTTTGTGACATGTAGAACACAGTTCGTGTCCTATAACGGTTATAAATCTAGAACATATATAGCTTCTTCTGGTGTGCCTCAGGGCTCCAACCTAGGCCCTCTTTTGTTTTTATTGTTTATTAATGACTTGAAATTATTTTCTATAATTAAGGAAGTAGGTGATTGTGTAAATCTACAATCTCAATTAGAATTTCTTGTTGCTTGGTGTAGCAATAATAAATTGAAACTCAATGTGGAGAAATGTAAAGTAGTGAGCAATAGTCGAAAAAAAGAGGTTTATACATTCCCTTATGTAGTACAGGATTCAGATCTGCTGAGATGTAATGAGATCAAAGACCTAGGGGTAATATTCGATCATAAATTAACATTTGGTAGACATATCTCACAAAAAGTTTTAAAATCTCTTAGAGCTTATAGTTTCATTGTTAGAAATTGCAGAAACTTTCATAATATTAAAGTCATGAAGCTGTTGTATTTCACCTACGTACGTTCGAAGATAGAACATGCAAGTATTGTCTGGAGTCCATTCTATGAGATTCATAACATAGCCATTGAAAGAGTTCAAAGAAAGTTTTGTAAATTTCTAATTTTCAGAATAGATGGATGGTAAAATTAGTTTTTTTTTGTTCATTTTATTTTTCGTTTATGGTTGAGAATTGTGAATAAAATTTGTATATTGACCTGTAAATGGGTAACTGTTGGACACTAAAACTATTATTATTATTATTATTTTCACCGTAATGTGCTCTGGTTAGGCCCTATCCCCCGAAGCCCCGATACATTCGGGACGGCGCGCCAGCATTATCAACCAATAACCACTCCCCACACCGTGGGTTAAGTGATCATTGGGTCCGAGAATCATGTACCCTGAGCAAGCGCAGTGAGCCAAGAATGACAGCCTTCTGCATCCGTGCGGTTAAGATTTCTGCCTTAGTGCGGCAAGCCGGTATGATTTCAAGATTCGAGAGTAGAGAGGACATCATTCCACCAAGGACTCAAATAATCAGAACAACCATCTTGACAGAGTGATCTGGATAGAGTCTGCGGAGTTCGAAGAGAAAATCTCGATATTTTATCCGTTTTTCCTCCTCTTTTCTGACGATATTCGTCTCGCCAGGAGCTGAAAACTCCACGACAAATATCATTTTGGTCTGGTGGTCGAGAAGGACTACATCAGGCTTATTAGCTTGTATGAGCCTGAGGGTGGGGAACGAATAGTTCCAATAAATTTGGCACTTCTCGTTCCCCACAACGGATTCAATATCCCCCGGAGCGTAGGGCAACACCGGTGTCTCGTCAATACCGTAAGAGTGCCGTAGATGGTAATATAGCACTCTTAGGACCGCGTTATGTCGATGGATATAGGCCGAGACCGCATATGCTGGACATGCTGATAGCAATTGTATTAGGGTCTCGGGCCCCTCGCGGCAGGCCCTGCACCTTGTGTTAGGAACCTCTATACCCATCACGCGACTGCGGTAGACTAAGGTGTTGAAGACACCATCCTGGCAAGCCAAGATGAACCCCTCAGTTTCCGACTTCAGCCCACTCGACCTGAGAAAAGCGAAGGTCAGGCGCTTTGATAAGCCAAGGTCTCCAATGTTATTGAAGAAGACCCCATGCATTGGCTTATCCTTGTGTCTCCGCAGAAGTAAGGTGATCTCTGCGGCTTTTATCTGAGCTTTTTGCTGAACGGGTTCCAACTCGGTGACAGAGTTGTAGTCACCTCGTTCAGGGTCGAAAACTATACCAAGTTCATCAGCTGCTCGGGCAGCTGCTCTAAAGAAAATGCTCCAATTCCTGCTCTCTTATGGCCACGGACCATGCAGAGAAGGGGATCCGAACTCCTGACGACTTTACAGGCTGTATCCAGCACCATTCTGTCATGTAGACACTCCAAACTCAAAAGTCCACGGCCTCCCTGTTGTCGGGGGAAGTACAACTGTGGAACAGACGATTTGGGATGCAAACTCCTATCGAGATGCATCATTATTCGGGTCTTTACGTCTAGTTGGTACAGCTCCTCCCGAGTCCACTTCACTACTCCAAACGAGTAGAGTAAGATTGAAACGGCAAGCATATTTGTTGCAGCAACTTTGTTCTCTCCCGACTGTTCCGACTACCAGTTCTGTCGAAGTTTGTGCTGATACTTGCCGCGGAGAGAGTTTTTCACTGCTGTTACCTCTTGTGAGTGGCGTTGTTCCACCCCGAGGTAAGTATACGCATACAGATGGTGTAAGATGCTTCCATCTACGAGCTGCACATCCTCTCCGTAGTCCCCGCATCGTCCTCTTTTGATATGAACCATTGCAGATTTGTCTATCCCGAATTTCATATCGATAGCATGCGTGTACTCTTCCACCACCCTCAAGGACTGATGGAGATCGTTTCATTCTATTATTATTATATTATTATCATTATTATAATGACAAATCATGATGGGTGTAACCTATTCTGTTATAGTTATAGAACTTTTGGGCAAGAAGCGTTTGGCAGTGAAGTTCGTTCTAAAATTTTGATCGTTGCATAAGCATTGCTGAGGAACTATTGAATGACGTCAACGGTGATCAAGATTTGCTTAAAAGAATCATAACTGGTGACGAATCATGGGCATATGGTTATTACATCAAAAGCTAAGTTCAATCGTCCCAATGGAAGAGCCCAGGAGAGCCAAGGGATTCATAAACCTTTTTTGACATATGTTTACCAAATGTCAACTTGTGGTCTAAAACTACCCCTAGATCTTTGATATCATTGCATCTGTGTAGGTCTAAATCTTGAATAGCAAACGGAAATTCCTAAATGTTTATTTTTACGAAAAACTCATAGCTTCACACTTCGGTATATTAGATTTCAATTCATAATTACTATGTCAAGTAAAAAAAATCCAACTGATACCGAAGCTTTCAATAATCACTCATGTCATTTGGGACCTGGTTTTCGAATTCATATCATCAGTTACTGAAAATAACTTCCAGTCATTTGCACCACGTAGCTGTTCATATTTCAAACTTTCACACAAGTCATCTATGAACCAGTTGAAAAAAGGACCAAGGTTGGAGCCCTGAAGAACATTAGAAGTAGCTAAATTTGTTCTAGACTTGTAACCATTGTAAAATAATGAATGTTTCCAAAACCCATTAGCTTATCAAGCAAAATATCATGTTCAATTTTATATATTGAATCAACTTGAATTTTATTATCTGATGCTTCGAAAATAAATTGCGAGATAGTAACACAGATTATCAACAAACTCATGCTAATGTAACCTTGAACAGAGACTATAATCGACGATATGAAATTATCTCAAAAACCTTTGGAAACACACAAAACTGATATGGGTCTATGATTTTCAACGTGCGCTTTTTCAACACTTTTCTAAGCAGGACAGACTTTACCTAATTTTCCGTTCAAAAATACAGTTAGTCTTCCAAGGACTCTTTCACACAGGGAGCTTCACGTCTCTCGTGGGTCTGCGACTAAAAACACCTGCACCAGAACCGGAAGGTTTTTTTTGATCCATCTGTAAACCAACAACTATCTGCTCTTAATATTTCCTGCTTCCGGAGGATCCAATCCTCTCTACTCGGGAACAGTAATTTATAAGGCAGTTCATAGTTGACAGTTGGAGGCTTAAAATCCAAGGTCATTTCCAGAATTCTGTGACGTCCAGTGTCAACCAACAGTCTGTTGCACTCTGCATTAAATTGATTTGTGCAATTGGCAATGTGCACAAGTCTGTATGCAGTCCATCTAGCCTCTCTCTCCAGAAAAATGTGGAGAGGAGGTAGATCTAGAAGGATCTCCATGGCTGCTGACGGTGTGCTACTGATGGCAACACTGATAGCCAGACAAGCCTGTCTCTGTAAGCCAGAGAGACAGGTCAGTCGTGGAATGGATAGCATTCGAGCTGTTGCTATATACCTTCTCTACTGTTGATACAAACCTCGACGACAGAAACGTCACCAATCAAGAATGGGATGGACACTACGTTGAGCATCTTGCAGACTTCTACTTAACTTTTCACGATTTCATTTCGGTTCTTATAAATGTCGAGACTTTTATCCCAAAGAGCGGGTCGGTTGCAGACAGCACTGGTTAACAGCTCCACATCGTAATTTGCCGTGTTGAATAGTGTGAAGTGTCAACCAGGGACAGCCCCCACTCATCCTTTTGCGTCTTGAGGAGGAGACGCAGCTCCCCGGCTCCAGGTGCAGGAGACGTGAGAGCACTCGTCTCCCTAGACGTGGCGGTTCCCGCTCTTCGTCTAAAAGCTCCATTGGACTCCTTGCATTGTGGCGCTAACAGCCTGGCCACGGGACACTCGCCGATGCGAATATTCGCGCGGTGCGAACGGCGAAGCGTCTAGCGACTGAAAGAAACGCATAGCAATGTACTTACGAAGCCACGCGCAACGGCGACCGGCGAAGCGACCGGCGAAATGTACCAAGCGAATCGCGTGGGCGAATTGCGGCGCGACGGGCCGAAATCCATCTTTCTTGATTTTCTTCAGGTTGAAGCCTGGCTCCCTTCCCCTTTCATAACTGAATGGGTGTTAAATGGTATGGCGGCATGAATGTCCTCAGACATCAGTACCGCCCTTCACGATGTACCCCTGCCTGGATGGGGTGAATTGGATGAAAACGTTGTTCATCTTTCATCGGAGGATATAGGGGCCTCATACGACAGAGTGTCGGGGCCTTCTATATCGGGAGGGGTCGTCTATAGCATAATCCATAGAGATCTTCCAATCAAGGTACCAGCGCTCGAGGTCGTCCAATGCACGTTGCATATAGACGACACCGAGCTCCCGACCCATGGAAGATGAGAGGAGAGCCGTGTCATCGTCGTACAGAGATGTCTTCACACGCTCGGGCCTCGGAAGGTCACTGGTGTAAAGTGAGTACAACGTCGGAGAGAGCACGGCCCCCTGTGGCACTCCAGCAAGATCCCTCTACTCCAACCTGAAATGTCCTGTCTTTCAGGAAGAACCCGATCCACCGGACAAGGCCCCGAGGTAGGTCGAACGCGTTTAGCTTGTGCAGAAGACCTTTGTGCCAAACTGGGTCGAAGGCCTTCGAGATATCTAATAAGACGATATGCACTTTTTTATTAGTGTTCAACTCGCTGATTGTATTTTCGACCAGCCTTAGAGCCTGTAACTCAGTGGACGGCGCGACGGGCGAGTAAAACAAGGACATAAATCAGTACGGCGAAGCCACGGAGTCGAGCGGTAGTCGCGGCGAATAGTGCAGTGATCAAACGAATTTAGTTGTTTTCGCCGCGAAAAATCAACACCGAGACTTTTACGGCCTGGCCACGGGGATCGGCGGTGCGAACGTCGAAGCGGGAGGCGAGGCGACCGTTCGCGCGACACCGTTTGCAGGCCACGGGCAGTCACGTTCGCCGCCGCGACCAATAGTCCGTCAGCGAAAGGTCTTTATCGAATTTATCTCGATATTGCTTGGAAAGTAATAGTTTTTTGGTTCAAGACCTAATTTTTGTAAGAGATTGTGGAGTACATGATTTGAATTCCACAAGAAGTACGAGAAATACAGATTATATCCTGAAAAATGTTTTGAGTGTACCAGGACGTTCGCACCGCCGGTTCCCGTGGCCAGGCCGTAAGAGCCTTTCTCTCTCTCGGGAGCGAGTGACGTGAAGCTCCCCGTGTGAAAGAGCACTAACTATGCAGCGTCGATGACGGATTTTGGCCACCAAAACTTTAAAGTATACAAAACATTCTTAGCAATTTTGTATAGACAGAATGACAGTCTTTTGTTTACCAACTAGGTTGGAACTCGAGTATGAACTCGTGGCTCAAACAGAACTGGCTGGTATCTCAATCGCCACAAAAGAAATAGCCAGAAAAGAAATTTCTGGCAAAAATATTACAATCTCTACTGATAGCAGACAAGCCCTATTAGCTTTGAACAGACAACGTGTTACCTCAGGGCTAGTACTAGAGTGCCACCAAGATTTAGCCAAAGCCTCGGTAGATGTCATCTATACTGACTTTTCCAAAGCATTTGACACAGTGAACCATTCAATTTTATGTGAGAAATTGAAAGCAATTGGATTTTGTGGAAAACTATTGGAATGGGTGATAAGCTATATTAGTAACAGATCTCAATATGTAAAAGTCAAGGAATTCATATCTACGAAATTAATGTTTTATCAGGTATACCACAAGGAAGCCATCTTGGGCCCAACATTTTTATTAATGATATCAGAGTTAACTTAAAATATACTGACATCTTACTTTTTGCAGATGATTTAATGTTTAAGACAATTCAAACACCACATGATTGCTTAGTATTACAAACATATTTGAACAGATTTAGTGAATGGTGTTCACAAAATGGTATGAATCTCAACGTGAACAAATGTAAATGTATGACGTACTATCGAGTACTTACACCTGTAAACTATGATTACTACATATCGGGAGAACTTTTAACACGTGTCGAATTTGTAACTGATTTAGGAGTAGTGATGGATAAAAAACTGGAATTTCACCTACATTATAATTATATTATAAACAAAGCAACAAAAATGCAAGGCTTCATTTGTCGTACTTCCAAGAACTTCTCTAATATTGAATGTATAAAAATGCTGTATTTCACCCTGGTTAGATCAGTTTTAGATTATTGCAGTTCCATATGGTCACCCACCTATGAAAGTCCTGCACTTAACATTGAACGGGTACAAAACAAATTTTTTAAATTTTTGGCGTTCAAGTTAAAAATGCCTTTGAAGGACCATTGCAGATGTAATGAAGTTAGGTAGTCGTAGAGTGGAAACTGACTTGAAACTCTTATTCCAATTATTGAATTATTTTATTAACTGCCCTGCATTGCTAGCACAAATTTGCTTACATGTTCCTTCTAGAAGTACAAGGAATACAGAAACATTTGCAATAGATTTTCATCGTTGTAACTACGGTAAACATTCTCCCCTGTCTAGAGTTGCATCTTCATTAGATTTTGACAACACCAACTTCATTTATTGTTGTTTGTGTGATTCTGATAAACGTGATGCGAAAAACTCATTTTCTTATTAATAGAGACAGTTTCAATGACGATTTTAAATGGCATGGTATAATAATTCGTAATTTCTCAAGTTCACCTCTATAGCTACATTGTGAAATTCAAGTCAAAAGATACATTCTTACCTGTTGGAAAGTTCTTTCATCAGTTGGATTGAAATGATCTAAAATCTGTGTGAAACTATGTTCTTGTACATCCTTCAAATGTTCTTTTGGCAACCTCAACGAATTGAATTTATTTCTGTTGGATATCCCCCAACCACTTGCTTCATAGCTCAGAAGGTAAATACTCAAAAATATTAAAGTTCTCATCATTATTTTATACAAAACAAATCTCAACATCCCTGGTTCCCAATGAATTGAGAACTAATGCGTTGATTTATTTGAAAATTGAGATATATCGATAGTATCATTCGTCATCTACCGTGTCGATTAAAGTGGTTTTATATCTAGATTATAAAATTTGCATTGTATAATAATGTACCAACGTTTTGAAAAAAGTGTTCACTACAAACAGTTCACTAAATTACGATAAAAATAACTAATAATCATGAACTAATATCTTGTTAAAATTGAAAAATATTAGTATTATTGTGAAAAAAGTGGCGGGCGCTTGATATACAAAAAATATGGCATAAAGAGCCCACGCTTTTTTCACAATAATACTACTATTTTTCGTTCGTTATTGTTTTAAGCATAGATGATTTAATGTTTAAGACAATTCAAACACCAATTTATCAGAGGAAACATAGGTATTGATGATTCACTTAAGTTTTTGGAAAACTTGTCTGCGAAACATCAATATCGAAATTCTTTCCTTTGAAGATGGTCAAAATATATTGTATTTTGAGTTACTCGGGCAAAACATTTTAGTGCTTATATTTGTGAATAGTATTAACAATGTCGATATTATCTTTTCCTATAAAGTAGTGAATAATATTCTTAGTATACTACAAAAAAGACATATTGAATATAAAATCTGAAAGTATAAAATCTCTAAACGTGTACATAATGTAAAACATATAAAACGTAAAAATTCAAATGTGTAAACGTATAAAAATATGAATGTTACAATATAATATACAAACTCGTCTTGAATTAGAAGTATTGAAATGCTAGGTAGGGATGAAAAATATATATGAAAACTGAGACATCAATTCAGTAGAATTTGTTTACAATAATGTTATATTTTCATTTTTGAGCCATTTGATGATTGACATTTTGGAAACCTTAAAACACATATTCCGTTTTTATATGATCTGGAGCAAGATTGAATAATTTGGGTCCAATGTATCTAATTGATCTTTGTCCAAAAGCTTTGTTCATTTTCGGTATATCTAGGTTACTCGCTTTCAGTCGGGTTTCATATCCATGTTGATGATTTTTGAACTTATTTCTATTGTGAAATATTAATAATAATAATAGTTATAGTATTGTAATCAGATTACAATATTGGAACATTTGTGCCGATGGGAAACGAAAATTTAAATTATAGATAATTTTGAGAAATCGTTTCTGTAGTACCATAAGCGGTTGTATAGTTGTACTATAGACCCCACCCCATCCTAGATTTCCATACATTTATTGTCAGTAAACTATCATCACGCCAATTTACTATAGTGTCAATATCGTTTCTTGTATGAGATATTACATCTTCCCAAGTTGCTCCATTAATTATTAATACAGTATCATCAGCATATGAGACTATTTTTCTAGAAATATTAATGGATAACATATCATTCAAATATAATATAAATAGGATTGGCCCTAAAACAGTCCCTGAGGAACTCCGTATTTAATTTCTAATGGGTCGCTTAGTACACCGTCTATTTTAACCATTTGTACTCCTTCATCGAGGTAGTTTCTGATTAGATCATTTGCCAGACCTCTGATACCAAGATTATTTAATTTCGATAGCAATTTTTCATGACTATTGGTATGGAAGGCCTTAGCCAAATCGATAAATACTCCCAGGCATGGTCGTTTTTTTATCTAAGTGATCATATATTTGTGTCACTAAGTTAACTGTGGCATCAGAGGTTGATCTTCCCTTTTGAAAACCAAATTGGAAATCTGAAATTATATGATGTCTCTCTGTGAAAGTCATTAAACATTTTTTGAGGATTTTTTCGAATATTTTTGCCAGATTGGATATTTGCTTATTGGACGGTGATTGCTTATTTTGTTTTATTCTCCCGACTTAAATACAGGTTCAACAAACATGTAAAGTGAGTTCGAATTATATCAAGGATGTTACGTACAGCGCCATCTGCTCGCGAATAGATCAAGCAATAATATCGATAATTCTGTCAAATACAGAACCCGAGCATTTAAATGGGAATAAATATGAATTGAAAAGGAGAGTTACAAACAAGCAAACAAACGAACAAACATACATACAGGAGAAGTTAATAAAAGCGTCATTTCATATAAATATTCTTTCGAAACAAATACTTTTATATGAACACTGAAATATTGGTGGATTAATAGTTCCAATTTAAAACTTTGAGTCAATTTTAAAATTACGACGCTTCACAATCAATATTGTCAAATTTTGTGCATATTTGTCGGCAAGATCCCCGCCTATACCGATAAAATTCGGAGAAAGCCGGCGAATGCACATTCAAGGTTTTCGTCGCTTATAATTCGCAGTTGTTTTTGTCAATGTCAACCGATCATGTCCAGCAGTGAATCATCCAGATTTGAAACAAGTTACAACCAGGACCAGAGGATCGGTAAATAACAGGAATGTCACGTATTTCTCTTCATCAATTTAGATTTGGTTTCAGAACAACATTTGAAGAATGAACGAGAAATGGAAAGAGCTGCAGACAGAGACCTCGAAGAACAGAGAGAACTTACTTTCGCCACTGTGTTCGCTAGGAAAAGTCTGCCTATTTTCAACTTACCTGCGTTGAGAATTACAAAATTCACCAGCTCGAAAATAAGGTTCAGGTTCGAACCGTCCAAAATTTCTGATCACGTCAGTAAGAAAGTCATATTCCATTGCTCGATGGAGTATTACAAAGAATATAGCAGGTGGCACATAAAAAGAGACTCGTTTCCTGTCAACTACAAACCAAGAATTTACCAGCTGTTTTTCGATAACAACTTCTTTATCATAGGCGATGGAAATGTTGTAGAAGTCATTTTTGCTCTCGACAGAATTCTGAGGGACTGGACCAACCGGGAGGAGGAGTTTCGAATGGAGAAGTTCATGGTGAGATCTTCTAATCTTTTCTGATATGATTCCCTTAGGAAGGTTTTTTAGTGAATGCTTCTATTAAGTTTCTCAAAAGATTTGTCCGTTTTTATGAGTCTGCTTTGAACTGGAAAGTCTCTGGAAAGTATGTTAGATGAGGCAGAACTTCGACGTTTACTTCGTTTTGCTAAAATATAATTTTGCTAAAATTAACAAGTCTTAGTTCATCCTTAGCTCGCACAAGTTTCGAAAAAACGTATTTTAAAACACGGATGGAATACCCCATGTGATCGTTGAACGTGTTCTTAAACATCTTATGACATCACTAGTCTATCTCATAAATTTATCATTTGCAAATGGAACATTCCCGCAAGCTTTGAAAACTGTCAAAATTACACCTGTATATAAAAAAGGTGATTCCTCCCTAATAAGTAACTATCGATTTAGGAGTAGTGATGGATAAAAAACTGAACTTTCACCTACATCTTAATTATATTATAAACATAGCAACAAAAATGCTAGACTTCATTTGTCGTACTTCCAAGGACTTCTCTAATATTGAATGTATAAAAATGCTGTATTTCATATTCCAAAATATTTGAATTATCATTCTTGGAGAGATGGTTATCTCATCTCAAGCATTTCAATATCATAACTGCGGATCAACATGGTTTTGTGCAAAATAAATCGACCACAACTGCGATACACTCATATGTTCATGAGTGTCACTCATGAATGGATAAAAGTTTTTTGAGTAAACGTAATAATCGTGTCACTATTGGTAACCATTTGTCATCGTGCAGTGATTATTCTGAAGTAGGTGTTCCTCAGGGTTCGGCTCTAGGACCTATCTCATTTATACTTTATATCAACGATATTGTGAAGATATGTGATAGCTCAATTATCGTTTACGCTGATGATACATCAGTTATTGTATCAGATAGGGATGAATATTGTATAAGTCAGAAATGTAAAAAAAATCCTTTGATATGGCTCAGTGGTTTAGAGCCAACTCACATCATCTAAATACAAAGGAAACAAAATGTATACGCTTTCACAATAGACAAAAAGAAGCTAGTGTAGTTTTTTTCGGAGACTTACAGTCAGTTGATAAGACCGTCCGATTTCTTGGATTATATATAGACGAACATATTTCTTGGGGAGAACACTGTAAAATCTTAATCAATAAATTGAATGCTGTTTCCTATCAATTACGTAATTTGAGATCAGTTCTGTCTAATGATCAGTTGCTGATGCTCTACTATGCTCAAGTGGACTCCAGACTTCGATATGCCATCTCCCTCTGAGAAAGGTATTCGAGAGCTAATGATGTATTTGTTGTACAAAAGAGAATGCTACGAGTAATGTTTAGTCTATCCTCTCGACTATTCAAAACATGTAAAATCATGACTCTACCATCACTCTTTATCTTTGAAGTTTGTGTGTATATATTTAGTAACTATAACAGTTTTTCAACCAGATCTAGCATTCATAAACATGATACAAGAATAAAAAATCAGCTGAATATACCCTTTTCTAGGGTCCAATTATCTAGAAACTCTCCAAACTCACTAGGTCCTTTATTATTTAATAAATTACCAGACTATGTAAGAGAGTCGAACCTTAACATGTTTTAAAAAATGTCTTGAACATTTTTTAATTGAAAGATGCTATTATAAAGTCGATCAGGCACTATAAATAAATCCTTTAAGATTTGTCTGTTATTTGTGTATTTGGGTGAATATATGTATATATGTGTATAAGTGTATATATGTATATATGTCTGTATATGTATATATGTGTTACACATTTAATCTCTACTATAGATGGACGACTATAATACCTGCAAATTTACTGTTATGAATACCTGTTGTTATATAAAATTTAACTGAATGTAATCATGTTCTGTTAATTTTAGATAAACGACTACTCCTATACAATACTTGTATTGTCCTTCTGGAGAATAAAGAATTATTTATTATCATCATTGTTAGAAAATATTTTCGGTTTGATAGTTTCTATAATAAATGATGATGATGAACAGATATGGAAATTCTACACACAATAATTTGGGGGTACCTTAAATTGTCGCTTATTGAAAAGATCTATGTGGTTTCATTCCAGAGATTTCAAAATGGAGAATTGGAAGATCTTGAGCTCGATACAGATGACGAGGAGTTATTCCTCGATGAAAGTCAGAGAATTGAACTGCATAGAAAACGTACCTCAATATTGAGAAGAATGCTTCCACCTAGAGATGGAAAACGTCAGAGGAGAAGAAGAATAATAGAAATAGAGTCGGACTGAAGCATTACGAAATATATTTTCCCATTTATTGGTCACAGTTTTGCTGTAGGGTCAGATGAGTTTTTAAATATTTGTTTACATATTTACACATATACCTGGCATTTATATTTACAGTTATCCTTTGTTAGACTATCTGGCAATAATAGATAATATTTAATGTTAATATTATTGATTATTTGCGTGTTTGATTTTTGTGTATTTATTGTACTTTACACATGTTGAATATATATTTTTATAAGACAAAACTTGCTTATCTTCACTTATTTGTGTGTAATGTGCAGTGGAATGTCTGTTTAAATCACTATCTGGCAATAAGAGATAATATTTAATGTTTATATTATTTGCTTATATTTGTTTATATTTATTAGTTGCCTGTTTGATTTTTTTACATTTATTGTACTTTATACATATTGAATAGGTACATATTTTTATAAGAAAAAAACGTGCTTACTTACACTTATTTCTATGTAATGTCTGTGTATACTATCTGGCAGTAAGATATAATATTTAATGTTTATATTACACACATCGGAAAAGTCTAGGGATATTTTTATAACATACTAAATATCATAAAAATAAATGCATGAGGTCGTTTAATTTCGATTAAAATGGTACACTCGATCACCCTGTAGATTTCTATGGGTTGAACAAAGCCTGCAAAAACGGTAACTAATCTTTTATCAAGTTTTTTACAAACTGTAGGTTTTCGGCTAAAATGAATAATCTGAAAGTGTCGAGTTTGTACATTCTATGCAGTTCTTGCTCAGCAATTAAACTGGAAATATTGTGCTTTAACATGGAACGCCATCACTTACCATTGGCTGAGATGAATAGAGCTGTAGGGCTTCTTCAAGGTGGCATGCGACAAATTGATATGGCTCTTCGTTTGGGGGTTTCCCAAAGTGTTATCAGTCGATTGTGGCGGCGTTTCCGTGAAACTGGCAGTCCAGCCGAACAACATCCAGGGCGAGGACGCGCTACAACTGCAGTTCAAGACCGATTTTTGGTCTTAACCGCAAGAAGACAACCGACAATCACAGCACCTGAGTTGGTTAACGTGTTGCAGCAGACGCACCAGGTAACCATTGGTCGTGATACTGTCAGAAATCGACTGCATGAAGCAGATCTCCACAACAGAAGGCCACTTAGATGTCCACCTTTGTCGAGAGGCAATCGCGGTAGAAGATTAAAGTGGTGTCAAGAACATCAAAACTGGGATGCAAATGATTGGGCCACAGTTTTGTTTACAGACGAATTCAGATTTGGATTTCATCCAGATTCTCGTCGAGTAAGACTGTGGAGACGACCTGGAAATAATGAACGTTTGAGACACGTCCAGGAAGTCCACACATACAGAGGTGGTACAGTAATGCTATGGGGCGGAATTATGCACGGCGGCAGAACCGATCTCGTTTTTTCCAAATCGCTCACTCACAGCTCGACAGTACCTCGTCACCATTCTTCTACCTATCGTCCGTCTGTTTGCTGGTGCTGTTGGTGAAAACTTCCACCTAATGCACGATAATGCTCGTCCACATGTCGCGCGTCTAGTGACTGACTGGCTCACCAACGAAGGAGTTGATGTATTGCCATGACCAGCACAATCACCGGACCTGAATCACATCGAGCATGTGTGGGACATGCTTCAACGATGAATTACTTCGCATATGGGGAACATTCACACAAAGTTTCAATTGAGAGAGCTGAATGGGCAAATGTACCTCAACAAGGCATTGACAATCTCATTTTGTCGATGCACGATAGATGTAGGGCCGTAATAAACCAGCGTGGAGGCCATACTTTGTACTCATTCCGATTTTTTTTGTATTATGATTTTTTTTCGGGGTGCCAAAGAAGAGCCATATTTTTTTTAGTTTTGCTTATATGCGCACTCAGTATTTTTGACCATTTAATAAATTTTGTTGTAAGTTACATTCGTTTAATAATCACCCGTCAAATTTTTTTTCCTAAACCGATCTAAAAAAAATTATTGCCATTTTTAAAAATATCCCTAGACTTTTCCGATGTGTGTATTTATTAGTTGCGTGTCTTATTCTTCAAAAGACTTTTTCTCAATAATCTCTTATAATAATCAGTGGTCTGGGTTATTTAAAGTTCGCTTCGTAATAGGTAGGCTATGAATTCATGGAAATGTAATGCCCATATTCGTCCAAGTTGAAAGGTTGTATATAACATAAATATAATAATATGGTGTGTTGACGTAAGTAAATAACCCTTGTGGTAATTTATTTTATATATTATGATGTAAATTTACATCCCATTTTGTATCTACACGTTTCTATATTATTATACTACAAAGAAGCAATAGAAAATGTAAGAACACATGAGGAAATCCGATTTCTTCTCCTTGAAAGTTATTCATAGTTCGCCAGTGTTAACTCAGATAATATACCTATGCCTATTGAGTTTTATAAGGTTTTAACAATTCAAAAACGGCTTCTGCTGGTTCAAAATAATCACACACAGATAGTAAGCAAACGATTAAAAAAAACTAAACATTATCCAACTAGAGAATACAATCATTTATCATTCGAATTTTTCAAGTTTTGTCGCTTTCATGTAGGGATAGTAGCTTCACCTCTTGAACCCTGCTCTGTTCTTCTTTCTCATCTTTCCGGAATTCCATATAGAGCCACCTGAAATTAAATAAATGTTTTACAGGATGGTACATGAAAACGAAATAGCTCTTCCACATTCTTTCACATTAAAATACCTAGATGTTTGTTTCATGCATATATTCATCTGTGCCAAAAACCTTCTGATACAAGGAAGCTTCACCTCTAATATTTGAATGTGATGAAGGATTAACCTTCATCATTAATTATATTCTCGAAGATTTCTGCGTTTCCAAATTTTGTTCACTAGTTTTAAAAAATATGTCTATATGATATGGCTATAATTTTCTGTAGGCACCTTTGCTTAACTTGCCATTCCGAATAAAGCAGTACGGAATACTTGAAAAAAACTTATAGAAAACAAAATCTCAGGTTATAAAATGATATTTAATCAGTCAAACACGCTTTTTTCAAGTTTGAACATTCATTGATTAAATTTTGACAAGAAAGTATTGTTTTGATAACCTTCAAAATACCCCTAACTATTTGACTACCTAATGTACCACCCAAATCTATTAGATTAGCTTTGGCTGTAAACGGTAGAGTTCTTACAGATGGAGAGGTAGATCTACAAGCTTATGCAGATGATCTTGTCATCTTGGCAACAACCACGTCGGGCTGTAATATCCTCCAAACAACGTTGTATGTTGTTTGTTGTTCATAATTGATACCAGAGGGATCAGCTGTAAACCCTAGCAGAACTGTGATAGTCTTCTTCACCAGGAAGAGGAACTTGGATGGGTCAACTCTAATTTACTTCAGTAGTGATGTTATTCCATTTCTAGACTTCGCAACATAGGGCTTTGATATTCCTTGATTGGATTTTCTATTTATGCCATCGATGGAGCCTTTGTAAGGGGAGATGTCGTCTCTACTCAACTATGAACTATGGACAGGGATATTCGGTAGATATGGCATACGCCTAATGAAGATTTTTCACAAACTAGTACATTGAACACGACTGTTGGAGTGGTTGTCATGAGACTGGTAGAAAAGCGTTATGTGCTCATGAGGCTCTGGTGTTTTCTAGAGACTCAGAAGAAATTGACAAGTCAATGACTTCGAAGCAACAGAAATCCTACATAAACATCTATTTCAATTCACTTACACGTAAATCAGTACGGCTGGTATAGTCAATACTGCACTTGTCATATAGAAAGCTCCTGGAAAGAATGAGATGGTAGCAGCATATATCTTACTATACAGTGGACCGTATAATAAGGGTATGCTAGCGTCGGCTAAACCAGAAAGCGAGTGGATTTTTCCTAACTCATCTGTAGTTACTGACTTGGAGAGGATTGATTTCATTGTTATGGAAGTTGCTGCGCTCATAACCTCTATTAGAGCACCTGAAATATTAGTTTTATTGATTTTACTACATTAAAAAACGTTATATTCTTTAAACTACCGTCTTATTTCGACTATACAACTACTTCTAGATATACTCTAGTATGACCAACGTTTGGAATTAGTTTTAGAATGATTGTTTATCGATTTTTGAAAATAATCGAGGAATATTTATCTAAAACAAACTGGAATGCACATTGTTTAACTCACAAACAGTGTAGGTATATTCTAAAGCAAACGATATTGTGTATACTTGAAGTTGTCGGCACTCTCAAAGACCAAAAAAAACCAATACATAGAAATGAACCGATCAGGAACTAGTCCACGTGGACTGTAGGATTAGCGGTTCGAATTGGATAATTTTTATTAACCGAGTTTTATGATTGGCTGAAGAGTAATAAAATTAAATTTGAAGTCATGTTACGGTGACGAATAGAAATCGGGAAATGCGGGGATGGTTATCGCCGTCATGCCATCAATGTTCAGTTCAGGAACTGATCGCGATTTTAATGTTGAAATTCGATATTAGTGCAGTTATGATTACTTGAAATTTTTGTTATCTGTTTAAAATGTGGCGTCCCTAGACGAGTACTAATAGTAATAACGAGTGTGATAACAACGCAGACTTTTTCCGGTGTAGTGATTCCAATAGCGATGGAGTACAATGCGAAAAACAGATGCCAGTGAATAAGATTCGGATGCCTTTGAATATTGGAACACAGAAAGTATGTTTCAATGTATATAAGAATCTACATCTCAAGTTTGGTTTCGAGGGAAACAAACTATTACGAACAACATCAGATTTGACTGAAATACCTTTCTCAACTGTACGTAAAATAGTCAAAAACAAACCTTGTGAACGAAAGACGCGATGTGATACAGGATTACCAAAACCTTTAGATGTTCATCTAATAAAATCATTGAAAAAAACAATATACGGCTGTTACGAAAGCAATAAGATTCCTGCAACTGAAATCATAAGGAAGAAATTGAATACTTCCGGCCATAAGCTGCTGTGACAAAACTTTTCAGAATTGGATAAAAAAACTAGTATTTAGATTTAAAATAATAAACAAACGTCAAGCAGTTATGGAAAGCAGAAGAATAGTGGAATTGCATAACAAATACTTGGAACAAATAACTAAATATAGACAAGAACAACGGCAAATTTTCTATTTGGGCGAAACTTGGTATGACACTCACGAAACAATTACGAAAGGGTGGACTGATGGTTCGAGAATGTGTACACCTAACATGCCTGCAAACAAAGGATCGCGATTAATCATTGTGCATTGCGGAGGAAGTAAAAGATGGGCTCCGGATTCTTTGAAAAAAATTTGAAGAGTGTAATGTTGACTATCATAAGAACATGGAAGCTAATATTTTCGAGGACTGGTTTGAAAACACATTGATCCCAAATTTGGATGCGAATATTGTGATAGTTCTTGACAGTTCATCGAAGTACCGAATAAAAATTCGAGGAAAGGTGAAATACAACATTTTTTTAAGGATAACAGTTGATTAACGGAAAACAGATTTTTAACAGATTTTTTTTGTATTCTGAAGATTAATATACCAAAAACCAACTACTTGAAGTTTAACAGACAAAAACATTTGAAAAAGTGTTTACCCTTGAGAGTATTGCTGAAAAATATGGACACACCATACTGAGACTTCCCTCATATTTTTATGTTTTCAATCCTATGGAGTTGATTTGGGACAAATTGAAATAAAGCATCAGGCGTGAAAATAATTTTACAAAATTTGATAAGTGTGTAATAGAGCTAATTAAAGAAGAAGTATCTAATATTAAGTTCACATTATCGGACATTAAAACCACCAACACGCATACGTTGAGTGAGGACCGAAAAAAAAATGCGGCTGTATCCGCCAGTGTTCGTGATGACTGTGAAATGTCGATTCGCCGCCGCGCCGTTCGCAGCAATTGGGCCTCTGTTATTCCACTACGTGGAAAATTTTGCGGAAGGATTTGGGTGTTAAACCTTATAAGATACAGCTGATGCAAGAATTGAAGCCACACGACCTCCCATACGTCTAACATTTGGTGAATGGGCGCTGGCAAAGTTGGAGGAAGATCCACATTTTTATCGAAAAATTGTGTTCAGCGACGAGGCTCATTTCTGGTTGAATGGATATCTTAACATGCATCCCGAAAAAGTCACTGTTTGGTGTGGATTATGGGTCGGTGACATCATCGGGCAATACTTTTTCAAAAACGACAATGACCGGAACGTTACTGTGAATGGCGAGCGCTACCGTGTGATGATTGAGGACTTTTTGTTGCCCAAAATGGAAGAATTGTACATGCCTGACATGTGGTTCCAACAAGACGGTGCCACCTGCCACACGGCACGCGAAACATTGGCCCAATTAAGAGCTGCCTTCGGTGAACAGTTTATCTCACGTTTGGGGCTCGTCAATTGGCCGCCTAGATCGTGTGATTTAACGCCTTTGGACTATTTCTTGTGGGGTCATGTTGAGGATCATGTCTACAGGGATAAACTAGCAACGACTGACGCTCTGGAAGCCAATATCGAAGCATTTATACGTGAAATACCGGTCGATATGTGAGAGAGAGTGTGCCAAAATTGGATCTTGCGCATGGGCCATCCAAAGCGAAGCCGCGGACAACATTTGAATGAAATCAGCTTTAAACATTAATCATATTGATCGTTCTATCGATTTCAATAAAGATTTCATTACTGTTTTCACATTTTTTGTGTTGTTTTGAGAATCAAATCCTATAACTCTTAAAAATCATCCGTTATTAACGTACCGTCGAAGCTACTGAACCTAGAATCTTGAAATATGCAGGTAGGTTCTTTGTATAGCGTAAATAATCATCGAGAAAGGAAATCAGGAATTTCCACGCCTGAGGGGAAAAATAGGGGTTCACAGATTGTATTGAATTTCGTCAGTTTTAAAGTTGGAAACCTGAAGTTTTGGGGCAGTAAAAAAATAATTTAACTAGTTGTTTAAAATGGTCTGTGACAAACCAAATTCTACGCGGGCAAAGCCGCGGACTACAACAGGTGTGACATATATTTTAGGGGGACACTATAAATTTTAGGAGAACATTGGAAGTCTGTACACTGGACTAAGATTCACTATATTTGATACTTCAATGACATTTATGAGGAGTGTAAGACAAATTAAAAATTTCTATAATAATTACTCACCCAAATATAAATACAGAGGAGTAGGGCTGAATGAATAAAAAAATGCGGCAACTATTTTGCTACCACATGCTACCATTCCCACAACTGTGTCATTGACTTTCGAATATTTGTCGAAGAATGACATAAAGAATATGATACCTGAAAATAACTATTACAATTCATAATGAAAAACTTGCTTCAGTACTTTGAAATATCACTCCTTTGATTGCTAATGCATTAAACAAACTTAACAAAATTTTCAGCAATGAAAATGAAAAATAAAATGGCACATTGAATCACATGAATAAAGAAGTAGAATCACTTACCCAATGTTTGTGTGATGTACCGAAAAGTTAGGAACATACTGGATTGTTCTGTATCCCATCCAAATTTGTATCTTACGTAATAGTAGGTAACATTATTCTCACCTGAAAGTGAATTATGTAGTTCATTCTTCTAAGGTTTTTTGTGCTACTTAAAACTAGCAGAAGTACCTGATACATTTGGAGTTCCATGGAATATCTAATGCGGTCTCACGGAGTCTCAAGCAGATTAACCTGTTCAAACACTATTTAAATTTCTTGCCCGTTAACTAAACTTCATATTCATAAGCATTTGAAATCATCAAAAACAATAATCTTCTATTCGTATTTATATTATTCACTAGCTGACCGGCAAACGTCGTTTTGCCACATACATTATTTCTATCAGAACAATAACACTTATAAATAATTTTATTCCCTCAACGATATATTGGATAATTCACAGCTTCAACAACGTTTTTAATTAATTTTTCAATGACTAATCGTGAGCCGTTGCACAGCCGTGGTGGATTCAAATTACAGAGCAATCCAACCTCCAGTTGCATGCCTGGCAAATCCAGTGAGTTCAAAAACTCTGCTGGATTTGGCTTTGGGACTTATTAATATTCATTGCAAATGCCAATCCAATTGGAAATTGCAAACGTTTTAAATGAAGTGGCATATCTGTAGGTATAACAGGGATTCGGAACTTTCTCTTTAAAATGCTGGCTTCGTCAACGCTTTACATCGATATTTAATAACTAATCGTGTGCCGTTGCACAGCCGTGGTGTATTCAAATTATGGGGAACCAACCTTCAATTGCATATTATGCGGTGGCATGGATGGATAAACAATAATAGTAGTTAACAACTGTGTGGAGAGTGAGACAAGGGTAATTGTGTGAGAGAGACAGGAGACTGGCTTCGTTCTCATCCCTACTCCGTGCTGTTTACTGAGTGAGAAGTGACACCGGTAGACGCCTGGTGGGAATGACTGATCTGAATGATTAAATAGCTATTAAAAATAGGGGTTGGTGATAAAAGGGTCAAAATTGAGGGTTATATGTATTCTTTAATGCCACATAAGAAATGAAAACAAACAATAAAAAACATGTTGGGAGTGGATCACCCTTATTATTTAGGGGTAATATTCTGTTTACTTCCGAGGACGAAAGAATGAGTTTTTTATCGATTTTCATCGACAATTCTACGCAATATTCAATGAACTCCATTACAGCAAAGAGTGTGGAATTTTACGACGAACCGTGTTAGGAATCACACGTTAAAAGGTAAGACCTCGTTAGTCTTTAGCTCGAACAAATTTCTCAACTTCTGAGAGTTGTCGTTCGTATGGGGGTGGCAGCTGATTAACGGAAAAACAGATTTTAAAACAGATTTTTTTTTTAGATTTGGGAAAGTATTGCATTGAAAAAAGTAAATAGAAATGCGACAAATTAGAAAAAAATTGCCTATTTAATAGTTTATTCAAATGATCTTTGGAAATTTAGGAAAAACCGATTAGTACCGAAGATATTTGAATATAAATGAAATTCGCCAATTCGTTTCAATCTATTTTAGGTGTTATCCAAGGAGGAAATAAAGAAATAAAACCATTTTTCCATTGCCACTTTCAAAGAAGTATAAGATGACATTAATGAAGTCCTACGTTTCGTCTCTGAGAAACCATCACCAATTTTACTTTTTGTATAGCCCAGAAAAATTAATCAGCCAGCATAATAGCCGCTTCTCAAGCTATACAAGATGACGTTTACAAAATTCAAACCAGACATTCAGTCTCCGAAAAACCATCATATATTCGAAAATTTTATATGACGTATCATGCATAACATAGAAAACAAAAATTTAGGAAGTATCTTCGTAATGCCTCGACTTACGAAATAAGTTGCGAGGATTGTGAAAAGAAATATGTTGGTCAATACTATTACTATATTAACTCGCTATATTAACTCGTTACGAAGAACATGTTTCGCATGTTCATGCCATGGAGAACGATCATAGAGTAAGTGAGAAATGCATTGGAAAGCTTGGAAATCGAAAAGTGCGGAATATGTTCTATGAATAGCGACAAAGGTCCTGTTCCGCACAGCCCTTTGTTTGGTATTTTACGTAATGATTCGTAACATTTTAAATAAAAAACTGGTAAATATTAGAGACAATCACTAACAAAGAAGAGAAAATACATAACAAATGCGCGTCAAGAGAACGTAATTTTTGTTCTGGTGTTGGAAAAGTGTTTTACAATAGACCCTTAGAACGGTTAGCCAAAATATGTTTCAAATACCACAGAAAAAGAAGATAATAAACCGAAACCTGTGCTCACCAGTAATTGGTCCACTGAGGACCGTGCTCAAAACCAACAGCCAACAAATCCTTGATCTCATATTCCCTTCACGTTTCCTGAAAGCAATTTTGAAAGTATCAGCCACATGTTTAATATCGCAAAAATCCAACAGAAAACTTTTCTTCTTTCCTCTTTTTTCTTCCGCCACTTCTTTTTCTTTCATTCCTAACTCATCGATTTCTTTGACGAAAAACAATCCGTACACATAGCCGAAGAACAATATCGCCAAGCAAGTAGAAAAGACGCCGTAGAAGCCGATCATGTGGTAGAGGATCCCCCAGAGAGCTAGTCCCGCGGTTACACTCATGGTGGTGGCAATTTGAATGGACCCAAACCTGTTAGTCCTGGATTCTTGAGAAGAAACCCCACTGACGTAGGTGTGCACCCCTGCGTACATGGAGAATATCCCCCCTGTGAGGATGTAAGGTATCGACTCGACTAGTATGTTAAACTCCAAAGGAAGTTCGTAGAAAAACATAATACTGACAATGAGACCGTTATAGGTGGCGATATCTCCTAGGATAGGGTTCAATATGAGTGGTTTTCGTTTCTTGTGTTTATCACTCCACGACCCTAGGAAAAGGAGAACGAAGGAAGAAACTATCCCTTGGAACATATTTTTCCAGATGGCCATATTTGCTGCTAAGCCTTGTACGGATTCTTCACTCGTTCTGAACCCGGGGTGGGATTGATTTCTAACACTCAGGGCATCGCAAGTGTCTTTGTCGAAGCCCAGATTGACCCTACAAGCTTTTTCTAACGTTAAATTGTGGCTGGTGAAAGACGCCAATACGTTGGATAGCAGATAACATACCAAAATAGGTTCTACTGTCATCTTCGAGAAGACTGCCCTGACTTTGGTACATATAGGAACATTTTTAAGTTCATCTATTTTTTCAACGGTCACTGATGAAACTTGTTTCTCTATATTCAGTGTCTTCTTTGAAACCATTTTGAGAGATTTGCTTGGTGCCTGAAATGAGTAGAAAAATATTATTCACAGAGTGTCGGTTTTGTTGAGATATAAGAACAAATGTGAAAAATGAGAATTGAAACTTTCTGTGTTTTCACCACTTTTATTTGTAACTGGCGTTACTGCAGTTTCGTCCTATAAGGACATTTTCAGCCGTATACATTAAACTAAAAATGATTGATTACATTGGCCTTTATACAGGGTGTTCCTTAAACACATGCTGATATTTAAGGAGGTAATTCATAGACCCATTTTAAGGAAAAAACGTCCTATGGACGTATGTCCCAAACGCCTTAACTTTTGAGATACAGGGTGGCAAAGTTTTCAAAAATAATCAGTTTTTTAATAATAACTGAGATAATTTTGTAGACATCTTTGGCATATTTGGTACATATGTTCCATGCCTCAAGGCGCATTTTCTGATGCACAATTTTCTTAATTTTCTCTGCCAGTGGCGTACGTACGAGTTTTGAAATGTATATTTTTGGCGAAAAAAATACTACGTCACTGCTTTATCTTGAATTAAAAATTATTTTTGAAATCTCCATACATTTTTGAGCACATTTGATTTGCTGGGTTTTCTTTGTCCGACGCATGGTTTTCGCTCAAAAAATTAAAAATCGCTTTATTTAAGGATAAATTCCTTAAAAATCTGATGCGGTATCGTGCATCGACTGAAAGCAAACTAAGAGATCAGATTTGTTGCAAAATAATTGAGGATCTAAAAAATATTTGTTTGTTGTCAGATGCACTGTTCTCAATTAAAATTACGTCATAACGCAGTACCGTTTAATAATTTATGAAAACATAAATTTAGCTATCCTGGAATAAATGACGTGTAGCAGAATTTATTTACTGCACCTCTTGGAAATATGGAGTTTGTCGATATGTGATTTCTTTTAAAGATTAAAAGCAGAAAAAACAGCGTACCCACCATAGCAATAAAAAACGAATTATCTGTATGTACAAACGTCAATAGCTAATATTGATGTTGGTTTAAAGTAAGATGTTGGTGTTAAAAACTGTCACAGCGCGTTTTGATTAATTTTGAAGTGTTATTGAAGTTATGCAATGGCCAGCAAGATCTCCCGATCCCAACAGTTTAGATTTTTTTTATAGGGTCACCTTAAAACTCTTGTGTATAAAACTCCCGTTAATACTTTAGAAGATTTAAGAGAGCGAATAGTTGCCTCGTGTCAAACTATACGAAATACGCCGGGATTATTTGAACGGGTGCGTAATTCCATGCGTAGAAGGGCGGAAGCATGCATACTAAGTGCAGGTGGCCACTTCCAACAATTTTTATAATCAGTTTTGGTATTATTACTAATTAACAAATTTGTGCTATTCGTTTAGACTTACTGTCATAAAATAAAATAAAACTCGTTTTTGTGAAAAATTTATTATTTTGCAGATTATGTTTTCAAATATTATTAGGGAATTGGTAATGCGTTATGAAGCAATTTTCAGATTCTCATTCATTTTAGAATTGATCTAATTTCTTAATTTGCTTTCTGTCGATTTTTATTTTTTTGAGTGAAAATCATGCGTCGGACAAAGAAATACCAGGAGATCAAATTTTCTCAAAAATAAATGAGGATTTTAAAAATGATTTTATTTTGAAAAGAAAGCATTGGCGTAGTACTTTTTCCCCAAAAATATTCAATGCGAAACCCGTAGGGATGCCACTGTTTGAAAAAATACAAATTTGTGTACATCAGAAAATGCGACTTGAGGCATGGAACATATGTACCAGATATGCCAAAATTATCTCAGTTATTATTTAAAAACTGATTATTTTTGAAAACTTTGCCACCCTGTATCTCAAAAGTTAAGGCGTTTAAGACATACGTCCATAGGAAGTTTTTTTCTTAAAATGGGTCTAAGAATCACCTCCTTGAATATTAGCATGTGTTTAAGGAACACCCTGTATAACACCACTGTACGTAATAACAGAGGTACACAACTTAATTGAGTACCTGAATTTCAAATTCAAATTCTCTTGCATCCATGAATATATAGGGTGATTCAAAAGTACTTTGACAAACTTCAGGAGGTGATTCCTCACAATATTCTAATATGAATTGTCCAAATAAATAAATGTCCGGAAACGCTTCGTTTCCAAGATACAGGATGTTGAAGTTTCATTGTTATTTTAATTTTTTTTTAATAACTTTTGAAATACTGAACTTAATTAAACGAAACTTGGTAATGGGAGGTTTTTTAGGTGTCGAATTCGAACCTGATGTTCTTATTGCTCTTACTCGTAGGGGGCGCCACCTACACGGCTTTTTCTTTTTTAAAGATTCATAACTTTTTTGGGCGTACTTCTAGCACATTTTTCAGTAAAAAAATCGATTCCTCTATCATATCTACGTAAATAAGATACCCTTGTTACTAGTCGGTGTAAGCAACCGTTTTCTAAATATTTGGACTTGAAAACTTCAAGTCGATTATTTGATAATCGATGCATGTTGAAGTTATTACGAATATTTTGCATTTTTCACAAGAATACTTTGGAAATGAATTTGAATTTGCATAATCAGTATTTGTTTTAATAAAATTTGCAAGAAATGTCAACATTTTATTTCAGGAAATTTTGAATATGTAGAATAAACTAAAATAAACGAAACTAAATTGTATTCAAATGAATTGTTGGAAGTGTCCACCTTCAGCGAAGATACAAGCAGTCAGTCGTCTAGTCATTGAATAATTGTTTTTAATTTTTATTTTAACACCCTGTATCTTGAGAACGGAGGATTTGCGGACCCATGTTTATATGCTCAATATAATTGTTATTTTTCAGCTAATCTCTTATATATTCTTTCAGAAAGGTTTATTTTCAATTTCACAGGGAATTTGAAATTTTTTCACCCACGTAGGGTGGGGGTTGGAAAATTTTCTTTCGGAAATGATTATTGTGATAGAGATTCATATCTGGGAGACTTGACCTGTCAGAATTTCTGCCGACATGCAATGTTTATTGTCAATCTTATGAGATATTTGAATTGTTTGAAAACCAATGGGTGGGGAGTAGATATTTTTTCTATCGGAAATGATTATTTTGGTCGAACAGAGAAAAAATTGTTTCAAAAATCAAAACCATTTTTGTAGAGAATTGTACGATCTACAAACTTTCTCATATTAATTTTTCAGAGAGCTCTCACCATTCAAGAAACTTACGCAAAAAAAAATCCTGCGCTTCGACCTAGGCTAAAAAAGAACGCTCAAGAAGGATCTATGGGAACATCATTTATAATGACATATTTAACGTCTGTACAGCTCATTAGGAATGCCTTGGAATGTCTATTTTGTCTGGGCCGTGTCTACCGGAAGCTAGAGTGCTAGAGAGAGTATCGAAGCTTCGGAGAAAGGGTAGCACCGGTATATCGTTTGCCGGGAAGAAATAATTCAAAAATTAAATTAGCCGGAGAGCAGAATATGATAAAATGTTGATTGCTTTCTTCTAGAGGCACATCAACTAATTTTGTTCACTGTATAATCAGTATAATGAAGAAAACAGCAACACAAACAGTGGTGTAGATGAATTGGTCGGCTATTTTCATGACGCTGATAGTGTATGTACATCTGTATAATAATGCGAAACGATGGTTTGAAAAATTACAAAAATATAAAGGATTTTTATTTGAAACGACAAGTAAATGAAGTTGCTTTCAATGTAGCCAATGTAGGTACCTAAGCGGTTCCTATTTTGTAAATCTATAGCATCGGTAAATGTCTAACGTTGCAAAGGGATGGTTGTCTAAACTGAAATGGGTTTTTTAGGAGACATCAGTTTTTGGGAAGAAGCTTTGGAAAACCAACAGGTTTTCATCCGAAAACATTTACTGACATTATAGTTTCCGAAATGCCATTGTTATCTTCAGTTGAACTAAGACAACACTGATAATCCACTTACCCTTTCGAATAAGTTCACTAACCGATAACACTATAAATAAACAATCTGTGTCACTATATTTTTGCTCCAAAACAATAATATTTGTCCGATACACAATTGGCTGAGGAGGGTCGAACAAATCCCTTGGTAAAAAATGCCTTTATCTCCCGCAGAAGATATCACTCAACTAAACTTCCGGCTTACACTTAAAATTCTCTCTGGCTCCACCGAAATGATGCGCCCTATGATGTCCTTGAAGAATATCTTTAGAACTAGAAGAGGGGAAAGTTGTTTAGGTACCTGTTAGCGTCTTATGTCTTATCGTGCATTCACAAAGTGTTCTTTCAAAAAATGGGATAGTCTCTTTATGGGTTTGTTGCGCCCTCGAAATCAACTCGAGAAAACAATCGATGTTTGGAGAACACTTGTGATAAAAAAGTTTGTTTGATTACAGTTCGAAATACAATTGGAAAATTATAGAATGAAAGGTTTTTTTGTTATTCACTAGCCAATCTTACTATTTTTTTTCTAAACCAAGCATCAGTTCATTCTCCAAATGAACAGCCATTTGAGGCAGATATGAAAAATTGTTTCAGCGATTAAGTAGCTCCTTAATGATTTTCTCACTTTTACTAAGTAATTAGCAACATTAACAGACTATATACAGTGTGTACCAGCTAAAACTTGTCACTCCCTAGTACCAAATACATCATCATTGTGTTTTCAACCCCCTCACTCCCTACTTTTTTGAAAGCGAGAACTATTGCAATCAACTGTTCTAGAAAAGAAGTACATTTCTTCATGAATTAATATTTATTTTTTTGTATTTATGTATTACTATCGACATATTTCAATATGCATAAAAATTAACCGCACGATCATTTGTTCTTTAAGATTATCGGTAATCCTGCACATGCCTTCTCGTGGGTTTCTATTCTATCAGGAAAAAACCTTCTGCCGCATTTTCGACACTGCACTAATTCGGCTAGATGATTTTCCCAGATGCGATTGAAGGTTCCTTGGAAGTCTACACCACCTGATGCTGAAATAAAGTAACGATAGTAATAATAATGATGATATTGTTTTGTGTAAAAACCTAAAAGTGCAACTAATTATAGTATATTTGATTTTTTCAACATTAAACAGATACAGGATCAAAATGTAATATTTTTCGTAATAGAATAATCAACTAACACTTTTTTTTCAAACACATTTTTCTGCAAGAAGGAATGGGAATATCGAGACGCGGCATAAGACTTTTTGTCTCCGGGGGTCGAGTTCTATATGAAATCGAGAAAAACGAAAATTTAGAACTATCGTGATTTTCGCCTCGTACCCGGTTACAGCTGGAAATTGACGACCTAGCGGAAGTGTTAGGGGGTGGTGTAATACCAGGGGGTCACCCTGAAGCTTGAAGCTCAGGTCTGGGAGGCCAGCCGGCCGTTACGGCGAAGGGTAAATGGACCAAATGGGGGCGGCGTCGCAGGACACGCCCCCTCAAACCAACCGTTTTACCCCTTCAGAGGACAGCGACATATTTTTATCATTTGTTTATTGGAAACTACGACTTTGAAACTCGAAATTACGACTTTATTCATGATAAAGTAATCGTGAAGTCCAAATTCCGAATTCAGAGTCGTTATTTCGAGTTTGAAGTCAAAATTTAGAGTTTGAAGTCGTTATTTTCGTAATCTGGAGTTCAAAGTTGAAATTCCTAGATTAAAGTCTGAATTTCAAGTTTACAGTCGTAACTTCGAGATTGAAGTTGTAATTTTGAGTTCAAAATGGTAATTCTGAATTCAAAGTCGTAATTTCGAATTTAAGGTCGTAATTTTGAGCTAAAAGTCGAGTTTAAAGTCGTAATTCCGAATTCAGAGTCGTAATTTCGAGTTTAAAGTCGAAATTTACAGAATTTATAGTGTAAATTTCTAGTTCGAAGTCCTAACTTCGAATTCAGTGTCCTTATTTCGAATTTAGAATTCACTGTCGTAACTTCGAATTTAAAGTTGTGATTTCGAGTTTCAAGTCGTGATTTGAAGTTGAAATTTCAAAATTTGAATTGGAACTTCTAATTTACAGTCGTAATTTTCAAATTAAAGTTGTTATTTCGAGTAAAAAGTCATAATTTCGAGTTGAAAGTCATAATTTGCAGTTCAAAGCCGAACTTCAGAATTCACTGTCGTAATTTTGAATTTAAAGTCGTAATTTCGAGTTTCAAGTCGTAATTTGGAGTTTGAAGTTGAAATTCCGAGTTTACAGTCGTGATTTTGAGATTGAAATTGTATTTTCGAGTTTTAAGTCGTAACTTGGAGTTTGAAGTGGTAATTTCTAGTTCAAATTCGTAATTTCGAAGTCAAAGTCGTAATCTCGAATTCAGAGTCGTAATTTCGAGTTTCTACTGGTAATTTGAATTTTAAAGTCGTATTTCAGAGTATTAAATCTTATTTAGGAGTTTGAAGCGGTAATTTCTAGTTCAAATTTCTAATTTCGAAGTCAAAGTCGTAATTTCGAAATCAGAGTCGTAATTTCGAGTTTCAAGTCGTAATTTGAAAATTGAAGTCGTAATTTCGAGTTCAAAGTCGTAATTTCGAAGTTCAGAGTGTAAACTTCGGGATCAAAGTAAAAATTTCGAGTTTGAAGTCCAAATTTTGAGATTAAAGTAGAAATTTCCAGTTTAAAACCGTAAAGGAAAAATGAGTCAGTCAATCAAAATTTATTGAAATCAAATCCTGTTACAATTCAATGTTCACACAATTGATTATATTTAGCATCCTTTGCAGCTCCGTTCATGAATATCAACTCTGTCTGGATTGAAAGTTCTCGAACAATTTTTGCACGGGACCAACTGACTCAGATGGCACTGCCAATTTGCTTCATTGGTGGCCTCGAAATCAATCTTCCCATCACCTGAAACAAAAAATTTGCATCAAGTTAGATATTTTGAAATTTTTGACTAAAAAATTACATTACATTGTGTACTTAACGTCGATATGGTATATAATTCAGGAAAATTCATTGTCGGTACCGAACCCAAGCTTAGAACTTGTCCCAATTTGCCGCTTGTTAATTAAAATATCAGCTCCAAATTGCTTCGTTACTGCAAAAAAAATCATGGAGTCTGTGGTCGGGAATCAACAAGAATTATTTTGATTTTGTGATCAATAATTTAACTATAAGTTTTTCAGATAAGATAATTACTATAGCTCTGAGGAGTCAACAAAATGACACTCCACCTTATACTGCGCAAACTATAAGGATTACTTAGAAAGTAGAGTCAACAGCAACTAGTCAATATTTTGTAACTATTTCAAAAAGCTATTGATCCACAATAATGGATTCATTCACCCAGCAATTGATATTATTATCTGTTATCTAACACATATTAGACACAAGCACGTGAGTTTTTCTATTAGAAAATACATTATTGAACGAACTATCAGTTAAATGATTATGCAGGACTTTTGAGAACGATTTTGAAGTAGGAACAATCGCAAAAAGCTCATTTGGAATGAAAATAATCCAAATACAACTATGAAAATTATTCACTCTTGGTTTTGTTATTATATTTCAGTGGAAATGTGGATGCAATACATATAGCTTCAATTATATAATCTACAAATACAAAACAAAAAATTAAAAAGCGAACTACCAACTACTACCTCTGAAAATAGGTGCTGTCGGCATATGTGATGACCCCTAAAATTGCTGATAAAACAGATACTGTTGATGTGGACAAGAAATAATATGGTACCTGAAACTGTTCTCTGTGGTACTACTGTTTTAACTTTATTTGCCTCACTCAGGATATTATCAACTTCAACCTTTTGTGTCCTATGTGATAGTCTTCCAAAATGTTTGGCCACGTATACTATATTCATGTACTTTTTTTAATAGCATGCCGTGATCAAAGGTGTCGAATGCCTCAGCTAGGTCTAGAAATATAGTTGAACATTTTTCTGATCTATGTAAGGCTCCAATTATTTTTGAACACATGTAGCTCTTTTTTTTTGGTAACAGAGTTGCTGATGGTCGCTCCTGATGGATAGTCCGCTTGATGGCCTAGACTGAAAAAGGTAGATCTGCAGGCTCATGCAGATGACCCTGTCATCTTGGCAAAGTCCACTTCGGAAAGGCTAGCTTGTAATATCCTTCAAAGCACGATGGACTTTGTTCACAGTTGGTGCCCGAGGGAGAAGATGTCTGTCAACCCCAGCAAAACTGTGGTAATCCCCTTCATCAAGAGGAGAAAATTGGACAATCTAACGCCAATTTCCCTTAATGGTGAGGTCATTCCATTTGGAACGGAGGTGACATATCTTGGCATTGTTCTTAAAAAAAAGTTTTACACACAGCCAGACTGTTCCTATGTAAGTGTCTAGGATTTGTGGTAAAACTTGGGATTTAGGTACCAAACAAATCCGATGGATTTATTTAATGAATGTCAGACCAATGATCACTTATGGAAAAATTGCCTGGTGGCTTACAGAGACATACTTGCCTGTCCATCAATGATGCCATCATTACCACACCGTCAGCGACCATGGAGATCCTTCTAGATCTACCTCCTCTCCATATTTCACTGGAGAGAGGCTAGATGGACTGCATGTAGACTTGTGCATATTGCCAATTGCACAAATCAATCTAATGCAGAGTTTAACAGACTGCTGGTTGATACTGGAAGTCACAGCATTCTGCGAATGACCTCTGGATGGATGGATGGATCAAAAACACCTTTCGGTGTGTGTAGGATGGCAAGAAGATTTATGGACTTCTGGCAGGATCTTCCAGGACTGGCTCAGTCCAAGGCATTTATTCACCCTTCGATGCTTGATACCAAGCAGTGGTTATAGGGATGAACTACGATGTCTAACATGCCTTCTCACAGGTCACTGTCATCTGAATCATCATACGCAGAGACTCGGACGGAAGATAATATGTGTCGCCTCTGTTTGGAAAATGATGAAACAGCAGAGCACATAACGATTGTTAAAAGACGTATTCAAAAAACACTTGATTGTGAGATTTTCACTAAACAGTTTTATAAAAACGCAACCAGTGTTTCGCCATACTATGGCTTCTTTGGGCGTGTCGGACGTGATGAAAGATTTTACAAAAATTATTAATCACAGATATAGGTCGGTAGTTCACCTGTTTCATCAAGTTTATATTCATTATGTGAATTAATAAAGAATATGGAGATATAAATAATATTCATTATGAGTTGCGAAGAATATCGTGACCAGATGAACAGTTGGTTTTCAGCTTTTATGGTATCAGAAACATCATTTCTTGTTGCGTGCTGTTTTTATGAAAATGATCTAGCAAGTTTTCAGTTTTTTCTTCAGGATAATTGTCGTAAAGTACCATACCATAAGAAAGCGAAGGTTGACAGATATGTTTGCAGATCAATGTCGGTGTTTCTGGTATTTTATATTTCTTCTGATGTAAATTCTGTAAATTATATTATTTTGTATGCACCGACATATCTTAAGTGATTTTTTATTTCGAGAAGCAAGTTTAGTAAAACGCTGAAGCACTTTCAAATCGAAAACACTTCCAAGAACAAATAAATAGATAGATAACATCAATATTATATCACTTATCACAGTAATACTTGTTTTCCTCAAAAACAGCGCTGAATAATTCAAGAAGACTAATCAAATTAATTCTCGCTGTCAACGACCTTTATCGATCACCAGACTAATTTCCTCACAGGAAATTTTACACGACACGAATTGAAACCACATGAAATTGAAGGTTCGTTGGGTACATATTCGCGGATTGAGAGCGGAAGTGTTACTCAAACGATTTTGCATAAAAATGCAGACAAGGATTTGGGTCGTTCCAGGCATGAAAAGGGTTTGAAAAATGAAGCAATAGTATTTTTTTTAATGGGAAACATCCTGATATTCAGTATGGTCAGGGTCAGGGTTGAGAGTTGACAACTGACGCATTTGTGGTTCAGCCCAGTACCACTGATTAACCTGGTGGGTGGAACAGCGCTGCCAGGTGTTGGACCACAAGTTTATTTTGCAGTGAAAGTTGCAGTGAAAGACAGAAGACAAATCTGGTTGGCGTTCGATGTGTCGAAGCTTGGTTTTGCAACTAGCCGCCCTGGGAAGCCTCATTTATCTTTGATACTGGAGAAATGAATTTTCTGTCGATTCCATGGATGGCGTCTTTGTAAGGGTAGATGCCGAAGACTTCATGAAGAAAAGAGAAATTAAACTTTCTATTTTATTCTATTTCTATTTTACCACTTTATTTGTATCTAACGTTACTGCAGTTTCGTCCTACACAGACATTTTCTAACTTGTACCATAAACTAACAATGATTCATTACATTAGTCATTATATATCACCTCTGTAGGTACTAATAGAGGTACTTGGCTTGATTGAGTACCTGAATTTACAGTTCACAATGCGGATGTGCCGATTTGAAAACCGGCGAATAGACTAAATCGATTTGATCATTTAACAGGTTGCACCCGCGATGTTTGTGCTTGTGAATTTCCAAGGATTCTAAATAATTGAGTTTGTAACCCTTCCTTGCATGATGCAAAATTTCCGTATCGTTTAGATTCGGAAGTAAAGTATCGGAACAAAAAGTATTATGATAGCACTGCTTGTATGAACAGAAAGAATGAGGGTACGTTCCAGTATGAGAATTGCCATATAGCCAAAGTTACAATCAACAGATTCCTCGTTGAAAATTACCTACGGTGTCACCTTTTATTTTTTGTGTTGTCAGTAGGCCAATGAGATTTGTAGGTATTTCCATACTTTATTATCACTTGGTATATGCAGGGTGTATCTCAGTTTGTGATTTTAATTATGGGGAGAGTTTTTAGTCATATTTTTTCGAAAAATGTGCATACAAACTTGACTTGATTTGTTAGCGACATCGACAAATGGACCAAAATAGTTAAAATAAAAAATAAAATACATAAAGGGCCAACAAGGGTGTTCTAATTATATATTTTTGAAAAGTATTTTTGGAAAAAATAGGGTTAACTTTACATTACCTCAAAAACTATTAATTGGAGCACTGATAAATCCACATTGTTTGGGCAAACCAGAGCCTTATGGAGGGAAATAACCCACATACTTGCAAAGATGAAAGATATTATAGATACTCACGTGTGAATTTGATGTCTGGCTTAAGCGGCTGCGGTCGTCTCTTACTAGGAGGCAGTTTTTCATTTTCGATTTTCCACATTTTCAGACATTGGGGCTCGTGAATGTAAATCGAGTTGACGGTGAAGAGTTTTCCGCAAATATAACAGGGAAACAAAGGCGGTTTTCTAGACGATGAAGGCCGATCTTCACGTTCGATTTCGGACTCTGATTTTTGGTGAACTCTTGGAGGTTCGGAAACATGTTTTTCTGAAATGGAATGGCTTAGTAATCTATAGGAAGGGTAGCAAAATAAAAAACAGTGGAGGTAGATTTGTTATGAAATTTGGCTCTTTAAAATAATGTTCAATAAACATGATAGCCTGAAGAAGCATATCAAAGTTAGGGTTTTCCAAAACAATGAGATATATTATTTTACATATTCGTATTCTTCCGGAAAATTACTTTGAAAAAATATGAGGTTGTTAATACCAAGCGATTCGGAAGTTATTCCAAAAATAACGTGAATCCATCCATCGTCACCATTTTTGAAGGAAAACTCACTTGAGAAGAGTGTTTTGTTATGAAGATATAGTTCACACTGTTTGAACATGCCTGAGGAAAATATTGTGTAGCGAAACACCTATTGGTGTTTTGTGAACAGTCAAACCTCATAATGAGATGTCACTTGAATAATATTGGGTCTTACAACAAAGATTTCCGAACTTTAACAATTGAAAACGGTCAGGAAAACATCACCGCTGTCTGTGAGAGTGTGCAGGAGAGTCCCAGGCAGGCACAAGAACTCGCTTTTCCACGTGTGATTTCCAGCAGATGATAGAATTTTGAAAGTGGTAAAAACTATCCCAGACTAATTTTCAAACAGAATCAAGTGATTTAAATCCATCGAAATTACCTTTTCTTAATGGTGGGGGGCTTCTCATATCCGGAGGTAAGCTGTCGTTTTCGATATTCCATTTTTTCAGGCATTGTTTTTCGTGGATTTTGATTGAGTTGACTCCAAATTCTTTCCCGCAAATGTAGCATTCGAAAATAGGTGGTGGTCGGACATTAGAGGGGGTTGATGGGGTGCTGCGGGACATAGCAGTTCCGTTGGGGAGTTGAAGTTCTGATGAGGAGACTTTGACCTGTGGTGAGAATAGCATTATAAGAATATACACTCAAAGACAAAAATATTGCATATTTCACTTTAAGCCTTGATTTCATGTTTATTTCTATTTGTCTGAATCTTTATGCAGTTTTCATTACTGAATGGTATATGCTGGAGTATTTAACGTATATTGATTGCCAAATAATCCAGATATCGAAACTTTATAACACACTTGTAGAAGAAGTAATGGGATAGTAATGGAAAGTAATGGAAGTAATAGAACAAGCAACAATGACGACAAAATCAAATATAATAACAGTTCAGTACTTGAGGTTTCCTCCCCTAGTTTTAACGATATTCTGCATCCTCTTAGGGACAGTCCGCAAAAGGTCTTTGATGGTTTCTTGTGTAATTCGATACCATTCCTCCTGTGCAGCATTTCTCAATTCTGCAATCGAGTTAGGAGCTGAATTTCGTGCTCGTAGATATCTTTTCAGGCTGTCCAAAATATGTTCTATGGGATTTGCATCAGGACTGTTCGGTGGCCACTCCACGGCCTCAAGTCCAAGATACTTGGTGACCGTTCTTGCAGCATGAGTACGTGCATTATCATGCATTAGCACGAAATTGTCCTAACCAATGAAGCCGCCGTAAGGTAAAACATGCTCTTCAAGGATGTTGCGTGTGTACCAGTTAGCAATCATTCTTAAATTTACCTCTACGACTGTCCCAACTAATGCCACCCCACAAAATAATGGAACTACCACCAAAGCTAACGTTATGTACACGATTACATTCTGCGAAACGTTCTCCAGATCTTCTGCATACCCGACCAAGTTCATCTGGTTTCCATAACTGTATTTTTGTTTCATCTGTCAAAAGAATTTTTCCCCACTGATGTTCATTCCAGTTGACATGGGCTATGGCAAATTGAAACTCTCTATATTTGTGACGTGGGATAAGCTTAGGAGCGTTTGGAATTTAAACTAACTTCTTTGAATCTTCTTATTACTGTTTTGAAACTTTGTTAACTTGTTTTGTACTCAGTAAACCATTTTTAAGATGAGGAGCTGTAAGCATGCGATTTCGCAAACATTGAATTTTCAAATATTGGTCATCTATTGGCGTTCTACATCTCTTACGTCCTTGACCAGGTCGCCTTTTGTACTCCCCAGTCTCATTGTATCGCTTCACATTACACAATGACAAATGTCATTCTGACAACAGTAAATAAAATAATAGACATCAAGAGTGGCAAAGGCACACTATTTAAAGTTTGTAATTTGTACCATTCTTTTACTTATTCAGCTATAGCGACTACGTCCAAGTATTTTTTATCTATACTGAATTGAAATTTACGTAAAATACCTAAAATGCTTTGGCCTTCGAACATTTATCAATAAAAATAAATAATGTGTTGAGGGAAAAGAAATTGACATGAAAACAAACTTGAAAAGAAATATGCAATATTTTTGTCCAAGAGTGTATATAAGTTTCAAAAAAACTTGGAAAAGTGTACTCTTATAACATAAGTGTACTCTTATAACATAAGTTTTTCCACAATTTCGATAAAATGTATCATCATCTTCAGGGAAAAGCTACAGAAAGGTAAATAATGATAGTGGAATTTTTGAAATTTACAAAAAAGTTAAAACTTACTCTTGCTGAGGATGGTTGTGTCAAAAAGGGTGTGAAATTTATGAAAATAATACATGTCAATATAATCAAACGAGTCACTATATTATAAAAGCTGAAATCCTCACGAAGACTGAAGGATAACTTGAAATGTTTGCTGGTAGAAGGTACGAGAAAGAGACTTTGAATCTTTAGAGATCCCCCACTCGATTTTCGAAAAACTTAATACCGTCGTAAGTCCGTGGAATTTGATTCCGTTCGATAAAGAGTTATCAAAAAATTAAAAATCATTTGAATTCGTTCAGATACCCAACTCAATATCAATCTAGCAACGACATCTATGAAACATGTAGGCAACTTGTGAACCCGACATGAATTGATAAGTAGAACTGATTGGAGCAGGGAGTAGGTAGCTTTACAATATACTTGAAATTGAATATACTTACTCTTGCTTGGAAAGAAATTGAGTGATTGAAATTAAATCATTTACCTAGAAACATTTCCATTGGATGCAGAAAACAGGTATGCAATTTTTTTAATGCAAAATATCCAGTTTCATTCCAGGCAGTGAATGAAACTAAGAAACAAGATTGGAGTAACAGAAAACTGATCTAGAAAGTAATTCCTGTAGGTTACTGCAGTTCTGTGAATGAATATATTAGGAAGTAAGTACATTGTTCAGCGTTTGATTGACAGGCATACTCATCAATGTGGGAGAAAGAATAATTAATAACAGAATGAAAGTAACACTTGTAAATGAGAACAATATTGTGGAGGAGAACCTCGAAGACCTGGAGGAGATGGAGGACCTAGAGGACCCGGAAGACCTGCAAGATGAAGGAAACAAGGGTGATTCTGTGCGGAGATTAGTTACATCGCTGATAACATAAACAATGAGAACCTTCTCTTTTTAAAAGTTGAGGAAGGAAATTTAGGGCGTTGCTTTTGGGAGGTTAGATTTACCAAACGTCGAAACATTTTTTCAAGAATGATATTTTTTGTAGATTTAGCAAAAAAAGTGAGAACTGTACAAAAAAACTAATGAACAATATGTTCTGTTACAATGTATTCCGTTTTGTTACTGGAAAAAGATCGTACTCGTTTGTAAGACCTTGGGCCTTGACATTTAATTGAACGAGAATTCATAGAAAGTTCATGGTACTTACATTAACTTGAGGGATTTTGCAACTTCTTTGGTGAACTACCAGTCTGTCCGGATAAAACGTTCTTCCGCAGTTCGAGCAAGACAACAAGGTCGACTGAAAATGGAAAATGATCGTATAAACATCAGTAATAATTTATTTTGTTAGACTAGGATGACAGCATCAGAACGTTGACAACTGCAAGGATGGGCTTATCCGTTGATGAGAAATTGACAATTATTGTGGGCGAGACTAATAAATAGAGATCTAATTGCGTAATAGTTTAATTGGTGTTTATGCAATTACGATGTACGATCAAAGAGTTATGAGGTAAAGATTCCCACATTTTGTTGTATAAAGATGGACAAGTAGAAAGTCAAAACCTTTCTTTCCCAAAAATTAGTCTACCTCCAAAATTTATTGAATTTCTTCATAAAATCCAGTATTTTCAATTTGGTGGTAGGAAGTGGTAGGAAATCATAATGAAGAAAAAAGTATTGAAACTTTCTATGTTTTTTACCACTTTCGTGGTAAGAGGACATTTTCAAACTTTGAATAATTTTTACCTAGTCTGAAGGACCTTTCATGTTCAGCATACCGTTTTTGGAAATTTCGACCACATTGTCCCACATAAACACTATTATATTCCGGACATTTGAGCTTATAAACTCCAGATTTCCCCAAAAGGAAACCAGAGTTACCCATTTCTTGATTTCTGATTGTTTGATCTGGGGGTATATTGATCTGTAAGTCACTTTACGGCTTTGTTTTCTAACTTCTGAATTGTATCTGCGTTGAAACTATTATTATGGCCTATCTGTATAGGGAAATTGATAAAATTACAAGTAAACAAAATTCAGTACCTCTATTGATGATATCGGAGCTGAGATTGAGGTCAATTTCCTGTTATACGCAGATGACTTGAAACATGTTCTAACATGTTCTAATGATTGCGAACGTCTCGCCCTGAATTTAAATCGCGTTGCTACATGGTGTCGAAAGAATGATCTATCTCTCAACATATCCAAATGTAATGTAATGTCTTACTCACTGAATACGAACTTGAATTTACAGAACTACGTCATCAAGTTCTGGAGCGTCCTGACACACTCACTGATCTAGGTGTTACTTTTGATTCATCCCTCTCAGAAAAACAAAAGACTTTGAAAAAGCTTCAACATTGAAATTACTTTATTTCACTTTTGTTCGATGTAGGCTGGAATATGCATCTGTCGTGTGGAGTCCCTACTATCAGGTTCATACAAATCAACTAGAAGCTCTACAGAGTCATGAATTCCTTGTAACTCACAATTTTTGTAGTCTCAAAGTAAGGCGTAAATATTACTCATTTGTTTTTTTATTCAAGGCCATAAACAATATCATCACCTGCTCTCAACTGTTACATATGTTGAATTTTTGGCTTCCTAGACGGTAATCTAGGAATAGTGTCACAATTTATCTCAACACTCCACGTACAAATATAATGAAAAAATCTCCAATTTATACAATGTGCAATACCTCTAATTCTGTTAGTCATGTCCTAGATATATACAATTGCCAGATTGTACAAATCAAAAGGTATTTCTTAGCTAACTGACAGTGTTGTTTTTATTTTTTTTTTAAATAGATTCACAAATTATATTATGTAAGTACATATTTGTAAAAGCCACTGTAACTCTCTATTCTATAATTGGGTTCATCCTGTAGAATAGTGTATGAAATAAATAAATAAATTATTACCTACAGTGGTGTTATATAAGGGCTAATTTTAGTTTAATGTATAAGTTTGAAAATGTCTTTATATGACGAAACTGCACAAACGTTAGTTGCAAATAAAAGTGGTAAAAACATAGAAAGTTCCAATTCTCTTTTCTTCATTAATTTCCCTTTTGTTGCCAGTGTGGTGTCTGTTCACCTTGACCTTTGAAAAATTATTGTTGATGACAGGACATGCGACATTGTAATGGTACACCGATACTGAAATTAACCTATACAATTCCAACCCTTAATTCGTTTTATCGATTTTACCTGTACGGTGCATAAGGAAATAATCACGCCTCATACGTCAATGCCAGTTCCGGAAATTTGAGTAGTTGTGGAAAGTCGGTTTTGAACCGTTGTTTTCCCTACATTTCAGTTTGTTGCAAAGTGGGCAGATAAACCCTCCCAACCAACAATCAGAGGAGAATTTTGATTTTTTTTTCGACAGTAATACCACAAGACCTTAGAATTGTATCGATAAATTTCTATTTTTCAACGAAGCCTGGGTATTTTGGAATGTTCGTGATGTAATATTCATCGATTATCTTGAGAAGGAAAATGCCATCAACAGTGAATGTTATATAGCGTTATTGAAGCGTTCGAGGGCCGAAATGGCAAAGAAACGACCGTACAAGACAACACACCGTGGCACAAGTCAATCAAAACAATGGCAAAATTGCATCAATTGAGCTTTGAATTGTTTCCGCAACCACCGTATTCTCCAGGTCTGGCCTACAGCGACTTTTTCTTTTCGCAGACCTCAAGTGCTCACCGGTGGAAATGTCGCTCGAAACTGGGTCTTATGTTGAAGCAAAAATTAAATCGTTTTACAAAAGAGGTATATTGATATGTATGTAAATGTTGAGCGGCGAAGCCACTCAACACTTTCAGAAGGGTTGTATTTCAGGGCGATTCCCTCAGTCCCCTTTTCTTCTGCATCTCACTATTGCCGTTATCCGTTGCGCTCAGAAATACTTGAGGATATAACTGTGGCAACCCCGGAAACCAGAGGCACAAGGTCACCCATTTGTTTTATATGGATGATCTTAAACTTTATGCCTCTGGAGAGAAGGATCTCCATCAGTCCTTCAGGGTGGTGGAAGAATACACGCATGCTATCGGTAAGGAATTCGGGATAGATAAATGTGCAATGGTCCATCTCAAAAGAGGACGATGCGGCGACTACGGAGAGGATGTGCAGCTCGTAGATGGAAGCATCCTACACCATTTGCATCTTATATAACCTAAATTCAAATATGCACATTTTGTCACGTAAATCCATTATTATAGAACTCTTGCAAATTATAAAAGGGTCTATCAGCCAAACAAGTTTTTTATCTTATTCTAAACACTTTGTTGGTCAAATTTGCCTGTTTTATATCTGAGGGCAAGTGATTAAACATCTTAACCCCATTGTAATGAATAGAATTCCTGACAAAAGTCGTTAAAGGAATTGGCAATTTCAACGCGGTGGAACGGGTGCTATAAGAATGACATGAAGCCTCAAATAGGGAGATTTTTTTGTGAATGAGGCAAACCGATTCAAAATGAACAGAGCAATCACTGTTAAAATCTTTTGCTCAACGAATTTGTGTCTGCACGAATCACGAGATTCAATCTTACACATATACCTGATAGCCCGTTTCTGCAGTACTAATACAGACAGAAGTGCCGATGAACTGCATACTCTCCAAAACAGTATTCCACATCGTAGGTGGGATTCAACGAGGGCGTAATACACCGTTCTGGCAGTTTTGATTTCCAGATTTATTGAAGTTACTCTCACTACATCATATCCAGAACAAATTTCAGTTTCAAGTTGTTTGATATATTCAATAAATTTGAGCTTATTGTCAATGTGAATACCTAGAAATTTAGATTGAGTCTCGTTCTTGATCACTAAGTTATCACCAAATGATAGGTCATCAAGAGCACATCTGAATGATAAAATGTTGATTTTAGTGATATTTAAGGCTAGCAAATTAGCATCACACCACTCCTTGATTTTTTCATATCAGTAGATATTGCAGCAGATATTGCACTTTAAACAGATTTGAGTTTTTGTTCTTCCACAATATCGTTGTGCACTGTCATTACCATATAATAAGAATGAGATGGGTTCTAAAACTGATCCTTGTAGAACACCTCACAAAATTTCCTTTTATTTTCTGGAAGTCCGGTTGTTTCTACCATTTGATTCCTTCCTGAATCCTGATGGGGATTGCTTTTGTGAATGAATTCAATTTTAAACAAAAAAAATGAGTTTTCTTTCTAAGGCCCGGAACTTTTAGCCCATGTTACGTTATGGTTTACCAGCGCATGGTATTCCCATGAATAATGGAATACAATCGTGGTACAAAAATAAAAATGCTGTTCATTGATTTCCGTTATGAAAACAATTCTCCACCCTCCAATGCTAGCTGAATATTTTATCATAATGCTGTTTACCCTCTGGCGTAATATACCTAACGACGTACTGAATAAATGGCATAGAGTAATAACGACTTACCTTGGAGGAAGAATTTCAATAACCCCTTCAATAACCTTGACCTACGACTTTTTTTTCACATGCACCAGTAGTATAATTTAAGCAGTATTTGATTGTATATCAATGTAATTTTACCTTAAGAATAACAATAGTGAAGAGCCGGCAATGAAATAGAGTTGAAAGAAGTTCAATTCTTGGGCACAATAACTGATGAGTCATTCAATTGGAACTCTCAAGTCGATGGTGTTTGTGAGTAGCTCAATCAATGTCTCAATGCCCTGGGGTTGCAGGACAGATTTGATTTGGGCATTCAAGGGACAGAACGGGTCATGGAAATGATTTTGCTATGGAATGTAGAGAAAGTTATTAACCAGTTTTTATAACATGGAAAATTATGTCACAAATAACCTGTCTGCTGTTTGACCGATGGTTCTTCTCGTGACTATTGCTAATTTCGTTTTAGGAATCTGAACCTCATGATGTCTTTGTAAACGGTCTGAATTTATCCTCATTTAGATAAAAGCTACTATAACTACGAACTAACAGAGATATTTAAATGACAATTTATGCTAGTCTATAGTTTTCATTCGTCTGAGTTTTATATTCATAACTTTAATGCTATTTATTTGTTTCCAATGTATATTTACGTGTTTTTTGACTCACAATGATCAGATGAATTATTATTATCATTATTATTATATAATTCAACAGTGTTGAAGATCGTCGACTCTCAGTGTGCCAAATATTAACTCTGAATTAATTTCTAAAACAAGAACAATTCCATTTCTTCCAAAGTATACCTACTGTTAAAAAGTATTTCTGTTTTTTCCTCATTTATTTCAATTCACCAACCAAATCATTTGCTGATGATACTACTATTATATATTTCTCAGATAGTTTTACGAAAATGAAATATGAAGATTGCTTTAGATGAGATTCTCATTTGGCTTAATGAATATACATTGAGACTCAATTTAAATGAATCCTTATAAATGGATAGTTTTACGAGACCAACATTTCTTGAACTATGTATTTCGATAATATTGACTAATAATGGTATACAATTCACAGGTAGAACACAATTTTTAGGTTCATACATTGATGAACGTTTTGAATAAATTGAAAAAAAAATTGTCATCATTGGAGTTATTTTTTACGACATTATTAACTTCGTACCCTCAAAACTTGAAAAACTATTTGAATTTTAGCCTCATTTTTTATGGTTTCTATTTGGAAACAGTAAGTTGATCTATAATGAAACCTTTGAAAACTTTGCAAAACAAACGATAAATCATGATGAGATCATTATATATAATTCAATTCCAGAAAAAACAAAGAAGCACAATTCCATTACGAAATCTGAATATACATTGAAAAAATTCTAATTAGTGGAATTTAATTGTTTGCATTTCAATTCTGATTTCATTGTTTTCTTGAGATGTGTTCTGTGTTATTTGTAAAATATCTTTTTTTCTGTCACCGTTATTTTATTGCTAAGTTAAAGTTCCTAATTACGAGCATTTATTGTTTCTTGAGACAATAAACTGAACATGGTTTATATTCATACCATCGTCTACTGTGAGGTATCTTGCATAAATATCTGTGGGATATAATTCAATGTCCAGTGTGGTATCAGCTGGGTAAGTAGTCATCAATTAAAGTAACATGTGCGTTAATAAATAAAGTTTTATTCCTAGGATAGTAGAATTTATCGTGAAAACATACCTGAGCGGAATCCCAAGCCAGTTTGTTCCATTCTTCTCTATTTATGGTAGCATCAGGCTTGGGAGGGGGTTTTCTTCGAAGATGAGTTGGTAAGCTGGCATTCTCCCTCTCCCATTTCTGAAAATGAGCGAATTTGATATCTACTTGGGAGAAAAATCTGGTTTAAAGAACCCGCAAACTTTTTTCGTAGTATTATCGCTATAGTTCTTCAAGCATATCATTCACTATTGATGGTTTCCACTATTGGCACTAGTGAAGTAGTGGTGATGATTTATTATATTTTCATCACTATAAACTGAATCATCCACATTTGAAAACAGATTCAACAGAGCAACATGAGGGCTCGATTTTGGGACCTCTCCGTTTCGTGTTATTTGTTAATGACGTTTCCCGGTATATAGGGCATTCTAAATTTCTCCTACATGCCAATGATTCTTCTAACCATAGAAGAATCGAAAGCGAAAAAGATTCTGATATGCTTCAAGATGATCTCAATATCTGTCTACTTGCGTTTCAGTATCTGACCTATGTCTTAACGAAGCTAAATGCAAAATAATGAGTTTCACACGAAAGAAGTCATCTACTATCAAGGACTATTTCATTAATCTTACCAATTCCTAAAGAATTTCTCACTGGTTTGAAAAATTACATATTAAGTATCAATCATTAGCTTATCCCTACTTCCCTACTAATATTATAAATGTGAATGTAAGTTTGTTTGTTACGGTTTAACGATTATCAACCGATTATCATGAAATTTTGTACACATGTACACATAAAAAAATATTTTTTATGTAAGATAAAACATGATTTTTCATAGTTGTTGAACGTGTTCATAGGCGTGGGTAAAAAAAATTTAAATAAATCTTCCGGGGACGTCTCTTTATAATTCAAATCAACTTTGACCGAATCAGCATAAAACTAGTCATCGATGAACTAGAAAAATATGCCGTGATGAACGGTCATTTCTGCTGCGAATGAATTTTTAATACCGGAAATATTTACAACGAGCAAGTGTTCCACTTCGTCTCAGAAGTTTAATTAAAACTACTGGTAATCTTTGAGATCATTAGAACGATACATGCTAAAGCATAAGATGTTTAGACAGGACGGTTATGGTAATAGTTGAACTGGGACACTGGATCTAGGACGGTGTACGAGGTCTATTGAAAAAATAAGGCGACTTTTCAGTTTTCCAAAAATTTTATTTTTGTTCATCAATGTATATTTTGTCCCTTTCAAAATAGTTCCCCTGATATATAATACACTTGTGGCAGTGTTTTTCCAATTCTTAGAACAGTTCAGATATGCACTTTTTGGAAAGCTCTTGTGATCACTCAGCGATTAGGTTCTTATCCCCTCAATAGTCGCAAAATACCGTTTTCTCATGTGTCTCTCCAATCGTGGGAACAGGAAAAAGTCGCAGGGGAGCAAATCTGGTGAATACGGTGGCTGAGGCATGATCACGGAAAATTGTTTTCCACAGGGCTTCGTGCCTGTGGTATCCGTCATACTTTGAGTCAAGGAATATTACTAACCACTGGACAATGGTATAATGCTGGTGGCTACCAAGTAATCATCATCAATCGAATCATGTTCGTTTATTTAAACAGCATCCATCCATGATAATTCAGGATAATCCGCCTAGCACTGATCGGGTGAAATCCTTTTGAAAATATATTTATGAGCACACTCAACTAAGACACTGCAGACCAAAACTTTCTGTAGAGAGCTCGACAACCTTAGCGAAATGAACAGCTCAAATCGATTCAGTACTGTTGAACAGTAAAGTTAAACTTTCATTGGGGGGAAATTTCCAAGCACCACAGCAGCCTGGATATAATTTTCAACTTTTTCCTTGATGGAAGCACCAAAGTGGTTGACCTACAGTAATCCAGAATGGAGTTTGGAGGACCCTGGTGGAGACTGACCAATCACAAACAGTGCGTGGAATGGCGGAAAAACTGGGCATCAGCTCCCATGCGGTTTTTACTATATTGAAACATACTGGAAAGGCCAGAAAGCTCAAAAAGAGGGTGCTGCAAGATTTGAACGATCTACAGAAATTATCACGTTTTGCGCAACCAAAACGATCCTTTTTTTGGATCGGATCGCCATGTGTGATGAAAATAGGATCCATTACGACAACAGGAGATGTTCAGGACAGTGGTTGAACACCGCTAGGCACTTCCCAAAGGCAAAACCCCACTAGAATGACCATTGTTACTGCATGGTGGTCAGCGGCTGATGTGACTCACTATAACTTTCTGCAACTGGGTCAAATCAAGACAGCAGAGTCCTATTGTGAGAAAATCGACGAAATGTGCCAAGAATTGCAACAGCAGCAGCCGGTATTGATCAGCAGAAAGGTTTGATCCTGCTCCACAACGTCCGTCCGCACGTTTCACAAAACACCGTCCCCAGGCCTTTTGCCAGCCGACTACCACATTTTCAAGCACTTCGACAACTTTCTCACCTTCGCCAGTCAGAACCAGGCAAAACCGGCCTTCGTCGATTTAATCGAATTCCTAGCACCCAATTTTTATGCTGATGGAATTTATCAACTTGTGTTACGTTGACGAAAGTGAACTGATTCCAATGGCGGTTATTTCGATTGAACTGAATAATCATTCACTGATTTATTATAGTTTGCAGAAGACTCATAAAACAGAGAAAAGTCAAGAATTGATATTAGCCCAAACCCGCAGAAAACTATACCTACTCGTAAATGTACTAATTGTTAGAAAGTGGAACTTTTATAAGTTCACAGTTGGTACTAAAAAAATAACGATAAATATTTAAATGCCCTCTCAGTAATAAAACTATTATATTGTAGGTAAACACCTCATTAAGAAATAAAAGTCATTAGAGAACCCGTATGAATGTCGAGTAGAATGCAGGAAAAGTTGATGTGATGCCCAATTAGTGCTAGTTGAAGATGATTCCAAAACTTGAAGATTCTGAAATCTTGAATATTCCCACGGTGTGAATTAATCCGAAAGAAAAACGTGTTGGAATGAACCTTTTTCCTGAAGTACGAAAAATCAGTCACTAGCAGCGCTAGTAGTTTGGTAGGGACAATCACTGCCTAAACATATGATAAAGTACAATTTAAAAAGAATGTTTTTAGCAGAAGATGTTCCTGGAGTTCATTTTTGATCTAGTATCTCAGTTCAAAACATCCAGACAGCTTTTTTGTTGCCGACTTGTGTTACCATTGAAATAATTTGTTTTACTCACCTCAAGACACTTCGGCTCATGAAGTGGCAACGAAGCACTTCCAAACTCTCGCCCACACAAATAGCAGGTGAGGGTCCTCTTCGCAGACCCCACTCTTGTCGAAGGCTCTTGGATTCTTTGAAAAACAGTTTTGCCTTCAGGAATCCTAGTTTCAACATGCTTCACAGCAGCAAGTCTGGATTCCGATGGTTTCAGTTCGGCTGTTTTTGGTTCCTGCTGAACTTTTGGAACGGCTATCTTAGAGTCAATACTTTTCAGGGCTGAAATCTTGGATTCCGAGTTTTTCGATTCGGAAGTTTTCAAATTCCCAGAAGGTAGTGTTGAGTTAACTACTTTTTGAGTTGGTGTTTCTCGTTTTGGGAGAGCTGAGGGTTTGATGCCGCTTTTGGGTTTAGATTTGTATTTAATGGCTATTGGTTTCTGGACTGTACTCTTTACTGAAACAAAGAAAAACATAGTTGAGGTTTTCAAAAACTGTGGGTTTAAGCGGATTCAGTATATACAGTGTGATCCACTTGAAAGAAGGACACCTCCCTGAAATTTCGCAGCGGTGGCGCGTTAGAGGAGACAAGGGAGGCTTAGCCTCCCCATAAAATTTGAGGCTATTCATCGAAATAAATTTAAAGATATTGACAAATAATTATGATTATTTTTTGCTAAAAATGCTTGGGTATCATTACTTTTCCAATAATTTTTAATATAAATACATAATATGCCCGAAAAAACACTATCACTCACTACGTGATTTTTTTTTATTCAATTATTCGGACGGGATACCGTGACGGACCGAGACTAAAAACTATTCCGGTAAATCGTTTTAGTGTGTACTGGTATAGCAAATAATGTGGAACAATAACAAATTGAGAAATAAACAATATTCTAATTAGAACACCTAATACGTGCCAGGACAGCTCTTTTCGATGTATGCCGATCTTATGTTATTAAAACATTATGTAACATTGAGATAGGGAAGGATTACGACGAGGATCATGTAATTGAAACAAGGTAGATCAATTTGAGTTATTCTGAATAGAGGAAGTTTTTCTACGAAGTCGTTTCATTCCGTTCCTTATAAATGAACCTGAAGTGAGTTTATTACATGGCGATCCTGCCAGGATGATTCCAGGATTACCACGTATGTTATTAACGGGTAGATACTGAGAAATAGAGACGAGTTGCATTTGACATCTTCCAACATGGGATCCACAGAGAGTAAAGAAGAAGTAATCATAAGCCAAGCCGGGAACAGTGGTGGAGTTTCAGCTAGCAATGGGTTCTCCGTTTCCGAAGTACTAGGCATAGTAGCTTTCGCCTGTTTCATTTTGGCACTCGGCGCATTTCTAATAAAGAGGTGCCAGAAATCATTAGAAAAGAAGATAAGAAGAGAGATAACGAGGAGTCAGGAGTTGGTATAGGCGTAAGGNAACTCTGGGAAGGCCTCAACCAAATTTGATTTCAATTAAATCGTCAGATAATCGACAAAATCGTGGATTTAATATTAGTTGGTACGATAAATGCGGTTAACCGGCTCCATTAAACGAGAAAAACTTTTTTGTTGACCCCGTGTTTTATTTTCCGTACAAACCGAATACCAAACGTGGTCTAAAATAGGATACTCCGATTTAAAAAATTTACCTCGTGCAATGGGGCAAATATGATTCACAATTTGGCAATTTTTTAAACGGTAGCGTTTTTTCGGGTACCGCAAAAACCATCCAAAATTATCTTATTATAGCATACATTATTGAGGAAAATATAAGCAAGAAGATTGAAAGTGTTTCTTTTTTTGCATGGGAAATTGATGAAACTACCGATATTACCTGTACATCACAACTTTCAATCGTTTTTAGATATGTTAAAGATGGTAATGTGGTAGAACGTTTTATGGGTTTTCGTGATGTTTCATCTGGGCGCACAGCTGACGATTTGTTTAATTTTTTAATTCGTACGTGTGACACCTATAATTTTAAGCAAAAGTTAATTGCGCAAACCTATGATGGGGCTGCGGTCTTGGCCGGCCATTTAAATGGTTTACAAACTAAAATAAAGTCCATAGCTCCTCATGCTATTTTTACGCATTGTCATGCCCATGCCCTAACTTTAGTATTAAGCAAAGCGTGCAACAACATAACAATTTTCGCGCCTGCGGCGGGATTTTCTGTGTGTATATAGTCTATATGACTTAAGCCTCCCCTGTTCTCCAATGCACAAGCCGTCACTGAAAATTTGCATCTTCTCTACGATTTTGAAGAACTTAATGTTCAATTGTAAACCTTCGAAAAACTGTACTTTGGGAACATATATCATTTTCTCTCTACAAAAACCAAGACCTGCTGCGAATATTTTTATAGGTTGAAATACAAGAAATTGTATTAGCGATTTATTTAGAAAAAAAATGAAATCAACTTTGGGCTGGACACTCTCTCAATTGGTGGTGCACCAAATTTTTTATAAAAAAATATTCAGTATTAATCATTCTATGGCCGAATCAACATTCACATTGTATCATGATAGAATGTTAACTGCACACCTCTTGAATGTTTTTTGAATCTCGGTGAGGTGGCCGTGAAACACCGTGCGGATATGCAAAATCGCGCTCTTTCCATTTGGTACTGGAAACAAAAGACTATTGTTCACCATTGTCGCTGCTATCAAAAACTGTATTGAAACAGTAACGTTCAGATTATGTCTGATCAGTGAGAAAAATATGTTATGAAGGCGTAGGAATTGGTGATTCATCATGGAAGAACTAAGTGTGAGAGATAAAATTGAGCTTGTGCGCCTTGTCGGAGTCAATGCTCTTTCGGCAAGAGAAACTGCCATCGAGTTGGCTGTTCTTGTTCATCTTTCACTGCCTGAACCACTATGCAGACTGTTTTTGGTGAGTACATTGACTTGGGATGTGGGGGTTGAGCAAACCGGCCATCGGATCCCTGCTTCCACGTAGCACCGCTGGATACGGGATGAACAGAATCACTTGTGGTTCTGTTATTCCCCTTACTGAATGGCATTCCAACGATGGCTTAATCCTAAGGTGTGTATCCGTGCCGGGAGGATGAATGACACTGAGCTTATCAGCTGTTTTTACGGAACCTTCGAGATATCGGGCGCCATCTCGTCGTAGCATCGCCTTTTCACGGTGATACGGGGCTCTGCCGTGATTGATCTTTCTTCCCTAGCTACTCGTGGGACTTTTATAGACAGAGTGAACTTGAAAATTATTTCTGATGCTGAGCCTACAGAGGAGATGGATGTGTAGCTTACGACTCCAAATGACCTCCCTGTAAATTTAGATCAGGAGCGAGTCTACAGAGGAGATGAATGTCGAGTTTACGACTCCAACTAACCTCCCTGTAAATTTAGATCAGGAGCGAGAGCTTCTCAACTCTCCAACTCTCAACTCCTCCAAGTCCCTCATATGGGAAGGTTTTCGCCGGTATCAACAGCAGAGCATATACTTTGTGCCTGACCCGCTGGAGACCGAATCAGGTTTTTTAGAGTTTGGCAGATCCGTACTCATACCATTTTACCTGAAATACCTCTCATCATACAATCTAATCGGCTTCGTTAAGAAGCTGGGTTTATTTGGTCGAGTGTGAATAGGTGTGAGCCACAATAAACCCTTGCGGGTTGCGGTGGACCTAACTTAACCTAAGAGAAGTTGCCAAAAAATGTCATAACCTGATAAACTTTTAGCATCAGTACGGTGAACCGTATAAATTCTGTTTTGGGCATACCTCGTACATCAAATATAAAAATGGTTTCAAGTCATAAAAACATTCAAGTGAAGACACGAAAAATGAAATACTTAATATAACGGACGATTCTCAACATTTTTGTCAAATTTCAATTATCATAATTACTATAACCACAATTGAGGGCAGTAGGGTGTCACGAAGCGAAAGAAAATTGTTTTCTTGAACCTGTCTGGAAAATATGTCAATATAATTGCACTAAAAAGTTACCAGAAGTTTCAATCATCAATCACCTTTTATACAATGTGTAAAAACGATATTGAAAACGTCTGGCACCTAATCGATTTTCAGCTAGTTAAATTCTACAATAATGGATTATTTGCACTCATTTCATTTGCACGTCTGACCTGGTGACATAATTTAATGTTCACCAAGTGACTATAAAACGTATATAAAGCTCAGTTTTTTCCACATAACAATTTTTTATTATACGTTTTGGGTCATCTCTTGATGATACTAATTTGTGGATCTGAATGTCATATATTAGATTACAATTAACTGACAATAGCTACAATTAGATTCTCCCTAATATTGAATCTGAATTGTCAACAGATCAACCTATATACTGTATAGCAACTGAATAATACCTGATGTAGTCAACGATGATACATGCATATAGACTTTCAGTTCCTCTTGAAAGAGTGTCTTTCTGATTAGCCAAAACGGCTGGAGAAGCCACCCGAATAACAAACATATCTATTCGAATTCAGGTGAAAGTATCATCAATGTATCTCAACCGATGCGAGCTTCTTCAACAGCCAATTTTTGAAACCATTCCACGTATATATTGGTTATGTCAGGTAAAAGTATTAGCGATCCCATTGGCAGCCCATCGCTTGCATCATCCTTCCAGCAGTACCTGAATCTCGAATCCAACCACAACCAATTTGCCAAGAGAGGCATCTCTAACGGTCTGCTTCAAAAAAGCAGTGGAACAGATTTTAGCCAGAAGAAGACAACCAGTGTTATCCATTCCTTAGGTCAGAGGCATGCAGGAGAGGATGAAAATAAAGTACATTCTGTACTACATTAAAACCCACTTCAGATCTGGGAACACTGTACAAGGCAGTGTCAAAAACTATATCAGTGGAACCATGAGGCTCTTTGAAGTCCATATTGGCAAGCATAAAAAAAAGACCCTGCGAGAAGATCTATTAACGCAACACCAAGTTGTCCGAAAGGGAGGAACACTAGGTGAAAAGGAGGGTTGAAGAAGCTGTGCATATATCAAACAACAATGCTGAAAATGTGGAAGTGATTCAGTGGAGGAAACAGGCTTCGGTCCACTGGCAAATCGAGACGAAATGGGGGATAGGAGTGGAAGAAAATAGCTCCCAAGTGGCCTGTTAATGGTCTCGAAGTATTACGATTGGATCAGTTAACACCCGAAGATTATTGTGGATACTGACAACCTGAACGTCTTGAAGTAGTTTGCTTGGTTTATTATGTTTTTGTTTTATTAAATTTTTTTTATTTTTCACTATTACTCCTTTCTATCTTCATTTTTTCTTATTATATCCTATTAATTCATTCGGATGAAAATTAAATTAGTGCTTTTGTCCTTTTAGATTCAACCTCGCCGTTTACCTCTTTTATTTTTTTCATATTATCATCTGTACCGAAATATTCATATTTTTTTATGTTTCATCCATGTTTTTCTTTCAGATCTGTGGAGCTAGTATTCAATTCCAGATTATCGAAAATATCTTAAAATATTAGTTTGGTTACACCTGTACTGCAGAATAGCCGAATGGGGAATGTTCCTCAATTTGAGTTATTACAGCAAATGTAAGTTTGAACAAAATAAAGTTGAGTTTAATTCATGAGTTTTTCAAATTCACTTCGAAAAGTATTCAAATTGATGTTTCAAATGTTGGGTTTTAATTTTTAAAGGAATTTGTTTCTAATTCAAAGCAAAACTCCTAATCACTTGTTCAGATTAATTAGTATGCGATCTGATAATCATTCAATCAATATAAGAAAAGATACATTTACCATTCCATATCAGGGAAGTAACTGAGTTCTTTTCCAGCTTTCGTCTCAAACCTACCCATGAATAGGTTCGCTATAAATGGAGACAATTGGTTACCCATAGCCGTTCCTTCACGCTGTTCATAATATGAGCCATTATATTGAAAACAATTTTGATCCATGCAAAGCTTGGTGAGTTGAATGTATTCTTCAACAGCTTCATTTGCTAAGTTGTTCGATTTAAGAAGATCCCTCAAACACTCTAGAGCTTGTGATATTGGGACGCTTGGATATTCGATAAAGTAAATATGAAAGTTGCATCGATAGATAGACTAGAAAACACAGAAAGGTCGGGAATTTACGAAATCAGTTGTCAAGATTGCAACAGCAAATACATCGGCCAGAGCCGACGAGCGATTTAAACCCGCTTCATGGAGCATTGTGCACACATGAAATACGGAAGGATAGAAAAATCCAGTGTCGCCCAACATGTTCTAGACAAGGACCACAGAATTGGTGAAAACAATGTCAAACTGATTAAGCATGTGCATGACACCAGGGTACTCGATGCATGTGAGAGTCTAGAAATAGCAAAATGTAAAAACAGCATGAATGGCGATAAGGGACCCATCCCGTTTAGCCCGCTTTTTAATCTTCTGTTAGGAAGAGAATAATAACTAAGAACTTGCAGGTAGTTAATTACCGAGAAATTCCATATTGAACTTCAGGTATACAACCTCAGGTAACAAATTTTAGTATATAAGGACTAACCAGACTAGACTAGGTATTCCCAAACTAAACCCGGACAACTTAAATCTCAGACTTTTAGGGGAAAACCTCATACTCCAGGACTCGGTTTCCTACTTGGGGGTCACCTTCACGAGGACCCTCAATTGGGAAATCGACCTGAGAGAGACTCTGGACAAAGTCCGGAAGAGAGCTAACCTTCTGAAGGCTCTGAGAGGAAAACTTGGGGGATGCGACAGTAGGACACTGCTTCATACCTATAATCCCTTAATAAGACCAGTCCTCGACTACAAAGCAGTGATATACTGTACGCTTCCTCCGAGGCTGTCCCACCGCATCCTTACGACTGAACGACGAATACTACGCAACATACACAACCTGCACTACCGATACCCTTCCCTACACTTATATAACCTCATAAATACTACACCAATCGACCAAAGATTTCAGGAACTCCGAGGACGATGAGCAGCCACAACACCGATGCCATCGATACGCTCACATCGCTATGGATCCCCCGTGGAGGATCCGGAAGGAAACCTAGGAAAAAGCTGCCCTTTCCCCCAGCCAGACTCCTGGGAGCGATGGAAGACCCACCGGAGCCGATCCAGGACATCCTAGAGGATTTCCCACTGGGATAGCGGACACCTGACAGCAGCGCCCCGGAAAGTACCGAAATCCTAAACACACAAAACCCCGTACCAAGTCACATCTGGACCACCGACCACCGCAACGAACCCGGACTACCACACGGATCAGCATAAAAACCAACTAAGAGAACTGGAACACCAAAACAACACAACACAAACTCCAACATAAAACACAAAACACACACATAACTCACTCACCCTGAAGAGGCATAAGCCTATAGCAGGGCCCTACACAAACACACACAAAATTGTAATAACTGTAAATAATTTGTAAATATACGATTCATACATAGACTAGGTATCAATTTTCTCCTCCTGAGGATGCTAACTTTGTTGGCGAAACGCGCGTCGAGTGCAAAAAATATCAATTTGGTGTTAGGGCAATTGATCTCGAAAAAAGTTATTCAACTTTTACACCAAAGTTTCCAATCTCATCGTTATCCTTTTTCTTTGTTTTTGTTTTTTTAATGGTCAGTTTTATACGTATAACTGTGTGCATTTATGCAAATATTACGTATTTTGCTTTAAATAGATGCGGTACCCCAAAAAATTTTCGCGCCTCCGGCGGGCTTTTTTGTGTGTATATAGTCTTTATGACTTTAGCCTCCCCTGTTCTCTAATGCACGAACCGTCACTGCTGCATAAATTGTATTTAATACATAACCTTTATTTTTCTTTGTTAATTTTCAATCAGATATCAATCGAATAATGACTTTTTTGATCGATAATAGCTACCTCCCATCAATATCTAACTCTGACACTAAAATAAGAAAAATGTTTTTGACTACATCAAAGCTGCCAAAATAAAAGTATTCAATGACATTTTTATGAAGGAAAATTGCCCAACGTTACATCAAGTTTTCAAATTACCTTGACTTTTCGACGCATCCCCCATCTTCGCCACAGTCTTCGGAGGGTTAGCAGGATGACTGTGAAACCGCTCAGGCAAATCCGACCTGCGGCAGGACTTACAGGGTTCGGGAAGTTTGGTCGATTGAGCGTCGTTTGCAACCCCCAAAACTTTCACAGCCGTTCTACGAGGTACCTTCGATGTTTTGTTATTGTTAGTATCACAGCATTTAGCAACTTTTTTCACCTCCCCCGGTTTCAATCTAGCGATCCGCTTTTTCGGGAGTTTGGAACTCCTCGAACTTTCCTCGTCTTCCCAGCTGTCGTCCGGATCGGATTGCTTCTTCTTCGTTTTCTTGGCGGGCGGTAGACTGAGCGGACGGTGAGGTTTCGTTACTTTAGGGCCCTTCAGTATGATGGGCATTCGACACAGGTTCGATATGTTCAGAAATTCCTTCCTTATTTTGCTCATGTCTATTTTTCCCATGAGTCTGATGTCGAGGATTGTCGGTTTTTCCAGGGTAGCTGTAAGAGGCCGTTTGTTTTCTTCACAGTCGTTGTCCTTGTGCTTGCTTTTCGGCGGCCATGTTTTGATGAATAGGTTGAGGCCGGGGTTTTTGGTTGGCATTTCTTTCGGGATTCTATCGACCAGGTCTGAGTCGAGGAGTGGCAAAATCAGAAAAGGCTTGGTTTGGTAGGTTTTCCTTGGTGTTCTCAACTTCATCAATGGATTTCACATTCTGGAAAGTAGAGAAAGAAGATAATAGAAAGATATAAAGATTGTATATAACAAAGAAAAACTGTTGGAGCATTGAGATCATAGGATCTCATATGATCATAGGATCATAAAATGAATTTTGAAAATCCAAATATTTTAGATAGAGAAATCAATGCAACTAAAAGAATATTTTTGGAAATGATACATATTAAAAACGAAGAACATTCAATGAATAAACGAACTGATATTGACAGTCTCAGCAAAATTTACACGTACCTACTGAAATATGATAAAGAAAATAAAAGATCTAGTAATTCGACTATCACTCAGAATTTTCCCACTTGACATTGTCAGCCGAAAATTTTTACCAACTGTCATTATTTAATGTTTTTCTATCTGTTTTTGAACCTTTTTATATTTTATTCTCACGTTAGTAAGTTCTCCATATTTATATATTTTCTACAAGATATATAATCTAATTATTGTAGTTGTTCTGACGAAGGTATGAAATATACCGAAAGCTTGACATATAACAAAGAGTTTTCTTTGTAACAGCCCAGCTATTGACTGCAACCTCACGAATTAGATTTTTATATGATCAGAAATGATTATTGAACAACGAAATTAGTTAGCTCCCTAACTATATTATTAAAGACGAGCTGTTGGAAGGTAGGTTGCACTATATCGTTTACTTGAACCATACCTTAATGTTACATTTTATATGCATTTGATATGTTCCCTAACATACAGTGCCCACAAACTTCTCTGGAGTTTCTGGCACTCGTGAGTATATTGCCAATGTTTGGCTGGCCTGTTACTTGCCAAAAAACCTTTGTTATTATCATTATTATTGTTTGAGACTCTCAACTACTGATACTCCTCCACTAAACGACAACTAAAGCGAACCAGAATTGATAGTCACCTTTCCTTCACTGCTCTACAAAAACACTACACAGTTCACCGATTTCATCGAATAAACATCTGAAAACATACAGAGAAGGTGCGACGAATACAAACAAACCCGGTAAGAGTGTCGGTGCAAGACTGACCGGTGAACCGGCGTTTTCCATATTTCCATGTAAGGTTCGGGACAGACCCACGCAAAAATTGATTCAGCTCCCATGGATGTGAGGACGTTGCCAGTGAGTTGAGAATTTTGTGTTATTCGCCACAAAAGGTTATGCTGTCAAAGTTTCGATTAGATTGAACATGAGGCGCTAATACTGGACTGCGAGTCCAAAAAAAACTGTTTTAAGACGTGTTGCATACACCATTTTTTCGGCAACCGTGTGGAATAACAAATCAATGAAGCATTTATTCACTATAACAAATGGACAGAAAAGTCCCCGGCGTAAGAAAGAAAACTCAGCTTTATTGGCTTTATTATTCATCAACTTTATCCCCATCAACTATAACATTTTAACACAACTTTTGAAGAACGATTTACCATTTGCTTCAAAACAAGCCTCAGTTTCAGTAATAACCTCTTCATTGAAGCGAAATTTCTTACCGGCGAACATTTTTTTGAGGTCTACGAACAGCTAGTAGTCGCTGGGAGCCAAATCTGGCGAATACGGTGGATGTGAGAGTAATTCGAAGTTCAGTTCATGTAGTTTTGCCATTGTTTTGATTGACTTAGGTGTGTTCTTATCTCTTCAATAGAAAACAATGCGTTTCAGTGAACGGTAAAACATCAGACTTTCAGTTTGTTAGTCATGGGGTACTCCAAGGTTCGGTTTTGGGCCCCCTGCTTTTTATCATTTATATTAATGACCTCAGCTGCTTTATGTCACCTTATAGGTCAGTTCTCTTTGCAGGCGACTCAACATTTATTATTTCTGAGAAAGACAACGCAAACTTGGATGCTTCACTGACTTGTGCTACTAATAAGGCAAAAGAATGGTTTGCAGCAAACAAATTGGAATTGAATAGTAATAAATCACAAATAATGCAAATATCAGCAAATAATCATTCAACTGTTAAACAAGAAACAAAAAGCGTAAAACTGCTTGGATTAGTGCTGGACCACAGACTAAAGTGGCAGACACATATTGATCAATTAATTAAAAAACTATTTAGTTCCTTATTCATTTCACGACAATTGAAAACAATAACTAATTTTAAAACTTTCAAAACCACGTATTTTTTACTGTTTCACTCGCACATTAGCTATGGCATTACTCTTTGAGGTAATTCCACCCATGTGATAACAATTTTTAAAATGCAGAAGAAGGCAATAAGGGTACTTGCCGGAATTGGTTTCAGAGATCACTGTCAAGAGTTTTTTAAAAAATTGAAAATTATGCCTTTACCATGTTTGTTTTTATTTCACACTTTAATTGAAATTCATAGAAGTCAGTCGGTGTTGCCGAGAAATTCGGATGTACACAGCTACAACACTCGCAATGCTCATCTTATCCGAAGCAGTCGCTGTCGACTAAATATTTCACAGTCGAACTCACTGAACTATGAGATTTTAAACACATTACCATCAAATGTAAAAAAATTGAGTATTAATGCCTTTAAAAAATACTTAAAAAAGTCTCTCCTGAAATATTGTTTCTACACTGTTGAGGATTACATTGCGCATTGACGAGCCAAACGCATTGCCGCATCTCTGCTGTGATAGTTTAATAACATATTGTAACTCAATTCTTAAATTCCTGTTTTTACTGTATTTGCTGTAAAATTTTATGTAAAAAAAATTTTATTTGACTTTCTTTTTTCACGTGCTACAAACCAACATATTGTAAAGTAGTAAAATAAAATCTATCTATCTATCTATCTATCTATCTATCTATCTATCAAACAGTGAGCTCTCGCGGCACCCACTTTGAACTGAGCTTCCTCATAGTCAAACGCTCATGTAATATAAAGCCAATACGTTCTTTCGATATCTTTACAATGTCAGCCAACTCGCGCAACTCCACTTTTCGATCATTCAAAACGACTTTGTGATTTTTTTTGTTCGAACGAAAGTCTCCCTTTAACGTTGATTGTTTTCATCTGATGATGTTTCAATGGTCTTGGCAATTTTGACTTCGTTTGTGAGTGAATCGTCTATACATCCTTAAGCGACATTGGTAGACTTCCAGCCATCGTGTCTCTTCATCACCATTATCAGCAGATAACGTCGCTGCGGAATGAATTGCGGAACTAGCCAAATGGTATACCTATGCTCAATCCCTAAAGAAATGGTATGGAATGAAAGGATACAGTCTTGCCAGGATCACCTTGGATGACCCTGGGTACCTGGCGCCGAAGAAATATCTAGGGATCAGCCTCCCTATTCTACAGATACAGAGATAACGTCGCTGAAGTTCGACAAATGCTAACGTGTGTAATTTTTAGGATTAAGATAAAAATGTCCTCATTGGACGAAAGTACAGTCACGTTAGTTACAAATACAAGTGGTATAAAATATAGGAAGTTTTATTCATCATTTTTGACGTGAAAATGTGGCAACATGGATTTCAAGTAAAACCAGGTGACTTATTATCATACCCACGAACAAACGCGGACCAGATAGTTACCGGTTTTACATGAACGACAGCAACTTATGACTAATTTACGATTTGAAAATGCGTTTTCATACATCCAATAAGGAAAACTCTCAAACAGACTTTAATAACAATGACGTTCACTTTCTACCTACTTGGCTGGTTGCCCCGTAATAAAAATGGCGCTCTTTTCGAATGTATGGAGGTTTCGAGTAGAGGGTCAGACTGAAAAATTCGTAATTGAAAGGAATTATTTCAGTATTTCAGTTCACTTACAAATGTCACTCATTCATCTTTGTTTCACCGTACTGGTGAGTCCTAGGAAGCTAATATTTGGTATATATGTACTTCTTAGATCTTAGATACGCATTAGGAGACGATTTTCAAATATTCCAACTGGGGTGCCTCCCGTGGAGATAGAAGGGGCGAGTTTACATATGAAAATTATCATTTTGTCACTGTTTCTCCGTATCGATATATTTTGGGAGGCTGAAATTTTGTATGTAGCTTCGTTTTATATTGTATGTGCCATAAAAAAATTTCAACACGGGCTCCAGCCGCGGGTGACAAAGACGCGTCCTTTTCAATACTGGTTCTCCATGCTCGTAAATTTATACACAGCAGACGTGCCCAAGCCTGAGAACAACTTGCAACAACAGGCAGATTGATTAGAGGAATGGGCCAACTTTTGGAAGATCAGCATAACCCTGGCAAAAGTCGGGCAATACTGTTCACCTGGAGGACGGTACACCTGGAAGGAAACGTCATCTTCAACGTTCAAGAGATTCCGTGGACCAACGCGAAATCTTGTAGTCACTTTCGACAGAGAGAGATTAGGGCTGGCAAGAGCCGCCCGACAAAACCTACATCCGCAGAAGCAGTAGGGGACTCTACCTAAAACTGCTGCTAATCAAGACCGTACTGCCTGGGACCACTGCGCAGCGACATACAGACGCAGAATCCAGACATTCATACGTTCATACGTAGACGCGTATATGAGAGAGCACGCAGAAAACGTGTTCGGAAGAATTTGATGACGAAGTACTCAACAAACAGGGAAGACCTAAGATTCCGAGAGAGAGAGAGAGAGAGACGAACACAAAAGGCCAACCAAGCAGAATCCCGAGAGTAGCTGTCAGTAGCTCCGGTAAGAATAAAAACTTTTCAACCAGATTTCTAACTCACTTCTTTTTTAGATTCACTGGAAAACACTTGCTCGCGATATAAAGACTCCCTTCTCCGCAGTGGCGTAACTGCAGGGTGGCAAGTCGGCAAAATGCCACGGGCCCCCAGCCAGAAGGGGTCCCCGGTCAGAGTAGAATCCCAACCCAAATGCGGTCTATGTCCATTGTACTGCTCATAATTTGGATTTGGTATTAAATGATGCAGTAAAAGAGGTCATAGAAATACACACATTATTCGAAACTGCAACAAATTTATAATTTTTTGGGCCATAGTATTAAACGATGGAATATATTATCTAGTTTTATATCTGACAATAAAGGAGAGACCGGGGTATCATCAAATTCAGAAACATTAAAAAAAAGAATCCAACTAGATGGGCAGGACGCTTTCATGCCATATTTGCTTTGAAAATTCGGTTTGTTGATGTTCAAAAAGCGCTTACAAAAACTATTTTATTAAATACCAAAACATCTGAGAGAGATGAAGCAATCTTACTGAAGAATAAGATAGAAAACTACAATTTTATTATGTTGTTGGTTTCCATTGTAAAGTCTTACAAACTATAGACGCGGCTTCTAAAGCACTTAAGTCTTAAGCCATCGATCTTTCAAATGCTTCGAAACGTTTGCAAATCTGTCTAGAACAACTTGAAAAGTATCGACATGAATTTGAAGAATCAAAAACGGAAGCAAATAGTATTGCAGTGAAGTGTTCTATAACCTTGAATTTACTAAAACTCGTCAGAGAAAAGTGAAACGTCATTTCGATGAAATTTATGAGGATCTTCAAGATCCTGAAAGCTTGTTTGAAGTGAACGTATTCTATCGTGTATTAGACATAATCATTAATCAACTGAAATCGCGTTTCCTTGGAACGAATGAAATTGTTTCCAATTTCAATGTCTTGCAACCTGCTACTTTGCAAAATTTGAACGATACTTATTGGAAGAGGATTTGGCATTTGTCCATCTATATAAAGAAGATATATCCATCTCGTTTTCCAAGGAAATTCTCAGTTTTCGATCCTCTTTTAGCCACGAAATAGAAGCTTTATCTTCTATAAGAGAACTTGCTGACTTGATAATAAAAAAAAATCATTCTATATATTTAAGCTTTCTTGAAGTGTGCACTGCATTTCTATTATTTCTCACCATTCATATGACTACGGCTAGTACCGAGCTACCATTTTCAAAACTGAAATTGATAAAAACTTATTTAAGAAATTCTATGGGGCAAGACAGGTTAAGCAACTTGGCTATTCTATCCATCAAAAATTCTATGGCCCGAAATTTTAACTTTGATGATGTTATTACCACTTTTGCTGAACAGACAGTCTGAAGGAAGGAATTTTAATAATTAACAATTTATATTTTGAACACCTTCTGTGCTTACAACAATATGATGACTCGGACTGCGTATATCAAATTGCTTTTTTGTTTTTCAAATCATTGCGACCTATGAGCCTAATATATCAATCAAATGCTGAGTGTACTTTAAATTAGATCCATTTGATTTAATGTGAATTATTAGGAAATCAAGTACCTAAGCATAATTATAAAGTTTGTATGTACCTACTTAACATAGTGATTTATTATTGTACTCTTACTAGTAAAAGTGTATAAATAAGTATTATAAAATAAAAAAATAGTATTATTGTTGGTTCAGCTTCTTTATATTGGGGGGAGGGGGCCCAGCCGATGAATTTGCCAAGGGCCTCGAACGGTATAGCTACGCCACTGCTTTCCCGGTTAGTTTTTGGGGGCCCCATGCATTAAATTTCATTCAAGTAAAGTTATGATTCAATAAAACGATAGATTATAAAGTAGAAGCATCTAAAGGCTGGCTTTCGACCGCAGTAGGCCACCGCAGTAGGCACTCAATCCGGGAGGCGGCTTGAGGGGGGGGGGCTTAAATTTCCGGTGGGTGAATTATATTTAGTGTCAGCATTGCACCCGTGCGAAGCGTGGGTGAAGCCTTGTGAGCCCAACTTGTCTCAAGTCGTTCATTACTCTGTGTGAAATAACGAAACTAATGACACCTCAATTGAATTTTTTGTGGAGGCGAACTAAAATTTTGTGAAAAAGCACTAGACTAGTAAGTGAAATTTTATTCGAGTATCTTCAATGTATTACGTTATTTAGCGCCTTTGTGTATAATCTGTTTCGATTCCATTGGGAATTTTTGGAGTACAAACTGAAAACGAAAATATTATTACAAAGTTCATTTTAACTGAGAAGAAGAAAGCTAAAATTCTCTTACCTGGTAATGAAAATTTCGCAAAGTTGGAAAAGCCAATTTCATGGTATTGAAATGATTTAGACTTCCTTCAACACGACATTTTTTCTCATTTATAAATGAAAGCAAGACAAATATGCCAGGTATATTTATCTCACTTGAACTTCAAACTTCCTCCCAGATATTGCTTATCCTCCCTTTTATCTTATCACAAACTTATTGAAATATGCATCGAAATGGATTTTATTTTCAAATATTCCGGTGGTTTTATGATACAAAAAGCTCTACGTAAACAATTCCTTTTACACCAAATCCCCGTTTCCTTTCTGATTCTCATTTCTCCTCTCGCTCTAAATATGCATGCCTATAATATAGCATATGTTAGTATCGTTATTCCATTTATTATTTTTGTCGCTTGCCTCCGTGCAAAACAACGACAAAATCAAAGTGAGTGTTTTTTAATTTTCTAATAATTGTGACGAGAAGTTGTTAATAAAAAATCGTTATTGGTTATATTTTTCAGGAAAACAACTAAGGGCATTGATAGCAGCGCAGAATAGGCCGAATGCTGTATATGTCGTAACACATCAAGCAACAGGTGAGTCGCCAAAACTGTTTGTAGTATATTCCCTTGTTTTCAGAGATCTGTTGGAAAAATGAGGAGAATTTTCATCTTTCTCAAAAAGTAGGTAGGTATTCATTCATTCATCAATTTCTATTTCGTCTCTCTCAAAGTAGCCCCCTGTACATATATTACACTTGTACAAGCGTGTTTTTTTATCTGCAAAGCAGTTCTGATATGCACTTTTTGGTATGTCCTTGATTCGGTTTTTACCTACCCAATCGTCGTCCTTTCAGCAAAATGTCGTCCTTCCATGAGCCTCTTCAATAATAAGAAAAGTATACTTCGTTGTCCCGTCTTCCGTGATTTAATTATTCAAAAACGATTTGAATGAATTGTCGCTTCTAATTGGATTTTTCTTCTTCTCTTTTTTATGGTCTTCGCTTCCTTTCAGCACAGTAAACCAGTCTCCTCCTATTGCATAACAGATAACCTCTGCATGCATGCAAAGGTTGTGATATTAGGATTGAAACTAATAAATTTGGGATAAGGAGTGGATGTGGGTGTCCCCCCCCCCTCGCTATTGTAATTTAATATGGTTATTCTCCATGAATTTGCATATAATTTTTATTATGCTAGTATTGAAGCAATCTTACTGAAGAA